ATCAACCGTCACTTCAAATCCCCGTTTAATTTGTCAAATTTTAAGCCATGCCGCAGCCGCATGCCCCCCCCCCATCTCACACACAATAGTGTGGTGTAGGCCTACCCATGGAGGTAGAATTCTGCCTCCATGGCCTAACGAATTCAAACTCGTCCCCTCATTAACGCCCCCATAGCAGGTACACAGGTGTAGGCGTACGGTGTGCATTGCATGGCGTTGATGTGTATCCTCCAGCGTGTCAACACACGGTATATGATCTCCTATATATGTACCCAACCTAGTCGGCCTGAGCCTGAGGAATCCTGTTGGTAAATTATTCACGTTGGATGAAACAGGAGAACGTGACGACGACACGAGGCGAGGATATACCGAAGGACAGCGTTTAAGTTTACCTATAATTACTATTATCAGCTAATTAAAAAGGAAAAATGCAAGAGCAGAAATTAGTCGCTGAAAAGTTCGGTGTGTCCGTTGTTGCAATGAATGCAGAGAGAGATTGGTACATGGGCGAGGACCTCAACCGGATTGATGGGGGTAGGGCTTGGGGGGGGGGGGGTCGGAGAGGGCATTCTACGAACATTTTTCCTAATATGGAAAGCACTCAATTGGTAATGTCCATTTTCCTTGATTCTACTTAATTTTATGTAAAGATAATTAACCGTTTGTTCTCACGTTTAGCAAAACTGAGTCATTTACCATGTAGGTTAAATCAGCTGGCGATGCACTGTTCAACCGACCATCACACCTACAGACAAACTTCATTGACCAACCAACATAATCGAGTCCGAGCTTACTTGTACCTGTCTACCAGGCCTCCCTGTAAGCTGACGATTCAACCTTCCAACGTGAGAGGAAAATGTTGGTCTGTGTTAATGAGCATTTACAGGTCAAACACGGCCCCTTCGGCGATCAGATTTTTGTTTCCGATCTAGGTGCATGTTTTTGCTGATCCCTAGATTCATACGATGAATAATTAACCAGGCCCATCGCCTCAGCTATCCATTTATTCGCGATATGCATTACCGATTGTCGACTGCCCTGCGGGTGTAGTCCCTGGGGGATGTGGCAGGCATTCTCCCCCTGCTGAGTCCCCGTCTTCATCGATACTAAGACGCTCTTGAAGTTACATTCGGGAGCAGCGCGTGAGTGGATTGCGCAAATAGACGCAGGAAAGCCTCAAACCCATCCAGGAGAAACGATGTCCTCACGGGGCAATCAATTGAATCGGGTATAGTCTCTGAACATGCAAAGCTGCTTTTCTCTTCTCTGAATTTCGACCGGGGACCTAGACCTCAAGCAGTGGGGGAGGGGCTGGAGTTTCTCCGGTGCCGCTTTAGTTAATTACGCCGATGGAGAGAAACAGGAAATTACTGAGTTTCTTAAGAAAACTTTGCAAGATAACTTGCTTTGCAGCTGGTATAGTTATCTTTCCTACCAGTGTTTACTAACTCGATCATCTCCATCTCTAATAATTTCCAGAGAGTGGAACTAGGGACCAGACTGAGAGTACAATTCACTTTGGGCACTAAATATTAGATTGAAACAATATTATATTGAAACAAATTCAATTTCGTGGAGACTTCGGTGAAAACTTGATAGCTTCCAATAATTAAATGACTTTCTCTATAAATCGTCTTGTCCCTCTATAGGTTTAGTTTTAGAGAGTGAATTTGATCGAATAAAGCGAATCTTCACTCTTTTGAAATGAGAGAGAAAATATGGTTACGTATCAGATGTTGGATTTTCGGACGAATTGTGTGGCATTATATTACCTTTTATTTTAATAACACTGAGGTTATTCAACCGGTCGCTGCCATTATGTTAGTCTATGGAATAGACCTTTGAACAGCAAAGGTCTATGATATGCGAGCAGACTCGGCGATTAATTATGCAAAACAACACTGCGTCTTCACCTCTAGATTCTGGCCATTCAACGGGCGGCATACATTTCGTTTTTGCATCTCGGTAAAGCAATTGACCGTATAAATGTACGCACGCGTGAAACATATCACGTGAACAACTAAATATGTCACCTGATTCGGAATAAGTTCTTAATATAGCTATTATTCCGCGGTGGTCAGCATGGTTTCGCTTTAGCGTGATGTGTTAAACCACTCGTCTAAATGCTGGAGGTTCCAGGTGCGATTCCTGGAGGGAATTTTACAATTTCGTTTTTCCTCCAAAACTGAAATTGTGTTTAGTCCTCATGATCCATAAAATTAATTTCAGCCTTTTCTTCTCATTCATGGCTCTGGAGGATTTTTTTTAATGATGGAAGTTACGTCCGAGAGCCATTCCGTTACCACCCCGACACATGGGCATTATGGTAATTGATATACTTGGTTGCAAAAAAATATATAAAAATATTGCCAGCGGGCGCCTTGTATCGGGTCTTCCGTAACCCGTTGTTGTATTACAAAACTGTCAGCCAAATTTACCAATCAAAAGTTTAGTTCACAATTCTGATCGAAATGATGTCACAATTTCTAAAGTCGACTCCGATTGGCTGGCGCGCGGGGTCGCATAAAATTTGCATTGCTCAGATATATCAGACGTTGGATACGGAGAGGGCTCACGATGGACAACAAGTGATACTTACTGCAGTCTACCCATATGTCGGGCCAGAACGAAATGGGTCATTACGACTACTACGTGATGTCTGCGATGTGCTCCACTGGTATGGCAAGATCATACATAAAACTATCAACTGTATCAAGCTGAAGCTGCTCGAGTAATATGCTCATCGCGCATATGCCGCTAAAAAGGTCAACTTTTTAGTTGCTAAGTTCTCATAACCGACGGACGACTGAAATCCTCCATTGGCAATAAACTTGAGAGCCGACATGCACGGTTTGTCTTCTAACTAATTCACCACTAAAAAATAACATAACGGCTGCGCATTGTACCCGCACTATTTTGGACAATTACCAGCTATAATTTGTATTTTCGACAACCGACGATCAATACGTGCAGCTACCGGCTTCTTATCCCCTCTCCCGAGGGCACCATTTTCAATTGAGATCTGAGTTTCGCCAAATAACGTTCACCAGATCAAATACTAGCAATCAACTGTACTTCCAAACGTAAACTCAACCGATGGTAAATGTCCATGATTCAGATGCATGCCAAAGATCAGACAGTTCCACTGAAATTGAAATCCTCCGTTGGTAAAAAAAAAAAATCTTGAGAGCCGGCATGCCCGCTTTGTCTCATTATTAATTCAACGCAAAAGATAACCTGGCGGCTGCGCATTGTGCCCGCACTTCGGACAATTATTACCGACTTTTTAAATTCCCAATTTCTCACAGCCGACATTCGGTTACACACCTATGCTCCGACACATATAACCCTATAACCGGGAGTATTAACACAATCTTATGTGCGGGGTTGTTGGAACATAGGGCTGTCGGAACATAGCAGTCACCCCGACATAAGACAACCAGCTAGCCGCAGCTGTTTATCCCACTTTCCTGAGAACCTCATTTTGAATAGAGCATGCAAGTCTCGCCACTGAGTTCACCCTCACTTTTTTATGTGAACGTCTTGGTACCAGACACTGACTAGTCAAGTCATAGACTCCCATGTTTGTATTCACCAAAATGTTATCTGCATGATTGTTTTAACGAGAGTTCAGGATAAAACAAATCATTTTATTATAGTGATCAATTTGCTATATTTTATGTTATTAATTGAAATGCTTTTTAAACCCATTCATTAACCGTGACAGGATATGCCCAGCCTTTAGGCCTACGATGTGACCAGAAATACCGCATTCCCGAAAACAAATCTCGCCAGGTTTTTAGGTCAACTTGCACGCTCTTTATTCACATAGCAATATTCACATCTGTATGGGTAAATAAATTATATTTCTCGCGGTCCACTTCAACGGTGAACTCTGTTGGCCACGCACGGACAGTCACGGCATATGCTGCCCCAGGGCAAACCCAGCCGTAACACCCCGCCGAGCCCACGGCGTATATCTTGCCCACGAGCCTGTTACATTCACGCTGGGCTTAGGCATATTATTACTAGGACCGAAAAGTGACGCACACAAAATACCGATACAAAGGTTGGCTTGGGTTACATTTTGATTGCTGTAAATGTATGTGTAGGAGTGGGCTTACGAAAGTGATATACCGCAAAATATCAAGGGTCGTATTACGGTCCTCAATCATATTATTCTCTCAATTTACCTTGCAAACCAGGTTATCAAGTCTTGCCCAAAAATTATAGTAACCATCACCTCTAAGTACTCAAATCCCTTGGGCCTATATAGGGAAAGTATCTTACTTCACCAAAATATAATTTTTCAAGTAAGACAGACATAAATAAAGGGAAATTAAAAGATCAACATTTAATACAGATGGTACGATTTCGTATATAACCACATTAATAAAAAAACAACAATCTGAGCACCATTTGCAATTATCTGGAAATTCATGAAGAGTAAAGGAAAACAGGTAAAAACTGATTCGAACAGAGTCTGAAAGATTGCTCATCGGTCACTACCCCAATGATCCACGAATGTCGTGATGTTGAGATTGCATCGAAAAAAGTGTATTAAAAATCAGATGTTACTACAACAGAATGGGTATGTTATCGCACAAGAAAGATGCATGAATGACTCGGACGTTTCACAGAGTGACGAGTGATTAAAAACATCGCTCGTGCATTGCAACTGAACACGTGGTCAAGGACACGCGCATCCGTTTTACGCAAGTGCCCAGAGTAACCTATTGCAGCCCGTGCATGACTGTCAAAGGTCTCACCGCAATCTATGTGTCGTGATCACATTCACAGGGTGCGTGTGTGATGGGTATAAAAACCAAGATCAAATGAACATCAAGCGTATGTATCTCACTCCGGGGTCGTATTGAGGATTCACGTCAGGTGCTCACCCCTTTGGCACATTGCCACCTTTTTATTAGCACCCACACCCCGCATCCACAAGATCAATTCTAATCTCTCATCTTCTTTCCTCTGTTCCTCCTCTGATGCAGTACATCTTTGAACCCAGGAGAGTGTTGCTGTGCCTGCCTGCGGATGGATTTCTTGTGACCGAGACAGTCCGGAGTTTTCGCGCCCATACCGAGGTGCGGATGCAGCTGGCAGTCACAGGAATACAGACCACGCCTTGTTCGCTGGGATAAACTGCCTCACAGCGCAGCATGCGACATCATGCACGCATCCTTGGCTATACATCCCCACACCATCGCACCGACCATCTACGTGATACGGAGTGTAACGGAGTGGAATAAACGTCGCTCACGATTAAGTTAACGAGCGTTATTTCCCGGTCTACTCGCTGGCTCCTGTGCGCGGATGAGCCGCAGTCTAATCATAGTGCTCACTATAATTTGATGGTCAATACGTGTCATCACCGGAGAAAAGACAACGTGTATGAGCTGTTCGTTTTGCAAGCATCGTACGTGATACCTTTGATTTTCGATACGAATACATTGTGTGTTTCGTCACAAGTAATTTTTTTTCTCACTACGATATGTAGCTTGGTAAAAACACTGAACGGAAGTGTTCGGCTGTGCTTTTATATTAACCCGACTCCAACTCATCAAACCTTGCTTTGACATCTGTCTGATACACATTGATCAAATTCCGACAGAAGAAACAGGGTGTGGAAAAACTATGAACACAGCCAAGCTTTTGAAAAGGCCGTTAAATGTGAGTGAAAGAAACCACCAAATTGACAAAATATCATCCACCTGTAGCTGTCGAGAAATAATCGGTCCGTCGATTGTCCCTGAAAGTTGACGCATAAAGGACGCATTCAAGATGCTGCTCAGACTAAAAGTGGTGCTGTTGGTCACTTTAGTGGTTGTGGCGGTAGAGGGAGAAACGGCAACTGAGTGTCCCAATGGTTGCAAGTGTGACGCTATCATGCTGATCGTAAACTGCACCAACTCCGGTCTGCGTCAGATACCGAACAACCTACCGAGGGAGTACCGTGTATTCAGCTTCGACAACAACATCCTGAACGTCATCGAAGACGATGCTTTCTCGGGGGTGACGGCGACACGGTCCCTTTCGTTGTCGCGCTGCAACATCACCAAGATCCAGGACGGGGCCTTCGACTTCATCTACAACGTCAGCAAGCTTTACCTGTCTGAGAACAGGCTGGACACCGTGCCCAGGGAGGTCCGCAACCTAAGCCGGCTGCAGCTACTGGATCTGACGGAGAACAGCATTGACCGCCTGGCCATGTACAGCTTCTACGGTATGAAGAACCTGCAGACGCTGCTACTGGATGATAACAACATCACGGTGCTCTCTAAAGGCTGCATGAGCGATGCAAGCCGGCTGCGCGTACTGTCGCTCAAAAGGAACGGCATGCACACAGTGAAGCCTGAATCTTTCCACTGTTTGAACAGCCTCGAGGAGCTGTACCTATCTGACAACTCCTTCGCTAATCTGCCTTTTGGCTGGCTGGTTGGCGTGTTCAATCTCCGAGTACTGGACCTGAGGAGAGCCTACTCGGCCAACGTGGTCTACGATCCGACGCCGAGGGAGAACTCCACGATGGGCTGGCTCTTTCCAGGCCTGTCTCCGCTTCTGGAGAGCTTAGATCTAGCAGAGAACGGAATCACCAGTCTGGAGTTCAACGCATTTCAGCCTCTGGAGGAATTAGTCTGGCTGGATCTCAGCGTTAACCAACTCATAGACCTTCCACTGGGTGTGTTCTCCCGTCTGAGGAAGCTGCAGCGTTTGGACCTGAGTTACAACATTTTAACTAACCTGACCGATTATCTTTTCCCCGAGGGCTCAGAATTGGAGTACTTTGATCTTGGGAACAACCTCTTTGAGACGATGCGCCCAGAACCCTTTAAGAATCTAAAGAACCTAAAATATTTAAGATTGCAGCGAAATGTGCTGTATGAAATCGAGTTCCTACTGAAGGCGAGCCTTCCCGGTCTTCAAGAACTGAACCTCGCCTCCAACACAATTTCCAACGTCTCTAGCGTTGGCTTCACAGCTTTCAAAAACTTGCGGAAGATTTGGATGAAAAACAACCGTTTGCGGGAAGTCCCAAACGTGCGGAATTTAACGTTTCTGACACACCTGGACCTGTCCTGGAACGGGATTGTCTACGTGGCGCCCGACGCCTTCATCGGTACAAGCCTGAAGGAGATTGATCTCCGGAATAATTACATCACCACGTTGGACCAGAGGACACTGGATGGGTTGCCGCGGCTAGGTGCCGTGCGAGTGGGGAACAATCCCTGGAGGTGCGACTGCGAGTTGGAGTGGTTCAGACAGGCTTATATGACCGCGGACTGGGGAGGAGACCTGGATGCGGCCATCTGTGACTGGCCTCCTAGCAGGAAGGATAACAGGGTGGTCTATCAAGACAAGGCCATGCAGTGTACCTCTTATCCTCCTCCTGCATCTGTTATCATTCTGGTCGTCATCTGGATCGCGATACTCCTGATCGTTGCCACAGCCATCCTTGTGAGGACTTACAAGGTCCATCGGCTACGGTCTCGTCGTAGACAAAAAGAGGATGGTGAGGAGGAACCAGCCGAGGAGCAGCAGCCGCTGAGAGAGGAACCTCCTCGCCCCAATCACCAACCACCGCCAATACAGCCCATACAACGGTCGGACCCAGACAAGGGGAAAGGGAAAGGGAAGGGTAAGGGGAAAGTTCAGAAAGGTCAGGTCATTGAGATGAAGGACATGAAACCCATGAACGGACTCAAGGTCAAGCCTTTTGACAGGGAATTCTATGTTTAAAAACAACCAAAGAAATTATATGTTGTACGGTAATTTGCATAATAGCACGGGTATTTTTTGTTTACCATTGTCATGTAAAAATACCGCCTCCTAACAGTTAGCATGAATTCTTTTACAGCGATGTTGTTGGCTTATTTTGAATATTCCAACTAGGGGCCTATATACAAATTGGTATGTGTGACCAAAATTCTGATGCTGATTAAGTATACATGTACATTGAAATATAATAGGCCTATAGAGAAATATTGTTCCAGGGTCTACTCGTATACAAAACACAGCATCTGTTTATACATATTCATGCAAGTGAGCTTTAGTGTTTCTCAGTTGTCGAGACAGTTTCAGCGTAAAATGGCAATACAGCCTGAGGTGTATACAAAAATTACTGTCCTTCGCTATCTGTGAAATCGTTACTAGAAGCTATTATCTGTACGACTTTTAAGCCCACCATCTTGATGGTGGGTTATAACGACTATAGAAACAAGGCAAAGAAAATATATTATCAGCAACACAGTAAAAGATTTCTCTCTGCCAAAGTAAAAGAAGAATTCCAAGATGGATGAGAAAAAGAATGCAAAATGATCTTTGCAGTAATGAGTAGGATTTTAGATAACTCGTGGTGTGCATTTTAAGGCGCAGTTAAAAAAAAAAAATTAGTTTCAAATATTGTAAAAGAAATTTCCAATTATGAACTTTTCATTAAATCGAAAGAACAAACAACGTTGCTGAAATGCTTTCACCATTTGGAATTACCATTAATTTTAAACGGCTGACATTTTCGCGAGGTTTAAAGAACAAAAATCCACTGACTAGCATAATGAAGACGGTACAGCACAATACCGCACGCGATGGGTTGGGATATTGTGTTCACAATGGGGAAGGTGGGCAGCACTGAGTCGATGTAAATGCAATTAAATCCAGCTCACCTGTCTTCTCTTAACCGAATCTCTAATTGAAAACCAATGAGGCCGATAGTAAGGTGCATGTTAAGGGAGGGATATGCACTTGGTTTTGCGTGACAGGTTGTTTTTAAGACAGGGGTCATTATGCAATTTATGAACCGTCTTCTACAAAAAAAAGTATCCGTCAGACTTCTTTTTTTATTCTTTTTAATATAACTACAAAACCATGAGGTCAATTTTGAAAATTGTTGGTTGTGCTTATACTCCTTAGCCTTTGCCTCGACCCCTATGAGTTTCATTTAATTTCAGTCATGCTTCACTACACAATTGTCAATTGAGCACAACAACATTTTTGGACACTGTGACTAAATTCTTTGCCTTCTTCAATTTCAGTACTGCGTTAAGTAAGCTGTGTAAAATCCTTCATGTTGGGAAAAGGGCTGCAGTTGGGATTGAAATCATTTGCCTGGCTAGTATATCAGTCATCATGGCAAGACATTTAATACTCATGGACAAATTGTTCCAATCCCAAACCACATCAGAGTTTTTTCTCAACATGCAGGATTTTACTCAACTTTCATCATAACACAGCACTGAAATTGATTAAGATATAGAACTTGGTCACAGTGTCCAAAAATGTTGTTGTGCTCAAATTGACAAATGTGCAGCGATACGTGACTGGAATTAAATGAATCTCATAGGGGTTGAGGCTATGGATCAGGAGTATCTGCACAACCAAACATTTTTAAAATTGACCTCATGGTTTTGTAGTTATTATAAAAACGGTGAGAAGGACACCTTTTATTAGGCATACTGCATATAAGGAGGCGTGGGGCAGTTTGTAAAAGTGTGAATTTACACGGCCTTTGTAAAAGTGTGAATTTACACGTCCAACCCTTTCGAATAGTATTCCACTTTGACGAAATCTACAGTATATATTATGTCAGTCGATTGTATATAATTATTTACGTGTTACAAAGCATTCGGGGTAACGCATTCCTATCGCTGCAAAATATAGTCATAGTCTCATTTCCCTATACAGTTGTCCCGACTAATTATATTATGAACGCAGTTATCATTATAAGAGAACATGGTGCATATTCGTTTTGACACCTAACTTATACAGACTTAATTGTCTGTCAACAGGCCTAAATTGTTGTATTGAAGTGGTCTTTAAATGTAACAAGATGGGAATCTTGAAGGAAATGGACAATCCAATTTTGTGTTCGATCTAATTTTTGGCTTGCTCAAAATTTAATACGAGCAAAATTTGGATATAAACAACTTTGCCTTGAAGATTCTTTTAAAGTTTTATCTCAGTAGAAATGTTTGGTATTAAATCACTTTTCCTCCATAACATCGTAGTTTTTGACAGGTGAAATTGAAATAGGTGACAGCTAAAATGAATAACCTGAAGAAATGAAGAAATAGTACAACGTTCACTCTGCAATCTCTCTAAATTTGGTTATCGAGTTTAACTCTTCAAAAAGGTGATGATATGCCAGAAATACACCATTCAGCCAGTTGCGTGACTACACAGTTGACTGTACTTATCAATAAAGTTGCGCAAAAAGTAATAATACAAAAAAATATTTGCAGGTGCTTACAGCTATAAGTGTCGAATTCAACTATTGTTGAAACACCACTCAGCATACGTTGAATTCATGAAATATGAAGGATTTCTTGGTGTAAAATTAACCTGGCTAAAGTGCACCTCTGCCTTTCAGGTGTTGGTTTAACACTGTGCTTTTTAAGCACCCGAGTTTACTCAATATCGATCCGGATTGCTGCGAATTCCTGAATTGACAGGCGTTTTGAATAACGAATGACTTTGCCGTGTGTAAAACGTGCTTGGCGTGATGGTGCTTTATACAATTTTGTGTTATTTCTTTGGGCTGCATGGAAGAAAAAAATTGCGAACTTGTCCAGTACATTAGAACTATCATGAAGAGTTTCGATCAAGTTACTTTCATGACACCTCAAAGTTAATCGTTCTCTCCAAGATGAGTCACTGGCAGGCTATTTCGTACATAATTAACGACAAGAGTGATGTCAATGGATATGAACTATAAGCCCCTTATTGAAAAGAAAATCGAGAATGTCTTGAATGGATTTACACACGGCAAAGTCATTCGTTATGCAACGTAATCTGAAGACATTTTAGAAAAAAAAATCTATCCATTTACATTTCCCTATACCATTATTTGTCGACCTTCTCAAACCACTCTTGATTTCGAATTGAACAAAATCAACTTTTAATTTGATAGAAATGCTGCATGTATACATTTTATTGGGAAAATAAAGCTGTAGGGAAGATCCCTCAGTGGGGTACATTATGTAAAATTCTTGTCAAGATGGCGACCAGTCCTTTTTTTTAAACCGTGATCAAACAACTTGAAATTTTCGGCATATATTTTGAATTGTATTACTAAGAGATGAATGGACTGATGTAATTTATCTGAAATTGTCTTGAATTTTAACCACAATGATGTAATGTTCCAGTTGGGAGTCTTGTATAAAAAAAATGCCGCATTTATATCGCATTTCCCGTGTCAACCATTTTAGATAGTGTACATTTCCAGATGAATATTAATTAAATAAAAAAAAAGACCATGTAAAATGATGTATGCATGATGCATGGCATCCCTGGGGAGACATAAGGAAACATTAAACAATCAAACTCACATTTGATGTCTATTGTGTGCTATTGTACAGAATACCTGAAAACCATATTGGTATCATTTTTTTTGGTAGCACTTGTGTGTAACTACAAAATTCGTTTATGTGTATAGTGAAGGAAGTTTAGATAAGATAGTGTAATATAAAAATATGTAAATTAATATGTGTTCTCTAGCAGTGAGACTGTATGTATAGTTTCTATTTTTCGAAATTCAAATTCGCATATTGCATATAGAAATAATCAAATAATCTAAAAATGGAAATTCTGTGCTGTTAGCGGCAGTCCTGTGTAATACACCATCACTATAGCAACCAACCATATGCTACAATCAACAATAGGTATACATTGTACTGGTATTCTTGGCTGGTGTTCTGTGCGCAGTATGCCTTTTATGAAGCCACGACGTCACGATTGAGTGAACGCAATTATTATGCCCCTCGCAATTTCTATAATTAGCTGTTATTGTCATCGTGTAGTTCATGTCAGCAGCACGTCTTACGTGTGTGTGTTATCTTCTGCCTTTCACACAGCAGGGAAAATTATGACAAACGCAGACTTATATTGAGCTTTTCTTGTAAAAAGAAATAAAATACGAAATATCCATCAATATCTTTCAGTTATGAACATCAGTGTCTTTGTTTAAAAATGGAAGGTTTTAGTTCATAATCATATTGGTAGCGGTGAAAAGCAGGTCACGTTACAGCAAAAACGGCTTCCGTGATTATAAGTGACACTGCGACTTAAACTGAACAGGACAAATTTAAAGATGTGCTAACTGTCCGTGCTATTGTCGAGTTTCACCTCAAAAATAGATAGAACGACCGAAAGAAATCGTTTAGTAGTTATAGAAGATTAATTTGAATATTTCAAAGGCCAGACAACAATTCAGTTATCGGTGCGGGTAGTCTGCATGGTTCTCGCCTCCCTTTTATGTCGGAACCGGGAACCAGCATGAACCAAAAAAACAAAACAAAGAGGAACTTGCCAAAAAAAGATAGAAACAACTTGTTTTCCGTTACAATAAAACACACAGGGTCGAAAAAATACAGTGAGGAGAAACAGTCAAATTTGATGCAGAGAACGGGAAGTACATGCTCACTGACAAGGTATACATCCCTCGAGTAGTAACAAGCATTTTGGTGACCATTTTGAGAAAAAGAGTGATAACATCCAAAAAGCTGCCACCGCTACAATGCTATCACATATTTTCCAACTCTAGGGGTGCATATACCTTGCCAAAAAATCGCTATGAGCATTATTCCCCTCATTTGATACCGTTGGCCAAAATACGAGGCTGATAGCCTATCGTGTAATTTTGAAATAAGTGCCTCGTATAATCTATGTAAAAAAATGAGGTAATTTATTGTTCAGGAAACGAATTGAAGACCGACTTTGAAACCACGTGTCTTGAGTAACTTAAAACGATCAGGTAACTGACTCGGAAAATGATAAGCCTGAGTTGGCTCTGAAAATGAGCGCCCTTAGTCCTTTTACGATCTGAGTGCTTTAAGTAATTACACCCCGGCCTGCAGTGTTCGGCAACTATATAGCTATATGGGGGGAGGTGGTAATGAGGCCTGATGATCAAGTGGATTTTGAAGGGCTTTTTGATCAGCCAGATGTCTGAAGGAGAAACACGTTTCGGGTAGCCGGACTATAAAATTTAAAGGGCCCATGCAATGTAATTTTAATGCAATCTTTGAAAATGCACGTTGTAGTGTTCCATTTACCCTATTTTCAATTTTCGTTTTGCTATTTTCAAGGGTATTTTGGTGGGGTTTTTTTTTTGGGGGGGGGTGTGATGCTAATACGGATTTCCATATTCATGAGCAAAAGGGGAAGGTAGATTCAGGCAGATTCCTCGATGTTGTAGGTATTTCAGCACCAAAAGTTGCCAGAATTTTAGATATTCTGTTGTCGTAAATTTTCTTTCTTTTCTTTGGTGATTCGTTGTTGTGTCAGTACATGGCAGGCAGTTAGCCAATAGGCAAACTTTTTTCACAAATGTTTTCAATGTGAACGTTTCGGGTTCTCGATTTGAACAGAAAACACCCTCACTGACTCCCTGAAACGACATCACAGCAATACATTTAAATGCTTAAAAAAATGCACTTTTCGATTGAATTAACCAAAAAGTGATGTCAAATAGTTTTCACACATTTGAGAGGAGTAGAAAGTTGCACGAAATATGTTCCTAAGAAAGATTCACTTCATGACCCCTTTAATGTAGCCTATATCACACTGCAAAACGGATATCGCAATAATATCGCAGTTTATGGTGTTGCTGACAATCTGCAATGCCGTCTTAATTAAAACATACATCTCAAAATGAAGTATGATCACAGTCTGAGAATTCGCAAGTCGGAGCACAAATGCCGTTCATAATTTGGGGGTTTAGGACTTCATTTTTTGATAAAATCAATAATAATCAATGATATGTTTAATAAAGTACAACGGGGAAAAATGCATTCCATGAAAAAAATGACGACATTTGACTCCAATGATCAGAAAGACCTTGCATTTTGTCCATTTTAAATAATGTACTTGAATTCCTATTGCCATTTCTATAGTCCATTCGCTGTAAATGTTTAAAAACCTTCCTTTAAAATGCTAGTCTATTGGTTGGCAGGGATGAGTATGTCGCATATAAAACGATGACATTAAACCACGCTAAGGCCAAACAAAAAAAGTCTCCGGTTTCTGGTAAGGAGCTTGCCCAAAAAAAGTCTCCGGTTTCTGGTATGGAGCTTGCCCAAAAAGTGGTGCGGCGACGCGGCTTTTTTTTTTTTACCTGTTTTTTTTGGCTTCAAATGTCGGCTGATGACTGCAAATGGTGCCCGACTAAACTTAGTGCAAATATATGGGAGTCCAGAGAGGCCACATAAAGCTTGTTCTCGATCATAACCCCATCTAAAAACACGTTAAAACTGTGCAGCAGCAGGATTCCAGTCAAACCAGTGAATTAGGCGGTTTTGAGACATCATCTTTTATTGAAAAAAAAACTTTTTCATTTTGCCGACGCGCATGGCTACGGCGACGAGCGCGCATACCAGAAACCGGATACTTTTTTGTTTTGGCCTAAGCGTAGCGGGATTACCTTTGCCGGAGTATGTGTCAATTTATGTGGATTATTCTCATGCAGTATTCATGGGGTACATTGCCTCTTAAGGTGTGAAGTGTATGACGAGGAATATGATAATGAAGTTATGGGTCATTATGTCTAACACAGCACAAAACGAAAATTGTTTGTTGTTGTTTTGTGTATTTTATTGCAGCTACAATCTCAATGGATTTTCATTTGGAACAAGACCTTCAAATTTCGATTCATAACAACAAAAAAATGTTAAAATTAAATAAATATGAGGACAATTAAAAACTAGATTCAAAGCAATGTATGACGCCCGCTGGCTAAAAGTCGCACAGTGTGTGTACTGAAATTAAAGCATTCGAGCATTATTACAAAAACTTTATCATTCCTACTGGATGTCAATTCTTTTTTCTTCGACCAATATTAATAATTGTCTGTCTAGAGAACGAGGGATTATAATATTATTCAGGTATCCCCCCTTCCGTTATCTTTTTGTTTTGTAGTAATTTCTTCCTGGGAACAAGATACATGTAACCAATTATATGTAAGGCTATTTTGGTCGGTTGAATTGTGCCCACGAAAATATGGCTGTTTTGGCAATTCGTCATGCATCGTCTGTCATGCATGCATGCCACTCGAAATACAAGCTACCTTGTTGCTCAAGACCATCAAATACCCGGTCTAGTAGTCTGTATAACCGAAAGGAACAGCCCGCTCTTCCCATTGGCCGTATTTGCAGAAAAAAAAATCAATTTAAATCATATTTCAAATTGCACAAAACGACACCCCCTCCTCCAAATAGTCCCTCGAGATGTGTATTGTCGGTTGATCATTACTCCTTCTATGGCACGTACGGAAGGGAATTACATTTTATTACGTGCCTAAATTATGATTGCTATCTGACTGTTATTAGTTTCATTACAACGGTGCATTAGTTTCAAAGGGATTCATATACATGTACTTGGGGAACTGCGCTTTTTCACCCGCTCAATTTCCGACTCAGAGTCCACAAATTGCGCGCGATATTTCTGTTAAATAGGCATATTTCGTGACTTTATCCTTTTTGGGGCGGGGGTGTTTGTCCATCTATACTAGAAGTCTTTTTTCAGTCGGGAGGGGGAGGGGAGGGGAGGGGGAGGGGGCTGGACACCACATTACACTAGGGGCGCTCTTCAGGATATAGATGTATATCATGCATACTCGCGCGCTTAGGCCTACATCAAAACGGCGCATTTTAAAAGCTTTTGTACTTTGTTTCTCCACTTTTTAGTGCTATTGAATAAATTTTGGTTGTTGGGATGTTCGAAAAATACCTTGAAATCCGCATTTTTTTATCATCACGAAAAAGTGTTGGGGGGGGGGGGGGGTGTGATTCAATAACTCATCCCCCCTCCGGTCAAAAAGTGTGGGGGGGGGGACATATACCCCCATCCCTCCCCCCGGGATTTACGCCCCTGGGCGCGCCCAATTCTTTTGTCTAGAGCAGCTGTCTAAGTCTTCGCCCATTAACCCGAACCCCCTAGGGAGTGTGCACAATCGTATTGTGGAGGATTCTAGCCTTGGTCTAGGCGCTAGTTGTTTTTTATCCGGCCATAGCGCGGTAATGCATGCAGTCATAATGTCTATGCGCTATGCATGCAGTACAGTCATAGACATAAAGAACCTACATTACAACCTCGTCCCCAGTGCTTACTTTATTTCCAACCGCGTTTCCAATAGTAAACCCTGGATAGGAAATTTTCTTCCTGTATCCTGATTGGATACCGCAATTTGTATCGTGTACTTGGTGCTATATATTCACAACGTGCAGTACGTGTTTTCGCGATCATTCGTCCACGCCTTCTCGAAAATACTAATTTCCTTTCCAATTTGCTCATATTAATATGAAATATGATACTGCATGTTGTCTCGATAAGATCGTAACAGTTTGATTTCAAAAATCGTGTTTTCGTAACTCACGCCGTACGTGCTCGCGCTGCTACGAATTGACTCTGTTTTTACCCCAGACACCGCATACAAAAACAAACGCTAATGTGTAACGCATATCCAGGCACCAGACTGTTCCTCATTTGCATACGTGTGCAAAAATCTTGCACATGCAAATGATCCAATACCAGGGTGAGAGAGCAGGTAGTGGTGGGCGCGTACTGCTCGACACCCTGGGGACGAGGTTGCCTACATTAAAAATACAGCGCGAACAGCGACCTCACGCGGCCACTATTTTTATGCAAATCAGTTGGACCCATGAAATGGTGGCCGCATGAGGTCGCTGTTCGCGCTGTATTTTTAATGCACTGCATAATGCCCTAGCGAGGATATCGTTTACGCGCCACGGCCAGGATGAATAACATTTAGCGCCTTGACCATGGGTAGGAGGATTCAGGACAACACTTAAACAAGCTAACATCGCTCTGGGCGCCCGTTTTTTGACACGGCCTTAATGTTGCAGACCAGTAAATAGACTGCCATAGAGTTCAGCGATAATTGCGCGCGCGCACTTTTCAAAGTTATTATTAAAAATACTCACAACTATCCAAGGTGTTTGCAACACACATCAATTTCATCATCTGTTATTTTCCGTTCAATTTTTTGGGGGTTAAACTATGACTTTTTGGAGAAAATTCCATGCAAAGATGATCACCCCGAAAAGCAGGCCTGAAGCCCATCACCATTTTGCGAACGGACGCCATAATAGAGCCATGATTTGAGGCCAAATAAAAAACAAAAAACATTTTTACCGTTCCCGCCCGCTTCCTTTTTGGAGGCCGCCTCCTTTTTTTTTTAAACACGAAAAAATAAATTTTGAACAGTGACATCATTCTGGCCTCTTTGTCTGTTGCATCTAACCCATATAAAGCTGGTATGTCATTCCTGAGTCAAAATGGCGGTCATTTAAAAATGGAAGGAAAAATAAAAAAAGAAGGCCTCCTTCTTTTTTTCAAAAAGCAGGACGCTAAACATGTTTTTTTTTTCTTGGCCTTATGGCCTAATTTCATCCTTATTTCACACTAATACGAGCTCGCAGTCCTCTGCACGGCTTCCACCCTTTTTTTTTTTTTTTACAACTCCTCAAGTTCACGGCCCTTGCACTAGTACCTGAGAATCTGAAAAATGTAAATCGTGATTTGGCCGGCGTAGGCAATTTTGGGCCTATTTACTGGTCTGCATATATGCCCCCTTTAAGGGCAGCAGCTTGACTAAATCAATCAGTTGAGGGCGCTACCACTTAATGGCGTGAATTTTTCGCAACTCCGCGGGCGCGGGCAGACGACAAACAATCCCTGACTGATTTTTGGTTTCACGTCTGAAACTCAAATGCCGTCGTAATTATTTTTGGTAAATATTACATTAAATTTTAAAATTTGTTTTTGTAAAGATAAAGCATGTCAGTCCATGGAGGAAGGAACAGTCATACTCATACGTGTACGGTACAGGAAAAAGCCAAATATTTTAAGCCATGCTGTATCATTTTTGTACTACGCCTAGATTAGCGAGTAGGCCTGTGGTTGTAGGCCTAGGCCCTAGCCGTACCGGCCGTACGCGCGTTTCGTGCTTAGGCCAGGCGTAGGCAGCTAGTGGTAGGAGAAGGGCTCAAACCAAGAGTGAAAGACCTTGTCTTGCGACTTATCCAAAGTTGGTGCCACATGTTTATCATGCATGTGATCTTACCACAAAAAGTCAGTAGGAGTAGGAGGCCGACTGAAATTTAACACAATGAATGAATGCTAGCGAGAATTTGACAAAAAAAATCGGTCACTGTATCATCAGGAAATGAATCAAAAGAAAGTAGGCCTACGGGACGTGTATTTAAGTTTTTAACTGCCAAGTTTTGGCAACAACGTGACACAGTCACCTATGACCTAGTACCTGCTGGTGAATAAAGCCATGATCCACATAATGTCATCACATATTCTTATTGGAGCTCAGCTCAGTGCACAGTCTCCACAGAGAGATAGAGGGACTACTGTACATTGTTATTTTGGGGGTATTTATATTGGTCTAATATTTTTCATTATTAAAGGTGAAACTTAAACCAGGATGGAGCAACAACAAGATGTGCCATTTATGAGGTAAGGGGCAAAAATGCAGTCTATTTAAAAAAAATCATACTCCAACAATACTGGCTCAATCTGCAGACGGTTGTCAGAGAGCAACTTATGTTGACATTACAATTCAGGTCGTGTAAATTTGGAACAGACAATAAAAGAGTGAGCCAGGGCATGTATCCCTCATTCTTTTGAAACAGGAAAATTCACTCGGTGCTTATTTTTAAAGTTCATGGTTTACTCTCAAACCAGAAATTAATTTTGAGGCTCGAAAAACAAAACTTGAATACTGAGCTTTCCTTGTAGAACTTTTTTGTTGAAATAAAAAACCAAATATATTTTGACATCTATTATTTACCCCCAAAATGAAAAAAAATTGTGTCAAACTCCCCCAAAATAAGGTGTCTAGGGAATTTTACTTGCTGGAATCTTTGGAATGGAATGATTTTACTGTGCATGAGGGTTGGACAATATAAGCCTGCATGAACTAAGAAAATAATAAATTCACCTTTGCTGGCTCATGCATGCTAACTGATATGCCGATTGATAACCTAATTCAAATGAGACATTGGGCCAACTCTCTTGACACTAGATTATCAGGCCTCAAGTTTGCTTGCTACGACAGAGATGGCTCTTCAAAAAATGCCCCTTTCAGAAAATTGGGTTCGGTTATTGAATTTATTTGGCATAAACGTCATTTGTTATTTTATCACTTGTTTTCAAGCCAGCTTTTTATTTATCAGATAAAGCTGGCATTTCAAACCTTTAAGTAAGAGCAATCTCCCTGGCATCTGAATTTCATATTTACTTGCAAAAGGTAAATCTTTTCTATTGCAGATAGATACTGTGACCTTTTCAAAAGGTAAATCCAATAAGGGTAAAATCAAATTGGAATCCAGTAGGGGTAAAAAAAAAAGAGAAATTCCTTTTCATCCCTGTCTCATAAACAAAGCTTCATCCCCGTCTCAAAACAAAGCTAGCTTGTACAGAATTTCCAGTGCATTAAATGCTTTGACCTTTTAAAATAACAACCTGTTTCAATAAAAGAGGCTGCGAAATATGCACAATTTCTTATCTGGCACTTGTTAAAATACAGGTAGGCCGAGTCTAGTTGAGCTACTGGCTACTAATCAACTCCAAGTTGTGCCTGAAGTTTGAGCTCTTACAACCTGAAGTTGTGTCATAATGACAAATGGAGAATGAAGAATGTGTACCTCTCCTGGGGATATCAGCCTCTATTTTACTTGCACCACTGTACTAATTATTCCATCAATCATGGGGCACCAGCCTGCATTTTTCATGGAATGATCAAGGGGTTTGCTGCTTCCGTGAGCCGTGCTCAGACTTTATCTGGCCCCAATTCTGATGTAGATTGGTCCACAGAGCTATTTAGGAATAAGTCAGTTTGATCTATAGACCCATTAATGGAAGGGACTATAATGCAAAATCTCATTTCGTTCGAGAGGATGGGATTCTATTTATTTGCGACCAATAGTTAAACGGAGATGGTGCGTGATTTAAAGATAAAAATAACTGTATTTGTTTGTTAAATTTATTTTCATGAAATTTGAGGTATAGATGGCCTGTACTGTGTGAGAAAATGTTGCAGTACTTGGCAGACTGTGTTTTTTGAAAGTGTTGTGCTGTTCCAATCCTAAAATCATCTTCTAAATTATTTGTGAAATTCAAACAAATCTATATGTTCATATGGAACATTTATGACTATTGCATTAATTTTGCAATCATTATTCAACAGAGATTGGTAGAGCACTGACATGGGGTTTTGGAGTTGGCAGATCCAAATCTTGGTCTTTATTTGTTCAAACACATCAATTCAAGGTGAACCTAACGTCATTTTGTGGTTTATTTGATATATTTATTTGATAAATTAATTCAACAAAAGAAGTAGCAGCCTAGCTAGTTCAAGCTTTAAAGGATTGTTTGGTTTTGCAATTTAGGTCATCAGCAACTGTGAGACGGAAACAAAGCCTGCAAGAGTCTCACAAAAGCTCATCGCCAGAGAAGGCCGGGCCTAGTTTTGTGGATCTTCTGTCAAGTGGTCCATTTACACATGAGCCTAATAAGTCTGCCTTCAAAGTCGGGTGAGATTCAAATTTATTTCAGGACAAATGTTCCATATTCACCAGAAGCATTTTCATCAGCTGTGTCTTGAAATAAAACCCGAGTCAACAACTGCAAAATAATGCAGACATAAATTAAGCTATATGTGTTTTCAGGTTTAAATTACTGAAACACCAACCCCCAAAAGCTTAATTTGTCTACATGATTCCAAAATTGCAATAAAATTCAGGGATTTTTTTTCAGGAAGTGGGGGGGGGGGGGGGGGGGGACTTCAGAGTTTGGGACAAACGTTCCATATTCACCACAAGCGTTTTTAGCAGCTGTGTCTTGAAATACAACCCGAGTCAACAACTGCAAAATAATGCAGATATAAATTAAGCTGTGATTTCAGGTTTAAATTACTGAAACAAAACCCCCAAAAGCTTAATTTGTCTGCATGATTCCAAAATTGCAATGAAATTCAGGGTTTTGGGGGGAGGTGGGGGGGGGGAGCCTTCACATTTTAAAACAAACGTTCCTTATTCACCACAAGCATTTTTATCAGCTGTATCTTGAAATAAAAACCCGAGTCAACAACTGTAAAATAATGCAGACATAAATTAAGCCATATGTGATTTCAGGTTTAAATTACTGGAACAAAACCCCCAAAAGCTTAATTTGTCTGCCATTCCAAAATTGCAATTAAATGCAAGTTTTTTCAGGAAGTGGGGGGGGGGGGGGGGGGGTACGGTTTTGATCATTTAGTAAAGGGTATAAAGAATAAAGTTTCTGTTAACACAAAAAAATACGACTGACATGCAACCATGTAAATCTCTGATATTTTTGGTATGTGTTTTTGAGGGTATTGTTTTTACTTTCAAATGCATCGCAATTTTGATTTTTTTTTCCCCCTTAGGAATAGGTGCACACAGACAGTTTTCTGTAAAAAGCACACTATTTCATGCTGACTGTCCAACCTGTTTTTACCTGATTACACAGGGTGCGGTCAGACCTACCAGAGCCAAGCAAGCTGCGCACGAGAGCCAAGAAGGCTGGCAAGATGAAGAGACGAAGACAATCGTGGGACATCAGTGAGCACATTGCCCAGCTCAAGCACAAGTGCTTGGACTTTAACTGGTAAGCCAACATGGTACAGTATCTTTATTAGGGACAGTCCCAAAAAGTGGTTAATGAGAAGGGTCCAGCTAGTGGACCCTTTCTGCCGGTCAACAGCGACCATTGATGACCAAATGGATCAAGGCTCTTTGATCCGGTGACCTTAGTAGGTCAAGCAAACTCGGGTCAGAATTAATCACTTTTAGAAATGTACCAAATGCATTTTTTTTTACTTGGCCTTATTGCCTAATTTCATCCACATTTCACACATACACGAGCTCGCAGTCCTCTGCTAGCGTACGAAAATGCACATGTACACACTGAGTACAGTGACTGAACAAACTTGAGCATTTGTCAAAATTCCCATAAGAAGTCAGAACAAAAAAAATCAAAACATAATATAAGAATCAAAATGGTTAAAGCCTGTAAAAGAAGTTTGATGTTAACAAACAATACAAGCAATTGATACTCAAAGAAGGGTTTCTTCTCTTTTCGTGCACGTCGTCAACCACACAGGGGAAAACCGACAGTTGAAATAAAAAACAAGCACAAGCCAGAGGAAGCCATGGCTACAGTCAGACGGTGCAATCTCAAGCCTAAGACGTCAGACTCGATGACCTCATGGGTACCCTCGCACGTCAGTGTCCACACACATGGGCGTACTGCATCCTCCACTTCCGGCTTGCATCTTGTTGATGACACTGATGAGGAGATTCAGAGATGGGATGCAGGGGCTGGGATCAGTCATCTTGCGTCAGAAGATGATGAGGTATCCAAACCTACATATCTTGTCTGAGAAATTGGCCTGTTGACTAGCGGATCCATGAAAGAGGGGGGGTGCAAGAAGACTGGTGCACTGATCAGTGGGCCGACCATTGCAACCTTTTTTTTTGGGGGGGGGGAGGGGGGGGGGGGGGAGAGGACACCAAACATAGCCCAGTCCTTCCCCACTCCCCTCGGGATCTTCAGGGGTGTGAGTGACCGCTGATAAAAATGGCTGAAAACAGCTGAAAAAGTTGCCAAAAAAAAAAGCTGAACTTTGGAAATCTCCTATACTTTTGTACACAGCAAGTGAAGAAAAAAAGTTGAAATCCAAAACAAAAAAGCTGAATCAGCTTTAAAGCTGAAATTTCACACCCCTGGATCTTCTAGTGCCAACTCTAACACATGCACAATTGCAGCATTCTCTATTTTACCCAGGGCCTAAAATAGACCCAAGTCAAGAGTTGGCAATGTTATGTCACATTTCTTGAATCAATGCAGTCAAACATCAATGTATGGGAGAAAATGCACATGTACAAACTGGGTACAGTGATTGAACAAACTTGAGCATTTGTCAAAATGCCCATAAATGCACAGAGTTTTCAGATAATTGAACCACAATACTTTTAAAAGTTCAGCTCTTCAACACATCACTGAGGACTCTCATCGTTTCACCAAAGTTTGTTTTCTTTTGATCCAAAAAACGGAAGCTTTCAAGGAAGCTACATCAAGTATGTGAACAACTTAAATAATACTGGGTTATTTTTTTATATCAATTTCCTCTCAAATCTGTACTCAGTGCTAATGGCAAGCTCGAGAAAAGTACAAACATTCGAGAAAGCGCAATAATATTTTGCAATCTTTTCCCAAAATGTTTCCCTTTTTTGGCTACAGATTCCGAGTTATCTGCATCCTCCCAGCAAACCGAGTTTTCATCATCAGCAGCAGCCAAAGATTGCTCAGATATCCTTTGAAGTGTCCCCATGAAATTTCACCCATCGTCAATGTGGAATAAATATTTTATAAGCCCTAACACGGTTTTCAGATTAACTGGGGACAAGAGCTCAAAAAATAAAATAGAAACGATAAAATAGATGGGCACAGATAAAATACATAGAGGAAGTTTAGTATAAATATGTACATTCACAATGACGTTGTACTGTAAATGTGCATTTGAAAGTTTCACTCAAATGGGCTTATTGAGACATGTTCTACGTAATCATAATATATCGTAGCAACATCATCAGATAAGATTTTCAACATAATGCAGTTCATGATGCAAAACATCATGTTGGCTCTATTGAATTTTGTTTTTATAAAAACTTCTTTTCACAGGCATGCAATATTTCCTCCGATCAGCTGATTTTGTAGTTTTGTACTCGAGTTAAAAATTGAAGAAAAAAATGCAGACAGTATGGTAAATCTTCCTCTGCTGTGAATTCCCAGTGGCATGTCTGGTTTCATAGGTCAGATTTTCCTTAACCATGAATTGTTTCTTCACATTCCTGATGTTCCCTCTTTTCCAGAGAATCCATTCTTCCAAAGCTACTTGGATGACGATAAAAACTTGACAGCGACGTCTAGCTTTGTGCCTGCAACCTCATCAGATCACAATTCCAGATGGGACAAATTCATCACTCAAAAAGAGTTCTAATAGCATACAGTAGCCATCTTTGAGGTTTTTTTTTATTTTGAATAATTCTCATTAATAATGAATACACAAGAGGTCTGCTCAATGCGTGTCCCTTAGAAACAAAAGCCATACCTCAAGGATGGATACAGTGCAAAGATCTAATTAAACTGATACCCCCCCCCCCTTTAGAATTTGGATTTCTCAAAAGTCATAATTTTCTTTTAAAATGAGGCCCATTAATACTTGGGTCCTTCAAAGCACCATTTACATACTGTCAAATGAAATTCAATTGAAGAAAAAAAGGATTTTCACCTTTTTTTTTTTACAATAGCCAACAGAATCCTTATGGAATTTTTTTTATTTATATTTTTATTTTTTAAAAACTATTTATGCCCCATTCTCAATCCATGCCAAAGTTTACTGAAGTCACACTGTACACAGTTTTATACTGAGAACTTTCTAGTTTGTCTGTAGGGCTTATTTGTGGTCAACTAAATTTTAAAGGGCTCGATCCGACACACACAGGTTATTTTGCTCTTGTACAGATTGTATGAAAGCATACATTTTGAGGATATAATTTTAATTTTCGGATGAGTCCAATCTGGAGACACTTTTAAACAGTTAGAAGAAAGTGCTGATAATCTTAAGAGATATTTAATTTTTATTGCTGCGTCACCATTTCAAAAGTTAACATGTTCTTAGCTGTGCTTACTGCTTACAACCTCCGCGAAATGCACAGGGCTCTGTCAACAGAAAATTGAGTGCTTATTTTTAGCCCTGGAGTACAATACAACAAATAACAAGCGAGAATCAGACAGAAGTAGTAACATTCTGAGCATAATATTTATTTACATTATACTACAATATATGGTACAATATGTTTAATAAACAAATGGTGTTGCTGACTGTTTTTATTATTACAAATGCAAAAATGCAATAGTTTACACTACAAGGAACATTTATTGTAAATTATCTGCAGTGTTTGTAAATAGCGTCTTTTCAAATATATACAAGTTTTAATAAATGTTATGTGCTGTATTTAATGCATGATGAGAAAGCTTTTGCAATTTTGGTATTTGGAAATTATTATCAAACTTCTCGTTCGCACCATGGAGTAATGTATCCTAAACAGTTGCTGCACCATGAAATGAAATATCGTGCAGTCTCAAAACGTTAGGAAAACGTCTAGCCTCGTTTTTAAGCCAAAGATATTTCACATCGTAATTCCTTAAAATTTTTACAAAAATCTGGACTATTTTTTCAATTTCTTATTATTAAATATTCCGTCTACATATGCATCATATCGATGTTCTTGGACAATTCAGCCTCCATTCTCCCCTGTGAAAAAAGCAACACAAAATAAAAACACATAAGGCAAAAGAGTGCCTGAAGAGTGCCTGAGCATTTGTGATGGTTATTATTTTTACTGTCAATAAGGAATTAATAGAATTGAAAAGATCGTCTGGGGATGTGACAACTTAACCCCCTGCATACACACACACCCTTACACAGGCATAGAAGTGGGGTACTTCCTTTGTTCTCGTGTACTAAAATTTAACCAGAATTAATTTCCTGGGCTGAAATTCGGACTTAATATCCCTTTTCTAAAACTCTTCCATTTGCGACAGATCAACCCACCTTGGAAATTCCTAGTTTTGAGTAAAATCCATATATCTATTCTGTGAAAAACTTGTGGGGTACCAAAACGGTACCCCGCAAGTCGGTGGGCATTCCTTGTGGGGTACCTCCCATTTGTTCCGTACCCCATAAGGCAGTGTTTATACGTTCACACGTACTAGTAACTATTTGATGAATAAAACCAACACACTGAGAATGATTTTATCCGTCCGTTCACAAGTACCCCCTCACCGGCAAAGAAACAATTTAAAAATTACCCACAAATGGCTTTCAAAACATTTCTTTGTTACTTTAGAAGTTGTCAAGTTGGTTACAGGTTCCCGATCCCATAATCTGGAACCGGTTCCTGACATCAGCGGTCAGGTATTTGAGTACCTGGTTCTGATGCACACCCATAGTAGTGTAATGGACACACTCAGATACCTGGTTGTGCATACACTACATCAGCAATGCTCCAACCAGAATGCAGATGCAGCGTGTCCAACATGCTTGTCACACAATTCCAACTGCTTTCTGGCTCAGAGTGCCAGGGAACACATTTTGTGATAAACTAAACTTCCTGTTTGCATACACGTTCAAAGAATCTCCAGTTTTCAGCCCTTCTTATTCAAGGTCCTTGAACAGTTTATTGTGACTTGCAATCTGAATGGAGCATACTCTGGGAGGGTGACAGTAATTCTTGGAGTGATCAGAGCGGCTTGCCACATTTGATTGTGACAAATGATTCAGAAAACAACCTACCAGTTCTCTCTTGGCTTCTTCAATCCTGACTTTGGCCAGCGAGATATCCGGCGGCAGGTTGTGATAGCTGTCCAACTTGGACTTGAGCGGTGTGAGTTCGGCATTTAAAGCTGTAAGCTCCTGCAAAGGAAGATGACGGGAAGAAACCTTTTCAGCCCCCCAAAAAGAAGTCGTATATTTCTTGCCATGCAACTATCTCAAGGGTCGTATTATTGCGATCCAGGCCCCAAGCCGGGTTAAATGTACTTGTTTAATACTGGTCAAGCACATATTCATTTTCTTATTAACATGTACGCAATCAGGGACTTATTATAAGAGATTTAATTTACAAGCATTGTATATTTGGTGAAGTTGGTGCAGTCGAAGAGCTTGATTTAATTTGTGCAATGAGTAGGTGGTCCTGTGGTTTGGCGGGCGGAAGAAACGTTGATATAAATACTCCATAGCATTTCTGTTTCAGGGACAGGAAATTTGCCAGTGAAAACTGATCTTTTCCCCCTGAAATTTTAACAGCTGTTTACAGTTTCAAAATGATTTGACACCGTTTGGAAATACAAGCTAGCATTCTACCTACCTCTGATAGCTTGACCAGGCTTTGGTGGTACAGGGAGGGCTCCACATTGTTCTCCTCCAATTGCGTCTGAGAGAAACAAAAATAGTTCATAAATTTTAATCCCAAGGACATGGGCCATCTAGACATCCAACGCACAGACATATTCAACTGATGGAGTTGCACTGAGAACTGGACTTCAAGACAGAAAAAAACAATTGCAGAAAGAGATCACCATTCACACACACCTGTAACTGATGAAGCTGTGCTTGATACTCCTTAGCCTTACTGTTCAGGACCCCTGCTTGTTGAGCCTTCTTCTCCAGCTCTGGGCCTTGGTACTCTGCCTGTTCTTCCAGTGCTTGTAGGGCTCTTCACAGATCAGAATATAATAAAGAGCAAACATCTTCACATTTTAACAAAGGCTGTCCATTTTTTTATAGATTAAAAAAAAAATGTCATCTAAGGCCAAAAAAAAAAAGTCTCCAGTTTCTGGTATGGAGCTTGCCCAAAAAGTGGTGCGGCGACGCGGCTTTTTTTTTTTTTTACCTGATTTTTTTGCTTCAAATGTCGGCTGATGACTGCAAATAGTGCCTGACTAAACTTAGTGCACATGTATGGGAGTCCAGAGAGGCCACATAAAGCTTATACTCGACCATAACCCAATCTAAAAACACGTTAAAATTGTGCAGCAGCAGAATTCCAGTCAAACCAGTGAGTTTGGCGGTTTTGAAACATCATCTTTCATTGAAAAAAAAACTTTTTCATTTTGCCGACGCGCATGGCTACGGCGACGCACGTGCATACCAGAAACCGGAGACTTTTTTTTGTGGCCTAATGGAGGAACATGAGAGTTGGCTTGTGCAATTCCAAAATGTTTGAAATCGATTCTGATTCCATAAAGTGGTCATGATTCCTCAGGCTCACATGATTCCTCTTGATAAATTAACACAGGTGTTCAAGTAAATCAACAAGTCATTCCTGTGTCACTGCTCATTCACTGTTACTTGTGACTTTCCTTACGATTTGACTTGTGATAGATTTGTGGTTGACTTGTGATTGAGTTGTGATAGACTTGTAATAGACTTGTGATTGACTTGTGATTGACTTGTGATTGACATGTGATTGACCTGTGATTGACCTGTGGTTGACCAGTGATTGACTTGTGATTGACTTGTGATTGACTTGTGATTGACTTGTGATTGACTTGTGATTGACTTGTGATTGACTTGTGATAGACTTGTGATTGACTTGTGATTGACTTGTGATTGACTTGTGATTGACTTGTGATTGACTTGTGATTGACTTGTGATAGACTAGTGATTGACTTGTGATTGACTTGTGATTGACTTGTGATTGACTTGTAGGTGACGTGTAGGTGACTTGTAGGTGACTTGACGACAACTCTTCTTGCCAACTTACTTCTTTAGTGTGTTGCACTTGATGAGTGCTGCCTTTGTCTTAGTGAAGAGCTGCTCACTAAGCCTCTTCTCCCGCTGTCTTGCCTCCTCTGTTTCCATGGCAACCTTGGACATCTCCATCATGGCTAGCAGATAGCTGCAATTGTGAACATTTGATACAAACTATAACCGTAGAATGTTGTTCCAGAGGGGAAATAGAGAGATGTTCACTGTAACTAGTAAATATTTTTTTTGGTAAGGATGTCATGTTCTGGTAATTTGTGAAAAATTGTAAAAGTGAATGTGGAAGAGAGCTACAGTTCAGTGCAGAGTAAGTTCAATCTCTGATTAACAAGTATTGTTTGGGTTTATAAACACAAACTGTCGCACAGTGCAGTGAAATATATAGACTAATCCGCAGATCGCCATTACCGAAGTTTCAGTCGTTCTTAATAATTTAGTTCAGAAGCACCAAGCGAGCACGCAGCACCTGTGCACAAGCAATGCATAGTGCCACCAAGTGTTGTAGAACTCGAGTACAGGACTCGGACTTGAGTCTGTCTCGAGTTGCAATTTTGGTGACTCGGACTCGACTCAAATCACATTGGCGAAAGACTTGGCTAAACTCTCATGACTCGGACTTGATGCTAATGACTCTTGAGACCCAAGTGATTCAAGACTCACGTGACCCGACCACAACACTGGTGCTGCCTCAGCAATAGTGGCTCCTAATTCTGGATGTTGAGTAAGTGTTTATCTTCACCACACACTTCTAAACGGATTTATTCTTTGCTTCTCAAAGTTGACCCCTTCTCAGGTCCAAGATGAAGGACTTGGTGGATATTTCATACCTGCTAGTGGAAGCGTCTCTGATTCCAAGGGTCCCCGCCACACTTGCCAGGGTTCTCAGGCTAACATTGCCCGACTGCGACAGAGTCGTTGCAGACAGACCAACAGACTGTAGTATACCAGCAAGACGTACGGCTGTATAATCAATAAGTAAATAAACAACTTTCATTTATGAAGTTTGATTAAATTCACTTTATGTATGATAGGGCTGTTATTCCCCAACTAGATCTTGGTCCCAAATTATGTGTTCAAGTTGGAACACTTTAGTTGGGACGGTCCAAAACTGACGTCGGGACCGATGATCTAGTTGCGGCATAGTAGGACCATTTAGAACTTAGTGTTGTAGTGAGGTCCATATGACAAGTCCTCACAAGTCTAACTAGTCCATCACCAGTCAACCACTCTAAAGTCGAGTCACAAGTGAACTGTGATAAAAGCAATCTTTTGTTACTGCTCATCATCTGTTACTTGTGACTTGACTTGAGAAAGGACTTGCGATTTACTTCTTGCCAGACTTGTGATGAACTTGTGATAGACTCAACCGCAACGCCGCTTGAAATCCTTCGGACTTGAAAATAAAGATAGAGTACCATATAAATGGAACACAAGTCCAAACAGTTCCAACCATGGAAGGTTTCCCACAGTTAAAAAACATACTCTCATACCTTCTGTGTGATATTCTTCGGTTTTCTGTCGGACATCTTCTGTGACGATCTGGGCATCTTTGTCCCGTACTTGATTTTTCAACATTAGACCGTGCAGTATCTCCATTGTGCGTTCGTTGATTTCGTACTGGGCGATGGCGGCCCCAGCGAAGCTACGCTCCAGCCACGCCCTCACCTAACAGAAAGGAATCAGTGTCATTTTTAGTGTTTTAATAAGTAGTTAAATTCGTGTTATGTCCTTGAGATTAGTATGCCCGACATGTAACATGTCTTATCAAGGAGTAGGCCTATGACCATAGAACTCCTTTTTTCGAATTTTTAGATTTGGTCTGTCGTGCTAGTATGACAGACCAAATCCAAAAATTTGAAGAAATAAAACATCCTAAAGGGTTTCCATGCCTCACGCGATGAAATGAAAGCCGCGCTGTGGTTGGTCAAGAGAATTTAATACGAAGTGGCTATCGTTACGGCAGCTGTTGTTTAGCACCCTCTACGATACTTTTTTGATACGCACGCAGGTATATAATTATTTGTTTCCCCACGTTTTAGCCAGCAGTGCGACAGCTCAGTCGATAGAGGGCAGGATTTTGCACCGCGAGGTTGCGGGTTCGCATCTCAGTTTTGCACTTGAATTTTTTTCCTTTTCCAACCTGAGGCTTTGGAGGATTTTTTTTAAAAGGGAAATAAAGTCCAAATTTCATAACGTTCAAATTCACTTTTTTTCCTTCTAATTTATATTTTCTTCTCATGTTTTTATAAAAGTTGCAGTAGGCTGTAACGATAGAAAATGGGAAATGCGTTACGGCTGCCGTAACGATAGCCACTGTCAAGGGTCCTCAGTCGACGGCAAACAATGACAGACGGCCGAGTGCGAGACTCCTAGTCCGAAAATTTGGGACTCTCAATACTGTGTATGAGAGTCCCAAAACTTAAGGTATCCATATCGTGCAAAACTTTGTGCTGCATGACTAATTAATGCCCACACAAGACTCCTCAGCTATAACATTTTCATCGTGTAGATAAAACAGCGCCCTCTTGTTGATCTGAGTGAATGCAAAAATGTTTCATTTTTTAGCAGAGGGCGCTATGTTCATTTGGCCATTGATTAAAAAACAAGTAAGCTGCAAGGCTCTTCCTACACCTACCCAGAATACATTGAGAATCACACACATATTTCCAGAGCATGGAGAATGACGTGGGTGGTTTTTGAACTGCCAAAACCTTGCCTTAAAATTGGATTTAAGGTCTCAAATTTTGCAGGTGACATGCTTGCAACTATAGCATTTTGATGTATGTGTTGTGTGGGCATTAATTAGCCAAATGGTGAGTAAAAAAACGTCAGTAGTAATTTTGCACGTTTTTATGCACTCACGGTCCTAGCCCCATAAATGTGGCCTATTTACTGGACTGCCTCCGTAAACATAGGCCACACATCCACATGTACAAAAATCGTGTCGACGGAGCCAAATTTTGATTTTCACATTTAGGATTACTTGGTAGGTTTTTTTTGCTTTAGAAGCATACTCACCCTCTTTATAGGCTAATCAGAAAGTGCTGCCTTTTTCAGATGTATATTTTTCGTGAAATTTCCAGATTCATTTTTACACATTTGTTAGCCCGACTGCGTCTGGCCGTACAGTACTATCGCAAGCTCTGTAGTACGGCCAGACGCCCGATGCTTCCAAAAAGACTGAATTTTTTTGGCCACCGATGTAGCGATTTTGCTACATCTTTCGATCGCGATTATCTTTTCATCCAGGACACAAATTTCCAAAGTTAAGGTTCGTAGTCGTAGAGCAACTCATACCTTTTCGAAAAAACGTTCTTTGGTCTCAATATTTTCATCCATCTGGCCACAAGACGAATTTCAGTCATCAGATTCCACAAATATCGTCCCCCATGCGATCCCCCATGCGATTTCAAAATGGCGGCCGCGCTGTAATGTATGCATTATGCGAGCGCGCTTGGGCAAGTAATGAATATGCATCATAGTTTATGACGTTTGTCGGACACTCAGCGCGGCTGGCCATACAAACACGAGGTCATGAACTAAATAATGCATATTCATTATCTTGCCCAAGCGCGCTCGCATAATGCATACATTACAGCGCGGCCGCCATTTTGAAATCGCATGGGGGATCGCATGGGGGACGATATTTGTGGAATCTGATGACTGAAATTCGTCTTGTGGCCAGATGGATGAAAATATTGAGACCAAAGAACGTTTTTTCGAAAAGGTATGAGTTGCTCTACGACTACGAACCTTAACTTTGGAAATTTGTGTCCTGGATGAAAAGATAATCGCGATCGAAAGATGTAGCAAAATCGCTACATCGGCGGCCAAAAAAATTCAGTCTTTTTGGAAGCATCGGGCGTCTGGCCGTACTACAGAGCTTGCGATCGTACTGTACGGCCAGACGCAGTCGGGCTACACATTTGTGTATCAAAATTTCAACATGAAATTTCACAAAAATTAGACATCTGAAAAAGGCAGCACTTTCTGATTAGCCTGTAAAGAGGGTGAGTATGCTTCTAAAGCAAAAAAAACCTACAAACTAAGCCTAAATGTGAAAATCAAAATTTGGCTCCGTCGACACGATTTTTGTACATGTGGATGTGTGGCCTATGTTTACGGCGGCAGTCCAGTAAATAGGCCACATTTATGGGGCTATCACGGTCCCAGTCTGCGAGACTCCATGATCCTGGTGAACGAAATTCTGGTAAATTTCACATTTTTGTTTGACATTTGAGGGATTTCAACCCACCCTAGCCATGCTAGCCTAGGGGTACTTATCCACATCCATGACATTGTTGTGCCCATTCTTGAAAATCACGCATTCTCGAGAATGGGCATGCACATTCTTGAGAATGTGCAACTGGATCCTTGCTCAATCTTGGCAAAAAATAACTCTTCCAGATTGAGCGCACATTCTCGAGAATGCGCGACAAGATAACGGTCTTGTCGATGCCGAGCACCGGCTGCGCTTGGCAAGTCTAGCTGAATCCTAGTAGAGTGGATATGATAAGTAAAGGCGTATTAATATGGGGGCGGGGACCGGGAAAATATAAGAGACATAATAATACTAGTGCAAAGAATTCTGATTTTTGGGATAATAAAAGCGGGGGGGGGGGGGGGGGGGGGGGAACGTAAGAATGAAGAATGTGAAGAATGAGAATGAATACTGCGACATCCCATAGTGCTAATGCTATTTCCCATTTAAATTGCCACCAATTTATTGTTCACATCCCACCATAACGTCGCAGAGCTGGATTCTATCTAGTCAAAAGAGCAATTTTGGCAGCTTCCGGGACATCGTTTTTTTTTCGTGGCACGCATATGATACATGCAGGGACTTGTAACTTGTCTAGCCTAAACAAAGCCCTTCCCAGACTAGTTCCCAGTCCTCCGTTATTACAAAACTTCCCATAGTGGGCAGAAAAAAGCAATAATAACAGGTTTACTTTGATTCAAATTATCGTAGTTATACGAGTACAGAAGCATAGCACATTTTCTTTCCTCTTTATATGAATTGTTTCCCTTTTAACCGCTATACAATTCATTTAACATAATTATGTCGTGCAATGTTTGTTAAGATTGGGCAAAATTCATAAATTGTGCACGTGATATTCCCACCCAATCTTAAGAATGAGCGCTCATTCTTAAGAACGCGTGCTCGTTCTTAAGAATGGGCGCTCATTCTTAAGAATGCGCGCCCATTCTCGAGAATGCGTGATTTTCAAGAATGGGCACAACAACATCAAGATAATACTTGTGAAATACTGAGGTCAAACATTTTGTGACAGGAGAGTAATGCTAATGGAGGTCGGAAAAAATTAAGATTTTTTTTCTACAGTGTACTTCAGCACTTAGTTTTAATTGGTCTTTCCATGGAGCAAGGAAAACGTTTTCCTTGCTCCATGGTCTTTCTCATCGTTGAAGTGTAAGATTTGTAAAAAACACAACTTACAGTTCTGACTTCTGTAAGTAGATTAAAAGGCCTAACTTTCATCCCTCTCTTTAGGATCTAATCTTACCTCCCTGTGTTTTTCCGAAACACCGTTTTCAGACATTTTTCGAGCTGGGATAGGAGTCGAGAAAGAAAGCCTAGCCTCTGACTTTGGAGTGGCAAAAACTAATAACACAATAGCGCCCTCACTTGACTTTAAAATTCCCGCCGGCGCCAACTCATAGCTGGACTCGTGGTGGCGCTACTGCGCTTGCACGTAACCTATGCAACCGTCCATTGCCGTTGTTAATTGGCACTGGGCTAGATTGTCAAAAAATCACTGAATATGGCCACCAAGAGGATAACCCAAGACACATTTGATGAGGTTGTGAAGGAAAACATTGAAGAGTTTGAGATGTCGCCTGAGGAGGCACTAAATGAAGCCATTCAGCAGTTTGAAACGCAAGGTACTGTTGGCCTAGTTTCCGGACAGTGTGATTCGTTTGACAGTGCATCACTGCATGGTCTCATGCAATACTAATTAGTACTAGTACTAGTACTACCCAACACCACGGCCCCACACTGGAGTAAACTCTGTGTTATGGGGCATATGTATGTGACCTCAAAAGGCCGGTTATTGATATAATTGGCAATACCATATGCGAAGTTCACTAATTTTCCTCTGTATTGACTAACAAGCCCCCGCAATTTCATGTCATCAAAGTCAATTTGAGCAGTGAGAAAATACAAGCATTTTCTTAGAAAACACTTAGAATTTGTCAGTCCAATCTCATAGGGTTTGTACACAGGGTGTTGAGTGAACTTCGTATATGGAAATTTTTCCTTTTTTACCAAAATTAGGACAGTTTTCCTTTCATTTCATTCATTTTCATTTATTAATTTCACAGGTAAAAATTCAAGTACAGACAATAAGAACAGTAAAGAAAACAAAAACATGCACATACAGTTAAGAGAGAGAACAAGAAAAAGAGAAAAAAAAGTAGCACCCCTGATGGATTTTAAAAAAAGTAAACTAAATTACTATCGAGTTAATCTCCTGATGCCACAATTTAAGAAGAGACAATACAAAAGGACATTACAAATGGACATTATTAAAACATGGCTTACAGTATAAGAATATAGAACTATACAAGCAGTTAAAACTTTAAAAGCACAAATGGGCATTAAAAAATACAGATTCGGTAAAAGAGAGATTCGAGTGAATTATAATGCAAAAGGCACTATAAAATTGAGAAGAAAAAACAAGCAGCAAGGTATTTGAATGGGCAAGGCAACTAGAAATTTAAACTGTTTTGGTCAAGGGGACCTCCTGGCCAGGGACTAATAAATGATTTCTGAGAGAATTTGTAAAGGAGGATAAACTATGGATAATTGTATCTTTAATGCAGGCCGGTAGTTCATCCCATAATCTAGGGAATCTGTGAAAAAGAGAATGATGGGCAGCATTGGAACGAGCCCGATGATGGACAAATTTAACAGATTCGATATGTCTACAATTAATGGGAATTAGAGTGTCAGTGTCAACGTCAAATTTATTATATAAACATTTAATAACAAACGTAATTGAAAGGAAATGAACCCTGTTGATTAAAAGAGGCAGACCCAGCTTGACACACCTGTCTGAATATTCAATTTCATTTACAGAATCAATTAAAACCCTTCTCGGCAGACCCAAACAAAAACGGGTGAATCGCCTCTGTACCTTCTCTAGTGTTTTTTGCTGAGTCGAAAGAACAGGGCACCAGACTGGAGCTGCGTATTCAAGTATGGGTCTGCTAATTGAGCGATAAAGTGAAGTCAGAATGTTAGGGTTTCTAGTTTTAACTACTCTACCAATAAATCCGTTGAGTCTAGTGGCTTTGGAAGTGACTTTATTAACATGTGTTTTCCAGCTTAAAGGGAATATACAACATTTGCAAACATCGAAAAATAAAACTACCTAGTTTTTACGAAATACCTTATAGGATGTTGGTAAATGACAGTCTAAAGCATCCTGTAAAATTATGGCACCTGGTGTGAAGTCATTTTCAAGAAAAATGTATTTTTGTAAAAATTTCCAACGCTGGTCGGCCGACCACCGTTGGAAAAACCTAACTATTTTTCAACTACTGCTCCAAATTAACCATTTTTCTTTCAGTCCAAATTTTGTTTGCTATTGGTTACATGTTCATGAACGGGTGCAGGCCGGCTAGACTGGTTCCATTACCTTACAAGTTTCCGGCATCTGTAAATTGATCCATTTATATTTAGTGGAGTCAGGGAACCAGACTACTTGAACATGTTTGTTTTTCTTGTTTTTTTCCAGCATTTTCGAACACAAACCTTCAAACATGTCAGTCTAACAATATTTGATCTATTATACTAACCCTCAGATAGTTCATTTCTGAAAATTACAGCAAAAGCCAATCATGTACAGTGTCATCTGCATACTGACGGAGATTAGATTGAATGCAAAATGGTAAATCAAAAGCAAAGATATTGAAAAGAATAGGTGCAAGAACAGCACCCTGTGGCACGCCAGAATGAACTGCAGCCCAGTCAGATGATGAACCCATAAACTGAACCCGTTGTAATCTGTTTGAAAGATAAGACTTAAACCAGTGCAACATTGAGCCACAAATACCGTATTTATGTAATTTATTCAAAAGAACTTTGTGACTCACGCGATCAAAAGCTTTTGACCAATCAAGAAATATAGCATCAATGCGGGGCGGTTTTGAAACATCAAGAGCATTGGCCCAGCTATGATAAAGAGTTGTCAATTGAGTAACGCAAGATCTTTTAGGCAAGAAACCGTGTTGTGTAGGTGAGATTATCCCCCCTCTATACATGTGATTAATGAGATGTTTACAGATAATCCTTTCAAGAATTTTACCAACCACAGAACATAGTGAGATGGGTCTATAATTCGACATAACATGAGCGTCACCAGTTTTGAACAAAGGGACAACATTTGCTAGTTTCCACTCATGCGGAACTACACCTGTGGCAAGCGACAAGTTAAAAATCTTAGCTAATGGCTGGGCTAAACTCCCACAAGCTAGATTCAACAACATAGGAGATATATCGTCTGGCCCGCAGGATTTGTGCATGTTGAGTTCTGAAAGGAGTTTTTTAACCTCAGCTGGGGTTGTGGAAATGTTACAAAGACGAAAATCGGAATTAACATGATCACAGGATATGTCAATGATATTGTTAGAGTCACAGCTAAAATTACTCTGAAACATGAGATTGAAATTCTGAGCAATATTAACTGGATCATTGATGACACCATTATCAGTTTGAAAACTTGTAATCGTACTCTTACGGCGTTGAGTACTAACAAAAGACCAGAACTGTTTGGGATTATTTGAACAATTCGTAGCCATGTCATTGATAAAAGCACAATACGATTGTCTAGTACGGTATTTGACCTCATTCCGAAGCTTTTTGTACTTAGCCCATAAGTTATGATTAGCTTTGTTACAGATAGCTGCTTTAAAGGCTCTATTCTTCTTTTTGGATAAAATAGTGATATCATGTGAGATCCAAGGATGTTTCTTTCTACCTTTGCATTTGGCTATAGGAACAATATCTTTTACAGCAGCAAACAACAGGTCTTTAAAATAACCCCAAATCTCATCAATATTGTCTGAAGAAAAGCAAGTGTCCCAAGGCACCATACGGAGAGTGTCACATAAGGTATCGATGTTAGCTTTGTTATACTGGTAAAAAGACCGATTCATAGTTTTGTAATCATAAGAGGTTAACATATCAAACTTAACACTATTATGATCACTGTTTCCAAGTCCGGGATGTTGCGTAACATTGGAAAACAAGTCTGGTCTGTTTGTAAATAACAAATCTATCACCGAACCAGGAACAGTAGGTGAATTACCATCACGAGTGGTGAATGTGACTAACTGCTGTAAACTGAGAATATCAGAGATATTATTCAGACGTGCTGATGATGGTTGTGTACGGGAATCAATGTTAAAATCACCAAGTATTACTATGGCAACATACTGTTGAGAAAATTGTAATATATTTTCAACAACAGATTGATAATCATCGACAAACTTAACAGAGGCACTAGGAGGCCTGTACAGGCAACCCAGCAACACTTTACCACGTTTAGTATGTATTTCAATCATAATCAATTCAATATCAACATGTTCAAACTCATATTTACGAACTGGAGATAAATGTTTGGCAATTGTGACAAATACACCTCCACCATGTCTGTTACGGTCCTTTCTAAAAATAGCATAGTTACAATCAGAAGATAGTTCTCCATCGTGTATTGAGTTGTCTAGCCAGGATTCCGTGATGAAAACCAGGTCGTATTTGTAGACATCTAGTTCAGTTTGAAAAAGAAGTAACTTGTTGACAATACTTCTTGCGTTGAACAGAACTGCACTAAGGGTAGACTTGGATGAGAGTCCCAATGTAGTCTCGGATAGTGCCGATGGTTGAGATGTGAGAGTGGACTGGATAGATGGTAGTGATGGTGGTAGAAGATTTGCACTTGCAGTTGGACCGGGATTGCTTTCAACATCACCACAAACATCCAGTTCAATGTTGAATGAGGCAACACAGTTGGAGTAATAGCTGATTGGCGCATGTCCAAACTTACGCTTGTAGCTTCTAGTACATGTACTTGGTTTGTACAATGTCAGCCATGATAAGTTGAAGAAACCACTGTAGTGTGTATGGTCAGACCATGGTCTTGTTGGTTGTGTGGTACAAGTTTGCACGACTCCACGGTAATGATGGGGGATGATGCTGAATATCAATTGAATATCATGTCCAGAAGTATATGTAGATATTAACCTTGGAGCAATATCCGATGAGTTGTTATGGAGGAAATTCTTCCCTTGATGAGTCCATGAGGGAAACAGTATTATGGTGAGCAGAAATAAATTCATACTGCTGTAAGCCATGATGAAAATTATTGATAATCCAGGTCCTTTTCAGGAGATATATAAAATGGCTGACATCTGGATTTTTGCAATCACATGTGAAGAAAAAGTCACATGAATATCTCCAAATCTCGATGAAAATGTTACCTCCAAAAACAGCTTAGTTGATCAATAGTGTTCCATAATCACACATACTTGTAGATGAAGGTTGGATGGCGTGGAATTACTGTAGAAAAATCTGGATTTAAAAGCTGAATCTAGCAGACAAGAAAAACACCCTGCTACCCTCTCGAACAGCGCCCTCTTCCTCCTGTGCTTCCTTCTGGTGAAATTCGTCTTATTAAAAATTAATTTGCCAACCGAAGTGGAAGTTCACAACAGGCTGAGTAAAGTAAAACTAGTAGTATGGTTCCCGTCCAAAAGAATCCCCATTCTGTTACCGTCCATGGTTACATATACTTGATTATTTATGCTGAGTAGGACATCCAACAGCCGTCGGGTCAATGGATTGTTCTATGTATGCAGAATGTACTACTGACCCGATTGCGGTTAGATGTCCTACGCAGCATAAATAATCGAGGCGCCTTTTGATTGGCTGTTTTGATCCCAGAATGTGATTATTCTTTTCATGCATATGATATGGCGTTGCACCGTCTCGTATGTATTTTTCTGAATTTCTGAAACTGTGAATGGTCAGGCACGGTACCCTGAATCCTTCCTTTACGTGCAAAACAGTAGTACTAGTAGCCCCTCTGAGATACCCGTACGTACAATTATAGGCGCAAGCACTAGATGGAGGGAACGGGTACCGCGGAGGGCTCCTACCGTTCACCAGCATGACCAAGCAGATTATAAATCTTGGCACATAGGCCAAATTTTATTGTGTTAAACTGCTATTTTTTTAAGTCATGTTGTGCTTAATAACAAGTCAAGGAAAAGCAGGTGAAAATAGGCTTGTGATGAGTTTCCATAAATGCCCAAATGTTCGAGAGCAAACTGCTTTTTTTATGCAGAGTTTTTCATTTTTAATCCCCTTTACACATGTACAGGAGTTAATCTACTTAACATTATCAAGGCAGTGCCTACAGTCGATAGTGAAAGTGGCACAGTCACAAGACATCCTGTCCTTGAAGCCCTGGACCAACTCAACCAGGTTTTACAAGGCGCAGTCACCGACAAAGAATCCGTCAAGGCATTCCTGGTAAGGTTTTCATCGGAGTGCGGTGCAGATATCTCTCATCGCATTGCTGCTGGCAGTAACAACGCCTACCCAACCCTGAAGTTTCTGGTGCAGAAGTATCTCAAAGATCCAGACATGTTGCCGGTCACACTAGACACCATGGCAGCTCTCCTGAACGGACAGCCCGACTTGATACAGACGGCAGAGATTCAGATGCTTTGTGACGTCCTGCAGGAAAACGTCGCATCGGAAACAGTCTCCGTTTCCTGCGTCCGACTGATCCGCCTGTCATGCACCATGCACGAGATGAACCGGAGAGCTTTTGTCAAAGCCGAACTCATTCCGCTTTTGATTCAGACGCTTGAAAAGAATCCTCAGTCCACTGTCGCCATCAAAGAGGCGTGTGGGGCGTTGCGAATCTTGACTGTCGATGATGATGTCCGGGTTCCTTTCGGAAAAGCTCATGATCATGCTAAGATGATAGTGGAAGAAGGAGCAATGAAGGCACTTCTCGACACACTTAGAGGTAAACACAGGCTGACTACAGTTGTCTCAAATTCTTTATTGGGGGTTTCATTTTAGAAAATAAAATTTTTTTTAATAACTAATTTCTCCCCCTTTGAAATGTGCAGAGTTTTAACAACTAAGGTATACCTTTTAGTAGGCAGCTTTGTATTTGGGATTAATTCCAGACCTTTGTTTTTTCACATACTGACAAAAGTCCAAAGTACGTGGCAAGAGAAAGAAAGCCTTGAAGATTCAAGCACATAATCTGTTTTTTTAACACATAATCTGTTATTTGTCTTGTGAGCTACAACAATGGAAAGAGCAAGTGGGCAACTACAAATAATTAATAGTTAAAGTGAAGAAGTAAATACTGACATATAACAGAGGAGGGTCAATAATGAGGCCAAAATTTAAAATGCTCTAGTCACGTTTTTTCACATTTGCTTGAAATGTGCATGTTTTGTCAACAGAAACTGGAGTGTTAAACCAAAAAAAATTGGTAGGCCAATTATTATGCAAATTTATGGAAAATTTGTTGCTTTTTATTCTTCCTCCAACCAGTTCATTTGGAGGACTCCTCCCTTTCTGGTGATCTGTGTTTGACTCTCGGCAGACTTGCCGTGCGCAACGAGTTCTGTCAGGAGATTATTGATCTCGGTGGGTTGAAGCTTGTGCTCCAGGTGGTCAATAACAACATGGACAATCAGGTATCTATTTAAAAAATTGAACAAAGAAATCGATCGGAGCGATATTTGAGCCTGTGGCTCTCTGATTATCACCCCAGTGCTGTACCAGCTGAACTAGCCCTTTGTTAGCTTGTTGGCAGTATGGTAATCTGGAGGTTGCAGGTTCAAATCGCCCTCTGGTCAGTGTCTTTGTTCACCTTTATAATAATTGTGTATGCACCCAGTCAGCTTCCCGTTGTGGTTGATTGGATTGCTTGCAAACTTGACTAATTTAGGATATTTCCTTTTACTTGGTAAGATGAATAATGAACATCAATAGATGTTCTTAAGTCTTTTTCATTTCAAGTACAGAAGTAACGAAAGCATTTGTTTTCTTCTTACAAGAGGAAGAAAAGAAAATCAATGTGTTCTGAGCACCTGAGCTTTTTATTATGGGTAGGAATCTTCATGTTTTGGACAAGAATGTAAACTGAAAAATGTTTCAGTGTATGAACAGTGCAAAATGGACTCACAAAGGACTTGACTGCAACACTGGTTGTTGTCTGCATTTGTGGCTGGTAGTTTCAGGTTTCTTGTCTGTATTAGTGGCAGCTGGTTGCATAAGCCTGTAACCTGGCCTGAGTGCATCTGCTTTTTTATGGGGAGGAAACTGAGTGGTTGGACAAAAAGGCAAACTGAAAAAGTTCAAATGCAAATGTTAGGACTCACGGTATTTTGGAAAACTTCACTTCCGTGCTCGTTCTGATTGATTTTCTTGGCAGATTGTTGTGAAGCAGGTTTTGGCCATGCTGAAAGCCATTGCTGGTAATGACCAAGTCAAAGTAGCCATCGTCAATGCCGGAGGTGCAGCCATCATAGTCCAAGCGGTCAGCCAGCACATCAAACAACCTGGGGTATGTATTCCACTGGTGTTGTGTGATACCTTGATAATTTGTGTTCAAAATTTACAAAACTGATTTCTTGATTTCCTGAGGGCATTTAATGAGGATGGTTTTGTGAATTAACAAAGACTTACACTTTGCAGGAAACCTATTGAAATACTACATGCTTTTTACTTAATTGTGGAATCATTGCCTAGTGGTTAGGTTCGTGACTTATGATCAGAGGGTCAGAGGCTCAAATGAGCTGCTGGTCATATGCTGTGTCCTTCGGCAAGCCACTTCACCCCCACTTGCTTCTCGCCTCCCAGGAGTATAAATGGGTACCGGCATTAGCCGGGGAGTCTGGCATCCCATCCAGGGGGAAAACAAATATTCTCGGTTGTTTTATGCCAAGGAAACCGGAGATAAATGCCAGTCTGATGGGTCATGTTGGCTCAAGACAGACTGCACTTACTGTATTTGTGTGCTTAGTTCGCATTCCAGGGTTATCAAATCCCATCTAAAGTAACAGTTGCTGGGCTATGCCTGACTCAATCCTTCAACATTTTCAAAAATGTCCTGTGGGATATTGTAGGCTCTAGGTGTGTCAAAAACTCTATAGAGGCAGTTAATCACAGGTCAATCTAAGTCAGTTGAAAACTACCAGGATAACAGTGACAAAATAATGCCCTTGTCACAATTCGTTTGAATTTGTGTACCATGTAACTTGGGACAAGATGACTTGTGATTGACTTGTGCTGACTTGAATTGCACAATACTGTTTGTTGTCATACAAATGTAATATTTTGTGGAGTCAATCAGATCCATGAAACGTCGCTTCTGAGTTTGTTTTGAAGCTTTGCATGATGGGATTAAACACATAAAGTGATATGGAAATAATTTCTTGAGAAGTAATGTTGGTCTGAAAAGAACCACTTGTGAGAAGTGTTCTCGTCTTTTCAGACAGTATGTTCTGTATATCTTCAGGAGAAAATTCTTATCCTTTTGGTTTTTTTTTCTTTGCAGGTTTGTGAGGCCGGCTTTGCTGCCATTGCAGCCATCACTCTGAGGAACCCAGGCCATGCTAAGATAGTCATGGAGGCAGGCACGGCGCCTGTTGTCATACAGGCCATGCAGATACACCCTAAAGAAGTAGCAACACAGGTCAGTTGTTGCAGTGAGAAACAATTAGGCTTATAAGATGGAATTTTTGCGTCGGGGTGATATAAATCAAATTAGGTTTTGCCCTTCACCGACATTTAAACACTGTATACTCAGTGTATATTGGGAATATGCTTACATAAACACACTGTATACTCAGTGTGTTACCTCCCGAGTTAAAGTTGGAAAAATCACTCGGGTGGGACTCAAACCCACGACCTCCTGCTTTCTAGTGCAGATGTCTTACCACTCGACCACCGAGCTACAAGAATCGGTTGCCTGGTTCGAATAGCAGCGGGTACCGCATAAACTATTTATTTAAACTAGTTTATGCGGTACCCACTGCTATGTACATCAGATTCGAACCAGCCAACCGATCCCGTTAGCTCGTGGTCGAGTGGTAAGACGTCTGCACTAGAAAGAAGGAGGTCGTGGGTTCGAGTCCCACCCAAGTGATTTTTCCAACTTTAAGTCGGGAGATAACACACCGAGTATACAGTGTGTTTATGTAAGCATATTCCCAATATAGGGCAAAACCTAATTTGAACAATTAGGCTTGTCTCAAAAAATCTAAGTTTGAGACATTTATACTCAGTGACTCATTCATTCAGTCAGTCTGTCTGTCACTCAGTCAGTGACTTAGTGTCTCAGTCATTCAAAGAGCAAGAGGCGGGCCCTTCAGGTCTATCATAAGTGTCTCATTCATTCAGTCAGTCTGTCTGTCACTCAGTCAGTGACTTAGTGTCTCAGTCATTCAAAGAGCAAGAGGCGGGCCCTTCAGGTCTATCATAAGTGTCTCATTCATTCAGCCAGTCTGTCTGTCACTCAGTCAGTGACTTAGTGTCTCAGTCATTCAAAGAGCAAGAGGCAGGCCCTTCGGGTCTATCATAAGTGTCTCATTCATTCAGCCAGTCTGTCTGTCACTCAGTCAGTGACTTAGTGTCTCAGTCATTCAAAGAGCAAGAGGCGGGCCCTTCGGGTCTATCATAAGTGTCTCATTCATTCAGTCAGTCTGTCTGTCACTCAGTCAGTGACTTAGTGTCGCAGTCATTCAAAGAGCAAGAGGTGGGCCTTCAGGTCTATCATAAGTGTCTCATTCATTCAGCCAGTCTGTCTGTCACTCAGTCAGTGACTTAGTGTCTCAGTCATTCAAAGAGCAAGAGGCGGGCCTTTCAGGTCTATCATAAGTGTCTCATTCATTCAGTCAGTCAGTCTGTCACTCAGTCAGTGACTTAGTGTCTCAGTCATTCAAAGAGCAAGAGGTGGGCCCTTCAGGTCTATCATAAGTGTCTCGTTCATTCAGCCAGTCTGTCTGTCACTCAGTCAGTGACTTAGTGTCTCAGTCATTCAAAGAGCAAGAGGCGGGCCCTTCAGGTCCAACATCATTGACTCATTCGTTCAGTCAGTCAGTCTGTCTGTCAGTCAGTCAGTGACTCAGTCAGTGTCTGTCATTCAAAGAGCAAGAGGCGGGCCCTTCAGGTCTATCATCAGTGTCTCATTCATTCAGTCAGTCGTCTGTCACTCAGTCAGTGACTCAGTCAACGGTCTCAGCCATTCAAAGAACAAGAGGCGGGCCCTTTGGGTCCATCATAAGTGTCTCATTCATTCAGTCAGTCAGTCTGTCTGTCACTCAGTCAGTGACTCGGTCAGTGTCTTAGTCATTCAAAGAACAAGAGGCGGGCCCTTCGGGTCCATCATAAGTGTCTCATTCATTCATTCAGTCAGTCTGTCTGTCACTCAGTCAGTGACTCAGTCAGTGTCTGTCATTCAAAGAGCAAGAGGCGGGCCCTTCAGGTCTATCATAAGTGTCTCGTTCATTCAGCCAGTCTGTCTGTCACTCAGTCAGTGACTCGGTCAGTGTCTCAGTCATTCAAAGAACAAGAGGCGGGCCCTTCGGGTCCATCATAAGTGTCTCATTCATTCATTCAGTCAGTCTGTCTGTCACTCAGTCAGTGACTCAGTCAGTGTCTGTCATTCAAAGAGCAAGAGGCGGGCCCTTCAGGTCTATCATAAGTGTCTCGTTCATTCAGCCAGTCTGTCTGTCACTCAGTCAGTGACTTAGTGTCTCAGTCATTCAAAGAGCAAGAGGCGGGCCCTTCAGGTCTATCATAAGTGTCTCGTTCATTCAGTCAGTCTGTCTGTCACTCAGTCAGTGACTTAGTGTCTCAGTCATTCAAAGAGCAAGAGGCGGGCCCTTCAGGTCTATCATAAGTGTCTCGTTCATTCAGCCAGTCTGTCTGTCACTCAGTCAGTGGTCTCAGTTAATGGTCTCAGTCATTCAAAGAGCAAGAGGCGGGCCCTTCAGGTCTATCATAAGTGTCTCATTCATTCAGTCAGTCTGTCTGTCACTCAGTCAGTGACTTAGTGTCTCAGTCATTCAAAGAGCAAGAAGCGGGCCCTTCGGGTCCAACATCATTGACTCATTCATTCAGCCAGTCAGTCTGTCAGTCAGTCGGTGACTCAATCAGTGTCTCAGACCCCTCAAAGAACTAAGAGGCGGGCCCACCAGGTCCAGCAAAATTTGTAGTAGATTGCTTAACTGTTGCTTTTCTGTCACATCTTTATTCATCTCATCTGAGATGCATGAATCTCTAAATAAACTACCAATATAATGTGCCAATATTAAGATTTTTTTATATTGACTGTTCAACACATAATTATCACCTGCACTTTAATCCTAGATTTAAAGCTGCATATTTTATCTTCCCAAAACAAAAACTCTAGAAACAAGCCTGCATGGCCCTGCGTAACCTAGTTGCACGGTCCCGCGAGCAATGCCAATCCATCTTAGCCCTAGGGGCGGAACCCTTGATCCGGAAGGCCCTAGCCTGCTGTGAGGACGAGGCCAAGGCTGCCTTACGAGACCTAGGATGCGAGGTGGAGCTGAAGGAGCTGTGGAAGGGGGAGAAGAACCCGATAATAAGATGAAGAGGCTGGAGCAAGGCCTTGGTTGATGGAGGACAGTGTCTCTGGTGGATTCAGGGGAGGGCAGGAAGGAATGAAGCCCCCTCCCTCCTGCTTTAGCCAAATGAGCCCTTCTTACCCCCCTCCCCTTTGCACACATTAGCTATCCCCCCACCCCTCCCACCCCAGGGTGTTTTACTTGAGATAGTCTTTTGGGGTGGTGAATTTGATAAGCATATTTACACGTGCACACATCCTGAATCGGTGCTTACTTGTAAGTTTGGCCAATCAGATGGTAGTGAAGGTTGCTCAGCAGCCAATGATATCTTAGAGTCTGGGATGTCATTGCCTGTTCTCACCGAGTGAGATCAGGTTTACAGTCCTTGATCAAATGTTCTGACAAAGTTACATTAAGCCTAACTATCGGAAAATGTTTGTACATTTAAACGGAGACTTTGCGTTCAATACCTTCCCTGTTAACTTGTGCTTTTCAAAAACTTTGAACACTGTGCATTCGCATTATTCAAATGTTTAAACTTTTATTTTTCAGTGTGTATAGTAGAGGGTGGTAGTCCATTTTGTCTGGCCAATTTATACTTCGCACGAAAGCGAAAGCAGCCTTGTGATGCTATGGACGATCACTATAGGCCATCACGAAAAAACTACCACATTTCATAATTCAACAACCACGGTTGATTTTGCTGCAAAACATTTTGAGCAGTCAATTTCTCCTGGTCTCATCAATACACTGGTCTTACAATTTATCAAGAAAGGTTTCCAGAGCTTTTAAAACGTGATACATTTAAAATTGTAATATCCTGTGCTGGGATACTGTAATTTCACTGGTCGAAGACAACACACCGAGAGTGAAATTGCACTGCCCTTTTTGCGCACACGTGTTGAACCTGCTGGCATACTAGCTTCGTCCAATGGGCCACCTCATGTCTGGTGAGACACCAAAGCCTTCAGTTATCGAAGGTTATATCGCACAGTAAGTTACAACCATTACTCTTTTTGAGTTGTGTGTGGGCAGATCTTCGTCATCGAAGAGCTCGGGAGTACGGTAAATCAGTTGCGCCGTTGTTGCCTTTCGTGACGTCGGCGTCTGGCTTCAGCATTTCGCCGCTCGGTATCCGCGGTTGCAGTTTTGACGCCATCTTTTGTTGCAGTTTGACAGCCAGGACGGTCCATGGCCAGATTTTCCCAGTTGTTGTTTGAAATGTTGGCGGCATTGAGGTGGCGTTTGATGACATCTTTGTAGCGCAGCTTTGGCCTGCCTGGCCGTCTGGGTGATTCCAAGAGCTCGCCATAGAGGAGGATCTTCGGCAGTCTGTGCTCCTCCATTCGCACGACATGCCCAGTCCAGCGGAGATGAATTTTCAGCAACATGTGCTCCACACTCGGCATGACCGCTCGATGCACCACTTCATCGTTGGTAACCCGATCCCACCATGAGATGTTGATTGTTGGTTACAGTTAACGATTGTTGACTGCTGTGATATGGGATACGCCATTTTTATCCCCCTCGATGCGCCCCTCGGGTGTTTCATATCCCACATCACAGCAGTCAACAATTGTTAACTGTAACCTTATATAAAATAAAGGTTTACATTGTCTAAAGTCAATGCATTTCCTCGTTTGTGAGTTATTTGTACACTTTGGTCACCCCTAAATCTTACAACTGATGTCTGATTTTTGTTTTTTAAATGTATTATCCTCGTGTATATATGCTGTGAAGTGTTTGAGTATTTTTTGTTATACATGTGTTAATTTTGTGTGAATATGCCTGTAAAGACAAGTATTTGATGACATGTGTGTCATGTTGTAAAGCACCTTTAAGCTGCGGAGCTGATTGGATTCGGTGTGCAATAAAATACACGTTCCACTTGCTGTAGTGGTTTCTTGGTCTTAATCTGTGGAAAAAGTGTTTTGAATTCCCCCTTTTTAATACTCAAACCCATCACTCGTCTTATACACAGTTGGTGGGCTTTGTGAACAAAACAGACCACTGAAACGGAGAAAATATGTCTATCTTTTTACATTTAATGTTAGCTACAGAAAAACATATCTTTTTACATTTAATGTCTGCTACATTTGGTTAAGTCGCGTCTTTAGTGTAAAAGAAATTATACATGAAAGATTCACGGCCGTATAGGCCTAAGCTAATTATCTTTCAAAAAGAATACAAAAGGTAAATCAAATTATTATGTTTTTTACCAAATCAGGTGAGTCTCTTAGCACTTTTCTAACGTGAAAGTTCAGATAGAGCTTTATAATACACACATTTATAATTGCAACGTTTGTAATAAATAAACACATTTAGCCAACCTAATTATAATTACAATTAACAAAGGTTGTACGCCACTGAAAAATATTAAGTTTTAGCCCGGACACCATTTTTCATGTCCATCAGGCTGATTCTCAGATGTATTTCTGTCTAATCTTTTACCAATTTAAACAGGGTTTTTTTTTTAGTGTCAACACTACTAAGCATTATTTGAAGCACACTGTAGCAAGCTAAAAATAATATCCCAATATCTAACATACAACATTAGAACATTTATTCCGCATCGAGAAATACACACGTCATGCACTTATATCTCTGTGCGAATCCTCTAAAGCATGTGTTCGAACGCACATTACCTCTTTGTGCTATATATAGATTTTTTTAAACCGTACCCACTTATCAAAGGACGGAGTTTCTCATATCTTCGTTTAATTAATACTTTTGATGTCCCGGTAAGGCCAAACAAAAGTCTCCGGTTTCTGGTATGGAGCTTGCCCAAAAAGTGGTGCGGCGACGCGCCTTTTTTTTTTTTTTACCTGATTTTTTTGCTTCAAATGTCGGCTGATGACTGCAAATGGTGCCCGACTAAACTTAGTGGAAATATATGGGAGTCCAGAGAGGCCACATAAAGCTTATTCTCGACCATAACCCAATCTAAAAACACGTTAAAATTGTGCAGCAGCAGGATTCCAGTCAAACCAGTGAGTTTGGCGGTTTTGAGACATCATCTTTCATTGAAAAAAAAACCTTTTTCATTTCGCCGACGCGCATGGCTACGGCGACGCGCGCGCATACCAGAAACCGGAGACTTTTTTTTTGGCCTAATGGTCTAAAACTTTTAGATGTGCAGATACACAAGTATGATGAACTAAATGTATCTGAAGTTATGAAAACGATAACATTCAGTTGTGACTGCATAACTATATATGTTAACCCAGTGAACATTCAACCTCATATGGCTTTGGTAATTCAATCTAATGTTTCGTGGCTTATTCAAACATTAATCGAAGCGGTGTAATATGATTTACCGAAATTTATCCCCTCCAAATAGCGCCCTCCCGTATCTCAATCGGGTTAATGAAATTCAAACCCATTGCAGTAGTTTTACATCGGCACATGTGTGACTGGGTATCACAGGAGACGGGGAGGCAACTATAAAAACCCTGCCAAATGTGGGAAGAACTTTTAATAAGTTGCCCTGCGGAAGTTGCTGTTTTACATTTTCTCCGGACCACGATTCTTCAGCTCCACGCCCCCGTTAGCGGCGGGCGATCTCTGTCCCGTACCGTTGGCGTTCAGGCCCGACCCGCCCGCTACGTCCGCGTCGTTGTAATGGTTGGCCTCTACCGCCTCTTGTTTCCAGTCGTCATCTTTCTCGTCGCAGCAGGAGAAGTAGCAGAGGACGACCAGCGCGGCCACCACAACGGCTACCAGACTGCCGCCCAGGTAGGTACCCAGGAGAACATTGAATGTGTACGGGACAATACCGGATTCCACCTCGGACTTGTCTGCAGTGTGAATCAAATGAGAGACTGAGTGATAGGCCAAGATGGAAATTAACACGAGTTCAAATAAAGTTCATTACGGGCCAATAAAGTCAGATCAGAAGTGAAACCACCTGTCATTCATAATCAAAATCAAAAGTGTAATCCAAGTCAATCTCAAGGCAATCATAAGTGAAATCGCAAGCCAATTATAAGTCAAATCACAAGTGAAATCACAAATCAATCACAAGTGAAATCACAAGTCAATCATTATCATAGGTTACATCGAAAGTGATCACAAGTCAATCGTGAGTTAAAATCATAATTGAAATCCAAGTAAAAATCACAAGTGAAATCACATGTCAATCATAGTTCAAATTCACAGGTGAAATCCAAGTCAATCACGGGAATCTTATTAAGTAAGAATGCCTTTGCCAGCTTGTCACTGGACGTGAGTCTGGCTGACCTGTGATTGACTAATTAACTTCAACTCGAGCAGTATATACCAGCAGATCAGACAATTTATCTAGCAAACAAAAACCTGCGACCTGGCCCCTGACCCGTTTTTTAAACCGAAATGTTTGTACCTGATGTATCACATCGCCTTAATATCTTTTGATATACTGCCGCATGTCGAATTACATGTATTGGGCTTGTAGAAATCCAAATTTGGAGGGCGTGAGGGTGCTACACATTATGCGATTGCCGAAGTCTTCTTTTGTCCGTTTGGAGGAAACATTTCATTATGTGATTAACTTAGATTTTGTGCTATGCCAACAGATTGATACATTCAAGAGTTGAAACGTATCACTGTTAACACGGGCCAACTCTTTTTTTCTTCTTTTTTTTTTAAATAATGTCTCACAATTGTAAAATTCTACAAAACAACAAAATGTGAATAAAATATATATATCAAAAACATTTAAATACAATACATGCACTTGGAGGTTTACCTTTTTAACAGTTTTGTTAGCCCTGGGGCCTAATTGTTTTTACTTGCCTCTGATGCACTCGCCATTAGACTCGACATAGCCGTACTGACACTGACATGAGAATGCATTGTCATTCTGAAGACATACTTCGTTTTTGCGGGTGCACATCGTGTCTGTACAAGCTGCAATAGGGCAAAGTAATATTGATACAATTGGCAGACAGGTGTAATCTTGATAATATGTGTAAAAACGCACTTGAAATTGCTTGGAACATTCTTTGGCTCACGAAGACATAAAATCAATTCCACGTTGGGATGTAATTCTGTCTTTGAACTAATAACTCGCTATGATTTTAGATATTCCCGATGATGCTTCTTAATGACTTCTTAGAAGTATATAATTGTTGTACAAGTGAAATTTTCGCCGACTTTTGTGCTTGACTTAGTCTTAATGCAAGCCTGGTGTGTTACAGTTTGATCCCCTAAGCCACGGTAGATGAGCCATTCGTGCCGAGTGAGTTTTCGTTGGCAAAAGTCGACGTGTCTGAAATGAAGCCTACAATCCCGGCCAAAATGCTTAGGACACTTCCTGAGCCTGCCGTGGTCACCCACTCCCCCGCTCCCCCAGTCAATGTTGTTCTCTCCAGCTGATGGAGCACGCACCGCGCAATGAGAGACAACATTAAACGGGGGCCGGGGGGGGGGGTTAGGGGCCCAGCGAGATTTGGCCAGGAATGTAGATTGTACCGTACCTGCAATGCACTTGCCCTTGTATTCTATAGTTCCAGGTTTGCAGACGCATTGGTAGCCAGGCGATGCATCTTTGCAGATGCGATTGGAATCACTCGCGCACAGCGTTGGATCACGACTGCACTCATCCACATCTGAAATCAGATGGCAGTGTAAAAGGTAGTAAATTGATAAGACGTTTGCAAGCTTCAAATGTTTAAGTTATCTGCTTAATAAGGAAAATCATGGAAAGACAAGAGAGTATTTAGAAGTAACGTGTGCGATTAACCTAAGGGTGCGCAATCGACGTTTCGATCAGGACGCTTTGATTGTACGCGTCTTATCAGGAAAGTTCCAAAGTAGAGTTAGATGCTCATACTCAATCAGCATCCACTTCTGAGTCCAGCACATATCTGAAGATGATCACCAAATAACTGGTTGAAACGTCGAATGAACACCCTAAGGTTCATCACGGATATATCACAGCTTTCTATAATTTCGCAAATAAAAAAAAAAAAAAGACACCTGTTAATAAAATCTCTAATGGCGATATAAAGCATGATATAATATTTCTTAAAGACAAAACACAGTATTAAATTGGAATATCCCAGCCAGGAATTAATAGTCTTGTCTTGAGCTCCACTTTGCTTTTGTCAAATGAACATGATAGTGACTTTCCTGGCATTCGCTTATTAGCATAATAGCAATAAACTAGTCACTTATTAGCATCTCATGTGAATGTATTTTTGTTACTTTTTTGTTGTTTGTTTGCTTTTTTGGGGGGGGGTGTCTTTGTCGTTTTATTTTGCCTTGGGTTTGTGTGGGGATGATGCGCTGTATAGTACTCACTAATGCCGCAATCAGAACCCTCATATTCCTTCGTACAGTTGCACCCATAGTCAGTTTCTAAGGTCTGCCAGCAGGCACCATTGTTTAGGCATGGGAAGCTCGAACAAAACAGTCTACCTGTGAGATCGTGGAGGAAAAGAAAAGCACATCAAAGAGCCTTGGAATCGGAAGAAGGCTAACAAATGGTTATTATAACTTGACAGGAGAATACATATTTATTTGCTCCTATAGACCTTTATCATGCTGCCACCATTGTAGTTATGTTTCCTGTATCCAATAACAGTACTAAATGATATATTTTTCGTGCAAAAAGGAACCAGACTATTTTTCCTTCCAGCCTCGCTTTGGTTACGTTGATTTGAATGGGAAGTTCCAAATGGCCGCAACACGATAACGGTCTATAGACCTTTCTGCACTTGGTTGGCAAACTGCATTTTTGCCAACCACGGCCTGCAAAACTATGGAAGGTCCAACACTGCAAAAATAAAAAAGAGTTATTACAGATCACCAAAATATTATTTGATACTTGAAAATACAACATTTTCAACAAAGCTACAAAATAATTCCCACATATGCCTTTTTACTATGTGTTGATGGCGTTATGAGGACTTTTTTGGAAAAATAATTATGTTGCCAACCAGGGCTTCAATTTATGCGCTTACGGCAGCCCATACAAAATGGCGCCAATATGTTTACAAACAAAAGAAAGGCCTATAATTGTGCCATTTAAATCTTAAGTAGGCCTATACATCCACCCGAATCATAGGCCCTAAAGGTCTGTCAGAAAGCAGTGGGAGGGAGAAACTTGCATCGGAATGAATAAAGATAAAAATACATTTAGGACGCACCAAGCAACCATTCTCTAGAAAAAAACTAGATCACAAATCTCACCTCGACAGTCTTCCTCCAGAAACTGGACATCATCTATTGCAATGTGATTACCGTTGCCAGTGGAAGTGGAAACTTGAATTGTAACCTATACACAACCAATACAATCTGTAAGAATATGTTGTTGTGCTGTCCTTGTAAGATGCTGCAAATATATATGTTCAAAAAAAATATCTTATTGAGAACAGAACGCACAATCAATAAAACCATCCATCGACTTCAGATTCCGTAGTGTAGCGGTTATCACGTTCGCCTCACACGCGAACGGTCCCCGGTTCGAACCCGGGCGGAATAATTTTTGAGTTTGTTTGTTTGTTTAAAAAAATTAATCTTCTCCTTTTTTGAGACTAAAAAGCACAATCAATGAAACCGTCGACCAGCATCAGATTCCGTGGTAATCACGATCGACCTTTACACGCGAAAGGTCCCCGGGCGGAATCAAATTTGTTCTGTGTTTGTTTAAAAAGACCCAATTATCTTGAGAACAAAAATTACAACATATTCATATTTGAATAATTTAAGAAGGATTTGATGACTGCTAAAATCCTTCAGTATTTATTGGTGATTCTGTATCAAACCGACACTTGTTCATCAGTGCAGTGACAAGCATTGACAAGTACTGCAGAAGTAGTGCCTTGACCACGCCCCTATTAAGTCGTCACACCTAAATTATTCAACGAGAGCGCTCGAAAGACAACTCGTACCAACTGCCTCGGTATTTTGCGTTTGTAAAAAGGGTATATGGTAAAGTTATGTCTAAAACTTACTTCAAGTACGGAAAGTTTCGTCTTCGTCATAATTTGCGTAGTAACAAGAAAATACTCCACGCTTATTTTGTTGTATAATATATTTTGAAATGATGCTGGTAATTATGAAAGTCAACATGGATCTTATGATTTCCATTATACAAAATGTATTTTCAGTGCCTATATCAATCAAAATTCGCTCTGGTGACTTGTGACTCATTTTTGGTTGGTTCACCATAATGTTTTGATATCTAACAGTGTTGTAGTCAATCACAAGTCATCACAAGTCCATCACAAGTAGTCTCAAGTCAAGTCGCCAGCTATTCAAATGAGTTGTGACAACGCATTCCGTTGTCATTGTTCATCACCAGTTATTTGTGACTGGATTTGTGAAAGGGCTTGTGATTTAATACATCAGATCGCATTTGTGATAGACTCGAATTACAGCCCTGATATTATGCAAGTGTGAAAATCCCTGCTCAAAACTCACCCGATACTTCCCAGAAACTTTCGTCAGGTCGATATCATGTTCCTCCCAGGTTTCTGAATAATTTAAGGCGACGGGAAACACTTCTGTCCCGTAGTCGGCACTGACGGTGACCTCCATGTCCCCAGACGTCTTGGCGTGATAGTAGAACCGGAAGGTGCACGTCGTCTCGTTAGTCCATCGATGAAACTCCGGTGTCTGCATTCGCGCCGTGGTGCCGGGAGTGAATAGACTAGGTTTCACATTGATCGTAAAGTGACCTACAATATCAATTATTATGTAGTCCAGTTAAACCCATGCATTAGTCCCTGTATCGCCTCAAAGCGCTCTGCTTGTTACTCATACCGCCCAAACCGCCCGCACTCTATGGGTTTTGTTCATTACCCTTAATTGTTAACCACTTAGAGAAAATCCAGGAAACGTTACAAGCATTCTACAAACAAAGCGATCCAATGAAAAAGAAATCACTCTTTCATAGTGACTTTTACAATTATCTTTAATTAAAAAAAACAAAAAAACAACAATGAAGTTTACATCGACACGCACAATTCAAAAGTAACAAAATTGACGAAAGTCTAAGGATGTACACAATCAGCCTTTTTAGAAATGGCGACCATAACAGAAGGGCGCTTTTTGGCTTGCGTAAATTCAAAAGTGCCACACGGAGAATACCGAAAAGTGAAGGGTAATTGAAGTATAATAAACTATACAGTACCAGAACTGGTGCCCAGCGTGTGGTCAGTAGTTGGTCCCCTGCCCTTGTCCAATGCTTCTGAGCCAGACCAGCGTTGCCATCTTCCCTCCAGGTCGATAAGACCGCAGGTGACAGAATGTGGGGTGCCTCCCTCGCAGTCAAAGATAGAGGGAAGAACTAAAAGAAAACAGGTGAACGACAGGTGAGCAAAGCGAGATTGTTTTCAAAGATTGTACAGCAGACAAAGGCAGCGCCGTTATTGTTTTGTGTACAAGCATTACATTCACTGTGTGGACTTCCGAACAAAAGATGTCCTCATAAATCAGGTAGCAGTGACGTTGTGTGGACTTGCCCGCGTCCACACAAGGATTCCCCCTCTCAAAATGAAGAGAAACACTCGAGCCTGGGAAACCATTATAAGAAATTTGGGTTGAAAGAGTTTTCACAGTGTGAATAAAATGAGTTTTTTTTGGCCGGTTTTTCTTAACTACACGAAAACAAAAGAATGTCCACAGTAGGTATGTGCGTGTGTATGTGTGCTTTTTGGTGTATCTTGGTTAAACTGGCCATTGAGAAATGAGTCACCTTGGATTGCACTTGACAACACAAATTTTGCCAAAGATGTATACCCGTGCTCTTCAAAAAGTTCACTTGTTTTCTTCTCCTAATCCGGGAAATTTGATAATTTATATCAGTTTTACTTCTGTATATAGCGTTCTTTACAGAACATGATCACCAAATTAAACACCAAATTAAACCTACCTCCAACTTGCAGCCCAACGTTGTCCACGGCAGCGTAGGGTTTCGTCTCTGAACCAGGGGACAGTGTACTTTCAAACGCCAACTGTTGGAAGCAAACCAATCGCTGATAATTATTTTTGACAACAAGAAGTGGTTTCATCGTCAAAATACTACTACATGTATTACTACTACATCTACTGCTGTTGCTGCTGCTGTTGCTGCAGCCGCTGCTGCTACCTGCCGCTACCTGCTGCTGCTTCTGCTGCTGCTGTTGTTGCACAAGACCATCAGAGGGTCGTAGTGACCGCCACGACCTCCCCCACCCCCCCCCCCCACCTTCCCGATCCGAGGCAAGGGATCAACAATCACTGGAAGCAACTGGAAAGTATCGGTTACTTGTTTTAGCCAGGTAAGCATTGGGTCTTTTCTAGGTAGCACGCCGTCCATTGTCGTCAAACTCTCGTACCAAAATGAGGACAAAAGTTAGAGCGAAAGAAGAGGAATGGGTTCTTAAATTAGCAGTGCATTTTAATATCTTAGGTAAACCGTAGGCAGCGCAAGTCTTGGCCGACAGTCGGCAGAACCAGGCTATAGTATCCCTTAAAGGTTCTCACAGTACAAATTCTCCATGTTTTACCCGCGATCTTGTGAACCGCTCTCTTTTGATACTGTACTTTTTTTTCAAGAGTTTAACAAACCTGGAATGGACCAGACGGGTAGAACTCATATACATTAGCGGTCTCCCATGAATTGCTTTTGAAGTCGTCCTCTGATGACCAGATGGTAATGCGGACGCCATCTTTCCCTACATATTTCACTTTCAGCTTGTTATCTACAAGATGAAAAAATGGGGGGAAATGAGATTACTGCACGTCCGGTCACAGGTGTCGTTTGCCATAGATTATAATCATTATTTGGTTTTCGCTCTTCATTGCTGTTATTGTTGTCCGAGATTCACAAAGTTCTAGTAGGTGAGGCGAACCCACGATTTTCCGCTTATTAGTGCAATTGTCCCACCACTCGACCACCGCACGAAGGGGTTCATTTGAATGGAAAAGGGCATGCAGTCTTTACAAAATATTGGGGGGGGGGATACCCCTCCCCCTGGCTATACGCCTATGTAGACCCGGAACTCAACCAGAAAGCCTAGATCAAAGTTTCTCTTCTTGTTTAATACATGTAACCGTTAGTGACACAAATGGCTTTCTCTCTTATCTTTGTTTGTAACGGTGTTTAAATATTCGTGACTCGAATTGGCTCAACTCGACTCGACCTTCTTGACCTAATGACTCGACTCGAGTCATTTCTTTAAAATGACTCCACACGACTCGAGTCATTTCTTTAAATGACTCGACTCGACTCGAATCACTTCTTTTAAAATGACTTGACTCGACTCAACTCTGGTTTCTATAGTCTTACCGTCTTCTGTGCCGCGGAGGTTGTATTCGAACTGAAGTGCTCCATATACGTTACCATCGGTACTACAATTGATCATGGGAGTCAGCATGCCTGCAGTGGCTGTTGACGTCTCGCTGTTAAGTCTTGAGATGGCGTACACTGCGTTAAGCCAAATACACCATAATAATTACATAAAATAGAACATTTACTTTGACTGGAGGCCAATGTCATTCAGAAGTTAATGAGCCGATTGGTTAGAAACAGGGTCGAATTTCAGGGCTCTGGTAACCATGGAATCCCGCGCTTACGATCACCATTCAGCGCAAGAGTAGAACAATTCTGCGCTAACCCTGTAAGCACAGAATCCTTAGTTCCGGAATGTGAAGAAGCCAAAAACAGGGATTTTTCGCTAACGGTAAGCACAGCTAAATGAAATTGTGCAAAGGTTACATGCCAATTCAAATGTTTTCCTATGTACGTGGCTTGTGACTAGTTCTAGAAGCTGATTTGTGGTTACCAAATAGATAATAAGCATAATTTCGCAAAATTTCGCCATGGAAAGCTGTTAAACCAACCCGAAATAGTGCTGACTGTTTTACATTATATCAAATTTACAATTTTTGGATAATTTTTTTTCGGGCCACCCTGAATGTGACTGGAACATCCCACGACACGACTCTTAAGGACACTGTTAATTCCACTTAGTTTTCACGCACAGTAAAAAGAGAAGTACTCTGTGCTTGGTTTTGATAAATTACTCGTATTGATATTGAAATATAATCATGCAGATTGGTTTCAATTTTGACTGTTTCCCATTGACAGGCATTGAGCGAGATCTGTATATCAAAGGCCCATTGCCCAAAAGATGTTCTGACGTCTTATTGGGTTGGGTCACATAATAGTTCAATTGTGATGATTGACAGGTGAATTGACATAATAATTACAGACTCTTTCTTTGGGATAAAATTATGTCCAACCAAAGATAATTACCAGTTAGGCTGAAGGGTCCCGGTTCCTTTGTGACAACGTTGAGAGCGACGCTTCCCGGTTCCCAGTTTATGTCATCATTGCTCTCAGTGGTCCAATCGCAGAGAAATGGCACGGGTATCGGAAAAGAGGCAAAGTCGAAATTGCACTCAACTTCCACCAGAGAGAGACCTTCCTGCAAACTCTGCTGCAGGATTGATTCTGCATTGTTAAAAACAACGTGGCAATACAAATTGTTCATACTCTTTTCTTAACAGCCCCTTATATATATATATATTTTCTTACCATTCAGAGTTTTATTTATAAGACTGAATTTGCGTTGAGGTGATGTAAATCAATCCAATATTGAGTTTTGCCCTTCACCGACGTATTTAATTTTTTTATGAACACTGTATACTCAGTGTTGCCCCGAGTGATTGCGAGAACAAATTCATAAACTCTCCGTGTGGGACTTGAACCCACCACGACCTCCTGATTATATACCAGTTTACAGACGCCTTACCACTCGACCAGTGAACTTTTCAAGTTTATAAATAATCAATAAACAAATGGCTGTCAATCGGATTAATAGGGGAAATGGAGGAGCAGCGACAACCCAAAGCGTCAAAGTGACTCTAACTATATACATACGTATCCATAAATTCAACGAATCAAAAAAGCAAAGATATCAACAAAAAATGATACAATGTATCAAGTAGCCTATATCTTTCTTCTTGAAATCCAGTGGGTGTTCCTATAATGGGGTCCACTTTGTGGGGGCACTTTTCGGGGTCCTGATTTTACTGCAGGATTTGGTCATATTTTTAATAACATATCTCTTTTTTTCATTTCCATACAGAGTGCATAGTGTGTGGAATATCCTCTTGCACAGCAAGATTCTATGATATGCGAGCAGATTCGACTATTGTGCAAAACAAGAGTGCGTCTTGACCGTGCAAGTTGAAGAGTGATGACAAAAACCCGAAGATATTTTACGGGAATTCGCGGAATAGGAGCTCATCGTAAAGGCCGTATATCCACAACTTTGCGATGTTGGATTTTAAGTTGTTCTCTAAATGGGATTATTTAATATACTGTTTGAACACATTGAACATTCGTGACCAAAATAACATAAAACATTGATGACCTAAACTTCCGTTCTATCGATTTTGTAGATTGTACATTATTTTTGTATAAAGATAAACACGAGAGTCTATTATAACTGGTTCAATTATTCTGTGCGGGGGATGGGGTGTATAAGAGGTACCAGCCTCCAAGGGCGGATCCAGGGGGGGGGGCCAAAGGGGGCCATGGCCCCCCCCCCCCAAAACGAAACCAATTTTTTTTTTTTTTATGTGACATCGCAATAAAGGCAGGCAATGAGTACACCACCATCTTTTCCTCAAAAAAACAGTGGTTAAAGTGGTCAGAAATTGCCTCAGATCGCACCACAGAGCATCTAGAATCCAAAATTTTTTTCGGGGCCCTTAAGCGGGCCCCGAACCCCACGCCGTAATTTTTTTGACCCACTTTTTTGGGGACCAAAATTTTTTTTGGCCCCCCCCCAAAATTGTGTTCTGGATCCGCCCTTGCCAGCCTCGTGCAGGGGTGTACTCGACTCCCTGTCCCCGTCATTAGCCTTTGTGATATATTACGGTCACAGGGCGCTGTTTAGAATGGGTCCGGTAAAATCCCGGGTCAGATAGCGACCCAGAATTATACGACCTGATAGTATTCAGTATGACATTGACTCTTTTCCTGTTAAAATGACACTACGTTGGATCATTTTCGGGGTCATTTTGGCCATAACAACCTCGGCAAAAGTGTTAATTTGACTCTGGAAGGAGCTCTGTTGGTCTAATATAGGTCCAAGTTCCTGGGTCAAATCTCACCCGGGACTATAATGCAACTTCAAGTTGCCCTAAAAAAAAACCCAGAAAGGCCATAATTATACATCTTTAGCAGATTAAAATCATGTGGATATGGCTTCATTCCTTCTTCTCCATCCAATCGTCTTACCGCTACTTTTAAGGGCTTCCAGCCCGGCCTGCCTCCGCAGCACATTGGTGAGCAGGGTGCCCGGGTCTCTCAGGGCTTCTCTACAGGATGCCTCTTCCGAGTCCTCGCAGTAATAGGGAAGCATGTCCTCGAACAGTCGAGACATCTCATTGGCTGCCACGGCAGCTAAGAACCACATGTGAGAGGTATACCAAGATGTAATTGGGTGAGTAACTTTAAAAGTTGGGGGACTTTAACAGTGGAAACGTATGGGGGCTTTCAAAATGGTGGCTTCATAGGAAAAGCCGTATAGGAAAAGGCAGGGGCCTAACATATCTCCTAAAAGCCGAAGGCGTTTTCATTTTAATCTACAAGCAATGGTGTACAGAGGCAGTTTTAAATTTAACCTTGACATTATTTTCTTCCTTTCAAATCAGTAGAAGTGATCCTTTTCGAATTTCCTGTTCTCATCAATAAACACGTACAGCACTGCCTTTTGACCCCTATTTTGGCTACATCACAGTTTGATGTAGCCAACCAGTGGTTGGCAATTAAAGCATGCGGTCGTCAACAAAAAAATATAGAATAAGTTCACTACGTTTTATGTCAAAAGGCATTGTCAAAGACAATGTGTGTAGTTCCTCCCTTCTTTAATACAGAGATACGGATGAATAAAACGTGAACACTGTGAAGAAAGTTTTTGTTTATGTGAACTTTTGCAAAGTAATGAGCTTCCGTATTGAGTTCAACTAAATTTGTTTCAATTAAATTATATTTATTTGGCTATGCGTTCGTTTCGAGCAGAACCGTTCCATATTTAAACTTTGCAGGGTTTTACACATTTCAAAGTTGAATAAGCGGTTTCCTCTCCCCCCCCCCGAACAAAAATCTGCCAATACCATCAGTATACATAGATAACAGCGTAGCAAATTCATTTTGAAGTATCCGTATCGACTTAAGATTCCTTTGTTAGAAAAAATGTACAGTAACAGAAAAAACAGGGACATAATTCTGCAGCCCTTCTTCTTGTCATTCATTCAAAATAAATCGATACAGTCATACATTTTTTAAAACCCCGGTAGCCATTCCAGTTATTGTGTCAAGAAAAGGCAGTTGGTTAACCTAATATCAAAAAATTACAAACGTAATAGTTTATAGTATACAAACTGCTGACATGAAGTTTGAAAGTGCGTACTGTTGTAAACATGGGGATTTAAAACGGTAGGCTGTAGAACAGTTCACCGAGTTTGATACTGGATTAATGTCAACATGTACAGCGTTCGTGCACCAGTTGCTATACGGCCTATGCCGTCATAATCGGGCAGCTTTCTTGTGAACATTACACTCATAAGGGACCTTACATTATACATGTAGACAGACTAAACTCACCATTTAGCACCAAAATGAGCACTATCCCAGCAGAAATCTGTCGTGTTTTTTCCATGATGAGAAAATCATATACGAGGACCGTATTTTTGTGCACAGAAAATGCTTTCCCGACTACGAAATGACGTCCATCGTAAATAAACGGACAGGCTTGAGGTGAAACCGCACTCTGTTTAGCGATCTGTCCAATATTAACCATATTAACTGATATTATCAGATAAAAGAGCAAAATTATAATGTTGTGTTTCTCTGTAGGCCTTAGCTGAATCAACACACTCTTTGAAGAATTTTTTTAACGGGATACTTATACATCCATGTAGCTTCTTGAATGTGGCTCCTTTCCCTGTTACCTTGGCACTATGTAATGATTAAGAATGACTTCAAACGAATTTTTGGTTGTTGGTTAGTTAGTTTGTTGTCGATAATAACTCTTGTTAATGACTGTGTTAATGAGTACATCAGAATTATAAAATCAAAGATGTCAGATGTAACATGCTGGGCAGCCAAAGAAAAGGGGACCCCAAATTTCTAGAATGACCCAAGTAGATTACCGGAATTTGTGTGGCTCATTTTGTATGTCCATTCTCTGGTTTTATTTTGAAGTGGTGAAGAGTCAACGGGATACAGGGGCGGATCTAACTCTCAGGAAACGGTGGGGTGGGTGGGGGGGGGGGTGATATAAGGGGGGGGGTGAGCGAAGGCGTGCCGAAGGGACGGTCTAAGAATAAATTTAGGAATTTAAGTATTCCATTTAGTATTTTGGCCCTATTTTACTAGTATCATAACAATAGTATACTCTCATCGGCTGAACGGGGGTTGAATCCCCCGTAAACTCCCCCTCACCCCTATATCAGCTGCTGGGCTGATAAAGGGAAGGATCATAAAAAATAAGCAATCAGACAAACATTACGGATTCTGTCCCAAACAGAGTCTTCTAAGCTAGTCGAAAACATTTTTTGGGGGGAAACATAGTCATCCTCTCTTGACCTCTTTACAATGAGAATGTAAATTTGAACTAGGAAGTTTCTTAGTAAAATCATGCCATATTGTTAACGTTCTCAAATTTGAAGGGAAAAAAATGAAAATTTTAACAAACAAAAAAGCCCAATCGTCCCCATTGATTTGTGGTCGTATCTCCTTTTTAAGCTCTGCCCAGAAGTGATTGGTTTTGTCCATGGTTGTATTTGAGATATATTTCAACGAAAAGGTCATAAGGTCGATGAGAGTTGTTCAAAATCCCGTGACCAGTAATTTACACTACTCAGTGCCCTTAATTTTTTTTTAAATCGTCACTATCGATCACAACCACCTTTTTCACGACCCTCACATAAATTTTACACAATCACAAACAAGTCTATAGTTAATTTGTCCATTGATTTTTGGGACTATTTTTTTTTCTTCAAATTCTTTGTTGTTTCAAGGCGTTTGATCGTATGATACTTTGCCCGGTAACCGAACAATTAGGGCGATTGCTGTAATCAGTTATCTTTTCAGATACCGCCCCGATAGGTCACCAGATTACTTCCCTTCAACCATTAACAAAAGGTAGCAAACAAACGGCGCCTGACTGTAGGGTTAAATGTGGGGTTGTCATTGAGCCGATGGTCTAGTTCCTCGACTATAAAAAAAAATTACCGTCGTCGGACTTTGGTTTGTCTCGTGAGGGATTTTTATTAGTGCAAAGTCAAAGTGTTATACAGTTTTTGTTGTCTGAATGCATTATGCGAAATTTTCTTTAAGAGCCTCAATATATTGAAATTTGTAGTCCAAATTCAGATTATATAGAAGAGATATACGGGCACTAAAATAATATACAAAAGGCGGACGATGAATGGCAAAATAGGTTTAAAACACATTTTTCACAAAATTATATTATACAATAGTATACGTATTACAAAGGATTTTATTCTCTCTCTGCATGTCAATCATCAATTTATTCTATATAGGCCTATAGGTTATGTAGAAGTTCATTCGTGGAAGTAACAATTATAAATATGCTCTGCTTGTCTTAGAGCATGTCTTTACGGAGTGAGTACCGGTTAAAAAAATCAATTTAATGAAAAATGTGAAACATGAAAAATGCGAACAATTCCATAACAGAATCATCATGACCTACTAAAACCTTTGTGTATTGTTTAGTTATGACTTTTGCACTTATTTTTATGCTACTACTTGAAATCGCAGTCTTGTGGCAGCTTAAGGTATACACACTAATGTGAAACTTTCCTAAATAAATAACCTTGATGGCTTTTAATCTGCAAACCAGAACGTCTTGATTTTGAGGTGTTTGTCTGATACAAAAATCATGTTAACTCATCATTTCGATCAATGTCAGGAATGAGAATAAGAACAATATAAATATTTGAATAAATTACGTTCATGAACATTGATTTTGCTGTGATTCTGCGAATCGAACAGAATCATTGAAGAAGAAAAAGATAGACAAATAGTCTTCTGGACAGAAAAACTATACAAGAAAATATCATAACTACGAGGTAGAAATTTCATACAAAAGAATAACCTTTCAAATTTTGTGGGACATCTAATTTGCAAAACGAACGCAAAACACCCCCATATTTAGACCTGCTTCGCTCCAACTATAGCTTCGGCCATAAGTTTTATAGTTGAAGTCCCAACTATAGTTGAGACGATCCCCAATTACTATTCTACTAGCGCTTGGATCCTCTCAAAATATATAGGGGGTGATGATAGGTTGAAGGAGGTGCAGCAGCAACTAAGACTATAAAAGGGCGTGACTTTAAGCGAATGCATATGCTCTGTTTACTACTAACTGAATGACTTGAAATTAAAAGGAATTAAAACGTTGGGCAAATGGATAAATATTTTGCCCAATGTTGGTCAACATACCAACTGCCTACACTCTTGGGCAAATTCCCCCCCCCCCCAAAAAAATGTTGGTCCATTTTCACCTGAATTTACCAACAATGAGGTAACTTCAAACCAATGTTGGGTAAAAAAAACATTGCCCAACAGTGTATTACACAACAGTGTTTAACCCAACTTTGTAGTTTTATGTTGAATGCAGCGCACTGTGGGAGAGTTTCTTTGTCCAAAGAACAGTGAAATTCTTGCTCATCAGCATTTTGTCTTGCAACATCCATCCTTGAATTTGATATACATTGTTATCGGTCATAAACCCTTTACATAACCCTTCATGATGAGACCCTACAGTTCCCTATGTTTCTCATTTCTACACTCCTCAGCCTCGAGCCCGTCGTTCGACATGGCCAGCTGTGTGACGTCGTTCGGCAAGTCGTCAACCTCGTACTCCTTGCTGGCTTTGTTGCCACGGCAATTGTCCCATATCAAATATGACACGACCAGGATGATGACGACGGCGCTCACGCAGCCCGCGCAGATAGCTAGGATCGTTAGGGGTTCCATCGGTTTCCTGACAAAAGCTGTGCAAAGAGTGCGGAAGGTAGGTCTAATATTGTTATTATTGTCATCCCAATGTCGTCGCCATCATCAATCAAGAACCACAGCTTAATCAGTAATTACAAATTGCCAGTCCCCATTTACCAATCCTAAATCACCAATTGTTGATCCGAAAATCATCAATCACTCATCAATCGGAGTCACCAGTCATCAGTAATTAAATTATACATCGGCAATAAAAAGTCATCAATTGTCAATCGTCAATTGTCGATCGTTGATCACCAGTCGTCGATCATCAGTAAATTTTGTCAATCGTCCGTTGTCGATCATCATCGATCAGATATCATCAATCGTCAATCGCCAAAAGTCCATCGTCGATCGTCAATAGTCACAATCGTCAATCGTCACTAATGATCACCAATCGTCAATTGCCGATAGTGCATCGTCAAGCGTCAATCTTCACTCGTCAATCGTCAATCGTCAATCATCAATCGTCAATTATCGATCATCTATAGACCTTATGCGCTAAGGTGGAGCTATTGGGTAATGTTGTTCATCGCTTATGTTAAAAACCTACCCTCGGCGTCACCCGCAAAGTCTACCGTATATCACCAATTACAAAAATTACCACCAATGTTATTAACAAATCACAACTGTCGTCAGCATATCTAGAAGCACTATTATACATACGTGGTTCGCAGTTCGATCCAGGATACCCCTGCAGACAACTGCAGGTGTAACTTGTATCCACTGGGGTACATGTACCTCCGTTGAGACAGGGGGAGCTAGCACACATATCGGCCTCTACGTGAGAAGATAACAGCCCAGCATTACTACAAGATGCCTCAAAAGTGATGTCATTTTAAATGGAGAAATTGTTTAAATTTTCTTGTCCTTATTATTTTTGAATAGTGAATTGATAACATTAATTTGAAATTGTGTAACACATTTTTAAACTAGAAAGCACTCAGAGAGCGCAAACCTCCGCCAAGGCTAAACGATTCCCCGCCATATTGTCAGTACACCCAAAAGAAATACTCGCATAAATGGTGAAGGATCCTTTTAAAAAATCCTGGATCCAGACCCAGATCCGGATCACTTCCAAAATCTAGTCGATTTGTACTTGTAGCAAGGACCACCCCTAAAAACATGCATGCAAATCCGTCGATAACTTTTGGAGTTATATACAGACAAACTAACTAACCAACAAACAAACTAACCAAATCCGATGAAAACATAACCTCCTTCGCGGATGTAATAAGGATGCCAAACTACATAATAATGTTACAATACACTTATCTAGCCCGAAGAAGTTATGAATGTAAAGTTTTTAATATCAAAACAGTACTTTGCACAAATTCTGTTTTAGTGTGTGTATTTTCTGCTGTATATCTTGGGAATTGGGATGATATGTATATCTCACCCATGCAGCCATCTCCAACCAGGCCGACGTCATCAATCGCAATGTCGCCGCGTGGGCCATTCCCGTCCACGCCCTCAACGGTGATCTATTTCAGATACATCATGAATGTAAATGGGCGTTAATCACATGTCATCTAATGATACTGGAAAAAAAGGTTGATTGTCTTTTTATGGCAAGAACCGTTAATACCCGGTATCCATATAAAATGTGTATTCGGGTCTAAAATTATCGGACAGCCACAGATCGAGGGATCTTTGTCAGTTCTTAAAGTACTGAGGAAATTGAAAGCGCAGTCCATCTTATAATTAGCCAGTGACTACCGCGTGCTGAAAACCATGTTTCGATTTTTTCCATCGTCTCAGATGCCCTCCGTGTAAACTAACAGTTGGAAGTTTTCATTCATTCCCGTGGCTACTTTGACTTTTAAATAATAGATTTTTGATTTTTTAAATGCCCATCACTTGTGGTTTCATCATCACTTGTTTTAGCTCTGCTGTTCCTTTACTTGACATAATTATTGTGGTCGACAAATTTCACTGAACTTTTCAGTTTGTTTTACTGCAACTTCATTGCAGTCATCATTCAAGCAATACGATTATATTTCCAACATTTTTACTATACCGATTAGAACAGAAAACACTTCAGTAATGAAATTGCTCTTGTTCGAATTTCCAAACACAATGGGTGCATGCACATTAATGCAAACATAAAGTGTGTTAAATTGAGAAAATTATGATGTATGACAGGTAAAAATCCCACCAAAATAAGCAGACAAAAGACCATCAGTAGGCCTATATACACAAATTACTACGATAAAAAACCGGTTCGCAGTATGACATTTAAAGACGTAGAGCAGTGCCGAAACGTTCGGTCGTGTTTACTTTTTTAAGTAAAACGACAAAATGCAAACTTGAAAATTAAGTTAACATACTTTATATATCCCTGCTACAGTCTTCAGATCGATTTCGTGTTTCTTCCACAGATCTTCGCTTGTTAACTCCACAGGGTACTCCATGCCGCCGACAGCCACGTTCAACTGGCCCAGGTTAGCACCCAGTGAGTGGTAGTAAAACTCCAGCTTGCACGCTGCTCCTTCCATCTTGTAAAACTCCAGACTGTCTAGGATTGCTTTGTCGCCCGCTGATTGGTCGGATGATTCTATGTACATGTAGCGGCCTTGGTAAGAACGAAAACATTAGGCAGGTATGTGAACACATTTAACCCTTTGATGATAGGATCATGAAACTTGGCACATCGCTAGAACATGCTTTATTAATAAAGATGTAAGCTATAAAGGGCAATCCTATAGAGTTGTCCTGAGACAATATGGGGGCCATTTTCCAACATGGCTGCCAAAGACATCGTGCCTTGTTTGGTGGATTAAAATAAGGTCGATTCCATCGAGAAGTTCACATGTCTTATTGTCAGATCTATACAAGTCACTCCGCAATGTTCGCCAATGACTATCTTTTCTGTTTGTGTCCAAACGTAGGAAGGTACAAATAACTCCAATACTACCAAAACAACACTAAATTTCATTCCGACGAAAATTTCACGGCTAAAAAGGTGGTGGTTGTTTCACCGAGATAACCAAAAATAAACATCCTGCGTGATTCTTTTCAGAAATTGATCGGATTTGAAATTTAATTCAATGAAGGCATGCCTTGTTACCTAGTTTATTTTCTCCCAAGGTGTGGTCAAAACTTGGGCCAGTTCCAGAAGTTGGTGTTTGACCGCTCAGCCTTGTCCAATCAAATTGGTCGAGGGTAACGTCAGATACCTGGTCGAAGAAGCACAGGTCGCCATAGAAACTGCCCTCAAAATCGCAGTATTGTGGCAGCTCTGTCCGTTTCGAAAAACAAAATAGAGAAGAGGAGAACGACATGTGTTTATATTGGAAAGGTGCTAACGTGCAACTCGCAAGTCACAAACCGATTCATGTGAATACTGAAACTCCTTTAAAATAGACGAAATTCAGATTACCAGCATAATCAAGGCACGTGTACTATGCCATTACAACCATTGTAGCCATTATCTGAATTTAGGACTTTCTCTTTTGATCACATGTACATGTACTGCGCAATGACTTCACGACTTATGGTCAGGTGACCATGGTCAGGTGACCATTGTAGCTCGCTAATACTCGGTCACTATCAGTGTGGGAAATGTACACAAACCAAGAAGGTAGGAGGGACTTGTAGCCGAATCCGGAATAGTTCATTCCAAATACATGCATCCAGGCTCATTTTCTGCCCCCAATCGTAGCACTGATCAGTATGTTCTTATTGTTCTGTGTATTAAGAAACTAACCCCCCCCCCCAAAAAAAAACCCAGTTAAGGCGCCCATTGCTGCCATTTTGTTACACTTCATGGGATTAGCGTCATTTTGGCCGTTTGGCAAACCTCGGCTTCGGTCCGACTATCTTAATCTAATACTTTAAAAGAATTATCATTTCTACAATATTTTTAAAGGAAATCAAACCGACGATTCTATTACAATGCGAACTTACTTCCCGTTTGAAGCAGAACGTCATCTAAAGCAACATACGCTCTGCTTGGGTGATGTATTTCTGCCTGGAAAGCAACCTACAGAACAAGAAATATAATGTGTAACAGAATTATAAAAAGATAAGTTATGTGGATTGAGAATACACAATATAATGGTGGAATCGCATTATATTTCCTTTCAAAGTCCATTCATTTATCTGCAGGCTTGTGTAGATCCATGAATGTAATCCTACCATACAGACTCACATCCTATCCAGTATTGGTTTTTGTATTTCTAGGGGCCTGATGGGAAGTGATAATGATAATGTAGCGCCTCGAATGGCCAATATTGGTGAATGTATGCTCTTATACATTATTTTATATGGTTTGATATGCGGCCTTAACACTTTTGAGTACAAGTAAATTATATGTGCCCTCCCTCGTGCCTGTGGCCATGTTCTGTGTGGGTTTTTTCCCCCTTATATACCAATAATTCACCATGTCTTCAGACACCTGTTGTGTCCAGCCATCAAGATCATTAAAACCATTCTTTCTCTCCGAATAATTATGTTTTTCGGTAAGTTTTGACTTGGTGTATACTACAGGAACGAAAGAAAAGCAACCTAGAATGTGATGATTTGGTTTAAAATCACAGAATTACAAGAATCATATAAGCCGAAACGCAAGAATGGGTTAGGCCTACCATTGTGTATCATTGCACCCAAAAGGAGGATCGATTAATTAAAGATTACACGAACAATGAAGGAAGAAGTATTTAATATATTGAATGTAAAAACTACATACATGATGTGAAAAAAATGACCATACACACAGTAAATTGTTGAGGGAACAGTCAATTTACCTGGAATTCGGCAGGATAGTTTAGATTAATTCTAGCCATAAGCCAGGGGTCATTCTTTGGCATTGCGATGCCCTGCGCAGGAATGGCCCACACTGTCTCCATTGCTTTGGAGGGATTCTTGTGGACAACTTTCACCGTCAGGTTGGATGAGGCCACGTTGATGTGGTACCAGAACGTCAGCACCGTGTGAGGGGCATCTCTGCTCCCGGAAATCATCGGCGTCAAAAGCCTCCCTATCTCGCCACCTTGCCCCGTGGCTATGGCGTAATAGGAATCTTGAAATACCAAAAAAAAAAAAGTTGATAACTTTAAAGTTGACATTACTTTAAAGGCAGAATCGTCCATACAAGTGCGAATAGTTATAATTCATGTATGCGTGCGCACGTATAGGAGTTAACGGAGGCAAGAAGCACAAGAAGTGCATTGGTACTGTATGAGAGGGGGTGTACCCTATGTTCCCAATACCGATGTTCCACGAAATCCTTAGGATTAGGGTTAGGGTTTAGGGTAAGGATTTCGGGGGAAATCGGTGTTGAGGAACATAGGTATCGGGGAACATAGGTATGCACCCGTATGAGAGCACGACCATTCGGTCGTTGTTTTTTTTTTAAATTGGGAGGGGGGGGGGTTTCAAAGTTGTGTAGATGATTTCACAATACAGCGAAGGGTGAAAAGTACTTTCAAAACCAACAGTAGTATCGATATGCAGGCAAAATTGGTGAAGAGAGTGACAAAATTTGAGGCTCAAAACGGGATATAATTGAGAGATTTAATTTGATGCCCCAACCATGAAAGGGAACAAAAAGTCCGCTTTCAGGACTTACGCAACATGTGGAACGACATCTTAAGGCAAGGTCTATGAAAGTAACATTTTTTTCCAGCAAATATGATACCTAAAATATTGGCATGTATGTGCACATGGTTTGACTATTAGGCTATACCATGATAGGTTGTGTCACGGGTTTAGATACTTCTGAACATAGGTGAAAAGTTGTTTTGTAACATGTTCTGTGACTGACTCTCTTCATGTGGGGTATGAAGTAAAATCTTCCCATTTCGGCCTGTACCTACCGTCCGTATGATCGAACTCAGGGCCGATCAAGATTAGTAATGGTGGCGCCCTTTGTCTCGCAAATGTCATGTTGAGTTCCCTCTCCACCAACTCGCTTTCCCAGTTGCATAGAGAGAGGGGCAGGAAAGTGCACTGTATTTCCTCCGTGGTGTTCTTTTCGGCATATTCTCCTGTCAGACAAAGGGAAGAATTGGTAAGGAGGTAGTAAGAACAAATTTGAAAACAGACCGTGAGAATGCCTCTAGCGAATAGATCGTTTGCACGGTGGCAATATTCGAGGTGTGTGCTTGTCTTCAAAAAGGATACGTAGTAGAGGTCTTGCGCATTCATTGTTAGTGAATTAATATAACAACACACTTCTCACAGATGGCTACTGAATGCAGTCGATCTATTAAGCCAACTATGTCATCCCGCAAAGAACGAATATTCACTTCATCTGATTGAGCGGAGACAACACGATTTACATGTTGGGTAGAATTTATTCAATGGAATGAGCCTAGATCGAGTTTTCATTCGAGTTCCAACTGAGGTAGTTATACATATAAAGTGTATGTCTCTCTACGTACATCGTCTGGTCGCAAGTTTCACTCTCGAAAATTAGAGAGAGCGTTTACAGCGAATGTAACAGTGTACCATTTGAACGTTGTTGGAATCTCACCTGTAGTTACACCAACTCCTAGTATCAAAACAAAGGCAAGAATGATGTATCGGGCCGCCATATTTTTCCAAGTAAATGTTACTCGCATTCCATTGGCGCTTAAACACAAACCGGCAGGACTCCGAGTACAAAACAATGTTCAATCGAATTAGTCACAAGTTACCTCTGCGTGGAATACATTCCGACTCTGGTTCAGTTGAGTTAATCATTAACTTTCGGTCTCTTCAGTTCCAAAGTACGCTTTGATAATTGATTAAACTAGCAACGTGCACTACACAAAAGCTTTATTAATTATAGCAACACTACAGTACTGTGTAACGCCTAAAGCAAATACAGTCGAACGATTTTGTCTGACTGCTAATCAACCCATAGAGGATAACTATATGTAAGCTCAAAGGCTGCTTTACATGTCATGTGACATTTAAAGGTAATATAAGACAGCGTAAACTCTATTGCAAAAGACACAAACTACAACACGAGCAGTAGAAACAAACGAAAAACTAGATTTAAGTTACCTGATCGCCTATTTTAGTTACCTGATCGATCACCTCAAAAAAATGAGCTGAAAACAATGCTCGTGCAAACTTCGAAACCCTACTAATTTCGTTTCTTCTAAATTTCCAACTCGTTAGCAAAATACTACATGTATATAGAACCAGATTACTTTGTTTTTGCCAGGGTGACCTTTTAACTCTGTGATTCGGGTTCAAAATCCACTCAGACCCACGTGTGGTTTGTGTTGTAAACCTAAGTTGGCCAGATGTCCATGAAATATCATTACTGTGAATTCATCCCTTTTCAACCCCCCCCCCCCATAAAATAGAATTTTTTCATCGTCTCTTAGGTGACGTCTCCAGGCGGCCAAACTGAAGTTACGTATTGTGGAGGGCCTTAGTTTCATTACCAAAACTATCAATACAACAATAGATAAAAACAATAGATATATAAAGTAAATAAAAAGAACAAAGCAATTTATCGCTGTAAAGCGCTCAGAAGTGATTAAGATAAAGATGCGACCGGTAATTGATCAAACATGACTCCATCTAATTCTAAAGAGAGAACGACACCATGACCCATGACGAAAATTTACACTGTCCAAACTTCGTTACGTTTCAACAAGGGCCTTTTAAAAAAAAAAGCTCCTATATTTGCGACGACGAAGACCGTACTCCCAAGACAAGAGTTTTCCTGAACTCCCCACACGAGTAATATCAAGCATTCCGGTTGGTAAATGCAAGGCTGTACCTTGATTCCGTTTAAGGTGACAATGACCTATAAATACGATTTGGTATCTTTTCCCGCTTATCAGATATTTCATTGTGTATAGGCCTATTCAATAGTAGACCTGGAGGTCCATTTTTAGATTTGGACTCCGGGTGACTTGTCATTTGGCATTAAAAAAAAACAAAAAAAACATCAGTTTGAAGGATCAATGAATTTGGGACGGATCTAATTATAGTATCAAGTGGTCCACTCGAATAGTGCGAAGCGGACCAGTTATTTAAAATGAAAGAAAGAGGAACGTAAAGCAATCAAAGCAAGTACAGTTGGTGAAATTATTTTGTATTCAGAATGCACAATACTTCTAGAATCTGTTAGACACTTTGCATTGCAGTCAAATGAGAGGTGAAGCCTACTTTTGTTTTTGTTGGATGTTGAGTAAACCTCTTCAGGGGCGGATCCAGGAATTTGTGCCGGGGGGCATCAGCAAATCATTGCTGAAATGTAGACAGGTTTTCCCCCCGATACTTGGCTCCGCAAAATCAATGGGGGGGGGGGGGGGGGGGCTTGTACCATTCTTTCAAGGGGCACTGTTCAAATCCAACAATAAAACTTTATTACAGAATAGTGTACAAATGAGCAGGCTCTGTCTGTATTTTGGGCACAGGCATCTTTAAATACCAATATAATTGTTGTGGGGTGTCAGAGCAGGGGGCGAGGGTTGAGCATTATATTTTTTATGAATTTCTATGGGAAAAAATGGACAGAGCTGGGGGCGCTACCCCCCCCCCCCCCGATCCGCGAATGAATTTTAAAAAAAATACCTGAAAGATGATTGCCGAACAAAAAAGATCAATTCTCGTCAACTATCGAAGCACGAGTCCATTAAAAACACCCATTATTTATAAGAAACGGAAAAGGAGATGCAGATTAATATCTCTTTTATTTGTGGAATATTGTAGAATATATCATTGAGCTTATGAGCTGTACGGGAATTACCTTCCGTGCAAAGTGGCGGGACATCTCTTCCCTGGCATTGGCAAGTGAAACTATCAGCGGCGGGAATACACTTTGCCTCGTTGTAACCGTGACAAGGAGAGCTCGCGCATACATCATACCCTGGAAAAAATGTCACGACACAAATACACGAATATCATGCTGAATATAAGATTGTCGGCTTTGCATGGTGGAGTATCGATAACGCTTTGGTTTGCGGTAACACCATGGGGTTGTATCTACTTTCGCTCAGTAGATTTAGTTCTGATAAGAACTGTCCTGCTAGTTCAAAAAAGGAACTTGTTCTGCTTATCTACTTTCGCTTAGTACATTGGAAGGCGGTTGGACAATTATCTTCACTGAGGCTGAGGGAGATAAGTTTGGTCTCAACGTTTCGACGAGCGTGCTCTAGTCATCGTCAGGAGATTGTGTATTCATTGTTACTGAATATGTGGAAGTTTTAAATGGGGGAATGGTACAACAAAGACGTTTTTCTCTTGAGGTCAGACAGACTATCAGAAACAGAGATGAGAAGAATTCTCACTACTTGATTCTTTTTGGAACCTAAAGTCTTCACAGAAAAGATTAAGTTCATAGTAAACCGGCAAAATTACCACTTTATTCAAACATAATTGTATACAAGTCCCTCAAATGTGTGTAATTGTGATCACCAGATTAGTCTATAGAGGGCACCATATCAATATGGGGGCAGGGAATCAGACTCGTGTAACATCCGTTTCAGACCGGCGTACAGTCAAGAGTTGCACTGAACCAAATACATGTAATGTCATCGACCCAAGTCGACAGATTAGATTAGGCAAACGTTATATGTGAATGTGACGCTCTTGAAATTAGGGATCGGAAGCTCTTGAGTTGTGGTATATGCAGCAGCGAATTTATTCCGTATCTGTATATGTGAAGACAAGATTTACATGAAGTGATGTTACTTATTCCATCGACTAGTTTTTGGAGTGGTTCCGAACGACGACAGCAGCAGTCGATATTTTGACGCAGTCGCTCCTGTTACAAAAGTTTCATGTATAGAGAAAATCTTTAGCACTGAAGAAAACGAAAAACTGGTACACCAACGGCATCGCTGAAAATGCCAAGTGCGTCACCGACAAGATATAAGTAAGTCACTAAATGGTTTTGATCACTTAAAACACGCACGATGAATGTGTCTAACCTCACCTGTACAATTATCTCCAACGAAGCTGATGTCATCAATGGAGATGTCCCCGAGGTTCCCTTCGCCTCTTACTCCCTGGAATGCAACCTGAAAGAAGGCATAAACTATTCCTACTAGTAATATGATCCAGTACATGGTACTCTTTGAATTATGATGACCGTGTGAAGAAGTCATCTTGTTCAGTGTGTCAAGAAAATTCAATCTGTGTTCTACAGTCGAGTCCATCACAAGACAATAAAAAAGCAGACCAGTCTGAACTTAAATTTCACGAACCATTCAAGGCATTCCTTTGTAACTGTTTCTTGCCAGTTACTTGTTGCCGCGGCCGTTATGAATCGACATGTGATTTATTTTTGACCGGACGTATGATGGATTTATGTTGGATTGTACTACAACATACAGTGGGAAAGGAGTAGCCATTGAGCTATCGACATATACAAGTGATGCTACGTGTCGAAACAAAATGTCCTACTTTTGATCCTAAAAAACTATGTTGTTCACCAATGGAATTAAACCAAAATTCAGATCATGTAAACAAGGCATGACACATTTTATGGAGCGAGTTTCATTAGCTCTGTGCAAAACGTAGGGTGATATTTACACGCCATACAAAATAAAATACGCACGAGTTTCAGAATCTGCCACTTTGGACTCCTCCATCGATACAGCGCGTGCTGCAGCCGAAAGCTTCTGAAGAAATGCAGGATCACACCTGATGTCATTGCACACATCCTCGATCGTTTGGCGCAACACACGATCGAGGAGGTGTGCAATGACATCAGGGGTGATCCTGCATAGTCCTTAAGTTTCGGCTGCAGTACACGCCTTCCGCCACCGTCACCAGTGCTGTATCGACATTCTAAAAATGATTTTTTTTTCGTATACGGTATTTAAATCTCACCTCTTGCACAAGGCTGATTAAACTCGCTTTGTCATGCCTTTTTTACATGATCTCAAATTGTTGGTTTAATTCCATCATGTAAACAACAGAGTTATTTAGAATCGAAAGTAAGACATTTTTTGACACGTAGGGGCCTAGTACCATGGAGCTAGGGCAATACTAGCCCCATAAACGTGGCCTATTTACTGGACTGCCTCCGTAAACATAGGCCACACATCCACATGTACAAAAACGTGTCGCACTTTGCCAAATTTTGATTTTCACATTTAGGCTTAGTTTGTAGGATTTTTTTGCTTTAGAAGCATACTCACCCTCTTTATAGGCTAATCAGAAAGTGCTGCCTTTTTCAGATGTCTATTTTTCGTGAAATTTCCAGATTCATTTTTACACGTTTGCATATCAAAATTTCAACATGAAATTTCACAAAAATTAGACATCTGAAAAAGGCAGCACTTTCTTACTAGCCTATAAAGAGGGTGAGTATGCTTCTAAAGCAAAAAAAATCCTACAAACTAAGCCTAAATGTGAAAATCAAAATTTGGCAAAGTGCGACACGTTTTTGTACATGTGGATGTGTGGCCTATGTTTACGGAGGCAGTCCAGTAAATAGGCCACATTTATGGGGCTAGGGCAATACCAACCCTGAATGTCCCGGCTACGCTCGTCAAGTCAATCTCGTGCTTCTTCCACATGTCTTCACTGGTAAGCGCCACCGTGTAATCCTGGCCGGCGACCTGGACGTTCAAAGCCCCCAGGTCGCTCCCGAAGGCGTGATAATAGAACTCCAAGGTACAAGATTCACCGGGGGGTTTGTAGTACTCCATGCTGTACAGGACTGCCGTCTTCATCTCCTCGGGTCGAGTAGCTTCAATAAACAGGTAATGTCCTACACGTGCACACACGGGAGAAATGGGGCAGTTTCATGAGGCTTATACCGATGTGTATATTGTGAGCTTGTCACTAGTACATGGATAATAGTTGCACCGATGCCTGCTTGGTTTATTGTGTCTCAGCTCAGTACATCACATGAGGTTCTGGCTTAATCAAGGGGGGTGGGGGCTACACTGTTCTGGGTGTAATCTGACCTAAGTTGGGGCCTTATACTTTATTCATTTAGTAAGTTGGGGTTCATGCATTCCAATGAGGATGAGGGAATGTCCGGTTCCGGGTGTGTGGTTTCAGAGCACGTGACGACTAATACCATGAAGAATGTGTCCTTTCTCTATGCTATAGCTATCATGTAAGGATACTACAACCATAGAGCTGGGACCTAACTGAGAGTACAGAAATGGGCTGAATACACATAGTATTTCCTTAGCTAAAAAGCCTTACCAGTCAATGTGCCCTGCGACGTGTATTGTGTGTGACTGGTTCTCAGCCAAGATGTTCTCCGAACTGGATATGTTTGTTAACACTTTAATATCAGAACTTATGAGCTGATATAAAGGGCCACAACTTTCTCAAAATATGACATCACCACGGACTGCTTTCACATCATCACATTTTTAACAAAGTTCCTCATTTTTATTTGACTACCGAGGATAATGCCTATACGACCCTACAGTGTACTTGTAAAGTAAAACGATGAAAACAACCTACTTATGCGTGAGTCATGTTGTGTCCATGTTTGGAGACAAAATATATTTTCAACGTGTACTTTTTTTTGCAAATCGAAACATTGTCTATAATACGCTCGGGTAAACGAGAAAAAATCACTTTATTTTGTTGTACTTTAGTGATAAATTTGACTTCTTCCTAGCACAATGCCATGGTGTTAAGCTAGTAAGATGTACGTTAAGTGAGTGTACAGTGATATCGAGTAACAGTCGAGCACTTTTATAACAAAGTTCTTGGGACTTTATAAGTTACCTTATTATAACAGGTACCTTGTGTTAACAGAAATGGAAAACAAAGAAAAACAAAGACTTGGGACCTGAACTTCAAGCATGACGTTGCGTTGACAGTGCTCTTCTTATCAGGCTTCGACTTATTATCCGCATCTTACCATTCGCGCCTTCTCCCAAAGTGTGATCAAAGAGCGGGCCGGTGTCGAGAGAGGGCGTTTCACCGCTCTGCATCATCCAATCAAAATCGTCGACAGAGGTTTCGGCCACGCCCGCTTGGTAGAATTGACACAAGTCGCCGAAGACCCCGCCTTCGAAGTCGCACTTCGAGATAAACGCTGGTTCACAAAAAAAGGAACACAAAAAAGACAATGGACTAAACAATTTCGAATTATTGGCATCCATGCGCCAAACCCCGTTCTCGCGGGGTAGCCTGGTTTGGTACCCGCCCCAAAATCAGTATCGATAATGTACGGACCGGGAGCCAGATCTGTTTATGCTCAAAACGAACTCCTTTTTCCGACGGTTGCAGACACCCCCCCCCCCCCCCAAAAAAAGGGGGATGCTGGTTGGAATAAAACATACAAGTTGAAAAATTATTTTTATTTGTTGAAGAGCACAGGGAACGCATTTTTATAATCACAACGCACCGCATCTTGTTTTGCTAGACTTTCACTGGAGAAAAAAAAATGCACTGCAACGCAAACGAGTGTACTAATGGGAAATCAGCAGAGAACCATGCATGATATAATTAATATAAATGACGAAACATTTTGACTGGACACAGGTTTTGCTCAGCAAATATATCTTGAGCTAAGCGAATTCCCGTACCTTTTGGCAGTTTCATGAAAACCCCCTTCCCCCACCCCACACACACACTTACAGCCCGTTTGGAGGAGGACGTCATCCAATCCTACGTACTCGCTTTCGTTGCGTTTCATTTCGGCCTCAAAAGCAATCTGAAATTAATAGAGACAATGCAATCAATAAAAATAGCATGGACGTAATGAAAAGAAACAAGTGCGTGTGCACAATATGCTCTAGATCTGGCCGCCTCGCATGCATAATTTGCACGAAACGATTGTGCGCACAAGCCCGGGCCACCATCTCACAAGGAAATCACGCGCTGAAAATTGACCAAAATAAGCTCCTTAAATGTCCCGAAAAAATAGTGCACCCTAAAAATCAAGCGGCGCTTATTTTATTTATCCATGTTTTCACAGTGAACAAAATATGTTTTTCTCTGTAAATCTTGTCATAGACCCATGGGCCAGGGGCAGATCTGAATATCAGAAAGGATATGGCCGACGTTTGATCAAACGTAGGCTAACAAGTAAGGCACTCAATCAGTCTAATCAATGCTTAGGGCAGGGGAGAGACTGAGAGGGGGCGGAGCTCGGAGTCGGGCTAACAAAGCTTGCGTGGTTCATTTTAATTTAGTTTCAATGAATAAAAACTGTCTTTACTCATGTGTATCACTGCATAACAAAGCCAAGATGGCTACTTTATGCAAAGACTCAATACCTGAAACTTAGCGGGGTAATTGATGGTCGTTCTAGCAAATAGCCACGGGTCACCCCTGCCTAGTGCCATGCCTCCACTAGGGAGACTCCACACGGTCCTCCTCGGTTTAGTCTGGTCCTCGTGGACTATGCTGACTGCCAGGTTGGCTGTGGTCGAACCCACGTGATACCAGAAGGATACAACGGTGACGGGAGCGTCTTTGCTGCCCTCTATCATTGGCGTGAGGAGATGCGCTTCCTGGCCGTTTTTCCCAGTTGCTGCGGCGTAGTAGGAATCTGGCCAATGAGATGTGAATATAAAAAAGAAGTGGTAAACAAGAGGAAGTTTTCGAAATCTAGTTTCGTCTCCAGCTTAGGGCTTCATCTTGAACTTAAAAATCATTCAATTGGCTTGAATGTGAAAGCCAAAATTGGAAATGCTCTACGCTTAATAGAATTAGTTTTGAGTGAAGGAGTTCATGGACCTATATTGAGTTCCTCAAGTCAGGCTGAGCAGTAACGGATCTGGGGTGGTCGCAACATCCCCCTCCTCCCATCCAGCCGCTGATTAGTGTTATAAAACTAATAAAATGGGGCCAAATATAATAAATGGAATGCTAAAGTTTGCCCTAGAATGCAGGACAAAGCATCGTAGATTTCAAAATATTTGAAATGCTGGAGATGTAATGGGTTATTATGACATACAGTATTTGTTTTCTTAATCACCTTGGTATTAAAGTATGAGACTATTAAAGCTACAGTGTTACTCAATTTTGGAGGTCTCTATATACGTTGTAAATTATGAATGTTCCCTTCCATACCAAATTTCGTTTTTCAAAATGTCGAAAAATAGCAAACTTGCAGTAAAAACACATGAGCTCTCCATAGACTTCGGGCATGCACCGTGGATAGCACTGACACACAGTAATTTCAGGGCAGAACATGTACCTCCCGAGTGATCAGCGAAGGGGCCATACCCCAGGCCGGGGATGGACGGGTCGATGATGCCACCAATCACCGTGGTTATGAAATTCACCCGTGCCCAGCTAGCCGTTACTCCCGGGCCTTTATTGCTCGTCCATCCGCACAACCTCGGCGGCTCGAAGGAACATTGGATTTCTGTGTAGCTGTCTGCATCGACACCTGTTTACAAGAAAAGCAATCCAACGGATTATTGTAAAAGAAATTGGTAAACATAAAAGGAAACTTTTTTATTGACATGGATCAAAGTAAATAATGAGATAGCAGACGAGGAGGGTGCAAATCGTGAAACGGACCAGATCCAACAAAAATGAGTCTTTAGGACATTAAATCGCATAATTTTCACATGTATTAGGCAGAACTCACTCAGCTCTTAATTTTGTTATACCACAGGCCCCAGGTTGTTAATTGTTAAAAAAAAACGCATTAAGGAGGAACTACTTGGTACGGCATGGTCAGGAACAGGGTGATTAGCATTCAGATGTTGTAATCTTACCTCAAATACCCCATAAATATTTTTATTATATAGGCCGACAATAATCTATAGGAATTTGGTGCAGTGTTTGTGTGACCGGGTACGATTATTGCCCACATTATATTATGAGAAAAACTGTTTAGTCTGACAGGGATTAACACTGATAGCAAACAAAGATCTCAGATATGTAGTTTGGTGAGGGTTAAACATACATATATTTGGATTATGAAAGGTTGAGTTGGGTTACCAGCTTTTGTCGCTATGACCTTAGCGGCCACCGTATACTATCCTACAGTGTTGTCAAGATTTTATTTTGTCTTAATTTTCCCCTGTGCGTACTCACCCTTAATTTTGTGTAAGTTTGCTGGAGTCAGTTCAAAATATTATACTATATTGCATAGTACTTCGGTCTGTAAAGATCATTTAAAATACGTTTTGAAATACAATTCTACCTCTGAGTTTTTCCTCTCAAAATTCACACATGATGGACTTATTGTTCGCCGTTATTATCTTTATGCAGTGTTGCTTCTTTAACGAATATCTGGAAATTTTCAAATTGAGACTTTCAAAGTAAGTACATGTATATTATGGTTCAAACCAGGTTTCTATTGTCGCTGATCTATTGCAAACTTGTTTACATACCATATGATTGATAAGCAATAATACATAAAACAACCTCTTCGTCGGCTTATCCTACATTGCAAAACTAACCTGTTGTCCATAAAATCACCAGTCCTAAACAAATCAAGCAAGCACCCCTGACGAGCATGTTTCCAGGTTAAATCCTTTCACAGGCAATCAGAACAACGTCGCAACAGATGTGAAATCTCTCTGGCTGTCACGGCGCTTAGTTCAATTCCAGACAAAGTATCTACCAAACTTCTAGCTCTGGGTTCACGGTCCATAAAAAGTATGCACACGTCCAATGACGATAAATATTTTGCATGTTGGTCGTTACCATGCGTTTAATTATTAACGAAAGGCTAACTTGTCCTTTAATCAGTTGAGTGCCGAGATAACGTACAATGGTTGTACGAGCGAAGAGCCATTATTGATGTAGCAACTATCTTCGACGACGATAAAAGCTGTGTCATCACCGATATGGTACGATATTGCCATGACACGAAGTTACTCATTGCTCTTACAATTTGGGGGGAAACAGGGGTTGGCGACAGATCCAAAGGTCACGATGACGAGACGTTGACACGCCCGAGAAATCTTCTGGCTTCCTGACTCGCATGCTAACTCGACTTTCTGTTATTTGTAATGTATTGTCGCAGAGCTTGAGGACTATCTTTTTTGTAATTTTGTGCCTGGAATACTTACTCGATAAATTCTAATAATTTCAACATAAATGACAAAACACAACAATTATTGCATTTGCTTTTTAGGATATTATTTGACTCTCTACGTACACATTTAACATCTACTTATACTTTAAACTTGTGTAGGTTATGGCCAAAACGTATAACATTAACTTCGAGAAAAGAAATAGCAAATTTTCAACATCATACATGAATGTACAGTCCATGACTTAAGCTAAATCATCAAAATTTCTGTACGAATCGAACAAAACTACATAACATGTGACCTGTACATGCAGTTACAATTTTCTTAGGCTACAAAATCAAATCATTATGACAAACATTTAATTGTTTGGTACTTATACAAAGGTATGTCCCAAATCGTCGGCACTTGGGAGGCACGTCACGTTTTGTTATTAGACTTTTCGCATAATCATAGTTTTTTCCCGACCAAATCATTCGTACGTATTAAAATCCACTTGTTGTTTGTTGATTTGCTGTTCATTATTTTTTTTTAAGTTTGTGTGCGAGAAGAATTGTGAGTTTAGGCTACTTTCGAGCTTTCGAAATGCAAATGTTGTGTTTAAGTAGACGGCCTATAATGCATCTACCAAAAAAAGGGCGTGTATATAATGCTAGATAATAATAATAATGACCGTTAAGTTGAAAAGTTGCATTCACAAGACAAACACGTGGTGATGCTCTCTGTACTGCCTTGCCCAAACGCCCTCTACCGTCCAAAGTACGGGTTGACCGTATTGTAGTGACAGCCCCCTGGCACTGGATCGTAGTCGAGCGTCTGTGCCGTGAAAGCGCCCTCACCGGCCAGCAGGCACGAGACGTGGGTAGTCGGCAGGCAGCCAATGCACCTGTTAATATCAAAGCCGGAATTGAAAGAAAATTTGTGAGTCTGAGTATTTTTGAAAGTTGTATATCGTTGGAATTCAAACTAGTTGGAATATTGACTCGAAACAAAATATGACTCTTTTAATATCGAGGGCAGGGAGTGGGGTAAGAACATGGCGATCGATATGCTCATTCCCGCGGATGGCAAATTTCTAGTATCTACCACCTTTTAGATCAGAAAAAAAAGGAACAAGATATAAAAAAAGGAGATCGGAATTCAGATGAAAACCGTCTACGGCCGATCCTGATTTAAAACATCATCTTTAATATTGGTAAATGCTGTCAGCACAGTTTATCCTCATAAGCCACATAGCATACACGGTATCCTATTCTAGGGAAAGTAATGTGTCGATAAGTCAAAAATAACATTGACTTCTATTGATGTCCATGAACAAGGATGTATAGACTCTTGATATTTTTGCCTGAAATTTTATGTATCAAGGAAAAGTATATCTAGGGTAACAATATGTTATTTACATTTTGTGTAAATACCCTGAAATTGGGAGATTGCAGGAGGAGTAACATCCCTGCATGTTCATTTCAACATGGGCAGGACATCTACAATTTGAACGTGTAATGATTACACGACTTTTGCTGATCCCAACATGTCAAACAATCACAGACTTTTTAAATAACCGTTGCGATATAAGGTGTCTGCGTATATGGGTAAATACGTTTTGGAACCCCGTCCGCTTGTGTTCCCGGCCTGCAAGCTGTACAGCCTCAGTCCTACCTGCAGTAGTCATCCCTGCCGTCTTCGTTCACGTCCATCATGTACCACGTGTCCATGTGACCGGCATCGAACCAGGGCCCTGTGCTGTTGTAGTTGAGATCAGTGGGGGCGCCCTCCATCCCGGCCAGAGAGCAGGACAAAAAGTAACCGCCCGAGTTGGCTACCACCCTGTGAAAGGAAATCATTCAGTGGTGAATAACACTGATGTTGTAGTCGAAGACGTCACTTGGTCCATCACAAGGTCAGTAAAAAACCCCAAAAAATCACTAGCCCAGTCGCAAGTAACTGGGGAAAAAGACAAACTTGAGGAATTTCTTTGTCAGAATTATTGGAATAGCCAGTGAGCTGGGGAACAATTTGTGATAGACGTGTAAGGAATTGTAAGAATTTGTGATGGACTCAAGTACAATGTATACAACGCTACAATTTTCAGAGAAATGGTTGTTCTGTTGGCCTAATAGGAGATCCACATTTTGAGTCAGTTTTCTCCGATTGGCATCACAAGAGCAGAGTATGGGACAGAAATCATGGTGCTTAGTCATGTGCGTCTTTCCCGCTAGGAGCAATAACGTACACGATAGAGATCGTTCCGTTGCTGTGCGACCTCGTTAAAAGGATCCACTTTCAACCTCCAGACAATCAAAGAGCAGCTATAGGGTAGGGCTCAATACCATACGATGGGGGACAAAGTTGTGCCCAACCTACCTGCAGTAGTCGTTGGCGGCGCCCTGTCCCTGGACATCCACCCAGCCACGAAACAGCGAAGGAACACCAAGGTTGTGAGTGTCATAACGGCGTGGCTTGACGGCAGGAGTGACGTTGGTGGTACCCTGCATTGGCTGAAAATCTACACAATTCAAAACAAGAGGAAATAACAAAACTTGCCTACCCGTCGATTTAATATCGATGATGCGGAATAATTAGCTCAGGTATCAAGGGATTCACGTGTATTTACTTTTTATCAATATTCCCCAAATGACATTCCCCAGCCTAGCCTACAGCAGCCAAGATTTGAACCCTACCTCCGAGGTAACAAGTAGCTCCATCATTATGGCTCGGCAGATCTTCACACGCCAGTTGCTCAGGCCACGGGAAGCCAAATTCAAGCAGCACCTCTGTGCAGCCATTCCTAGCCTCCTCACACAGTTCACGGCAAGGTAACACCGAGGCTGAGTAGCAACTATGTACATTGGCGTAAAAATGGAAATGTAGTTATCAATCTAGTTTTCACGGTCTATTCTTAACTCTAATAGATAACAATGAGTAGGTCCCTGGTGCAACATCGTTCCCAATGTGTACAATTTAGTAGACCCCGGCAGGGTACTTGCTTCCATGCAGTATTCTGATTCCATCCAACAATAGCAGAGTGCCTCGATTTCTGGCGACGGACGTTCAAACAGTGGACTGTAAATAAAGCAATGGCTCATTCTTACCTCAGCTGGCCCCCTCCCCAACATTTACGCCACTGGAGGAATTTTGTTGAATTCCTACTCGTGGTACGTAGGCTTACCTGGGCAGGAACAAGGAACAGATGAAGCTGCTGAAGTGAGGCGAGCACCCGTACTGAACGACTGGTGTAAATGTCATAAGCAGCAGCTCGGCATCACGCACAGTCTGGTGACCGAGACTATTGGGCATCGCAGTCTGGTTGTATCCCAAAGCAGACCGGCACCAGGACACGGGAATATCTTCGCACTGATCATCGGTCCAGACCTCAAGCACAGGCGCACCTGTAAGAAAAATAAGCCAAGCACACCTGGTGAAGCTGGTCCGAGATTGCGCAAAATTTTATAATAATCGATTCGGAATGGCTCTTCGTGCATCTAGTGTACACAATTGACCGGATTTAGGCCATAGCCAGATAGCTTGCCCGGCTCTCTTCGCCAGCCAGTAACCAGGCTATAGTGGCACAAGTGACGGTGAGTCAGTTAGTCAGTCAGTCAGTGAGGTATCGCGTTTAGCGGTAGGGCATAGGATTCATGATCGTGATTGTGGGTTCGAGCCCTGCCGTGGCCATGCGTGCTATGCCCTTGAGTAAGGCGCTTCACTCAAATACTAATCTCAACCGAGGTGTTAAATGGGTACCGGCATTATTCAATGCTGGGAATTGAAAGGTGACAAACTCGCTGTAGCCTGTTTGGCGATCCCCCACAGCAGCATTTCGTGGACTCGAGTCTGCCCCAATCGCTTCGAAAGAGAGATGGGCACTCGGTTCCTGTAAACACAGGTTCGTCCTACCATCAAGAAGACTGCAGATTGGCCCTCCCAGGGACCAGCAAAAACAGAGGTCTGGAAGTAACATTTTTGGAAGGGAAACTATTCTTCTGTAGCAAGAACTGACCTTACGCCCATGCGACAGTTTTCAGTAATATTGTTCTGGGACATTTTTAATCGTAAAAGAGCCAGATATCGCCCCCCCCCCCCCTATCACGCAGACAAATACATCGCACAGAAGCAAAGTGATGACGATGTCTTCAACAATCCATCACAATTCTCGACGAAGGGGGAGGTAAAAGCCAGTACGAACAAATTGCTCCTCTACCATACACAGTATGTTTTTATGTACAATGTATATGATTTATTTTTCATGATGTTATTCTTGCTAATGGTAGTGACTACAATATAGGTCTATAAAGGGTCTTTTAAAGTGTGTGTTCATGCAAAATGTGTGCAATAAATCCAAACACACTATATCAATGGTAGGTCATTATAGTCTGTACATACCGCCTAAGTAGCAATCACTCCCTTCATCGTAGCTGGGCAAACTCTCACACGTCAGACCTTCCGGCCATGAAAAGCCATATTTGATCAGAAACTCCTCGCAACCGTTCCTCGCCTGCACGCAGAGATCTCTACAGGGCAGCAGTGTGCTGCTGGGACCAGTGGTACATCTACACAAGACGGAAATATTGTCAAAAATAAGATGTTAATAATGCCGCAAATAATACGAAAGTGTTGAAGCATAATTATTCCGTAACTGAACGTTCGATGTCTCACTCTAATGTGACTGATTATGTATTGCTAGCAATTAAAAAATAGGGGTTTTACTTAGGTTTTTTTTAACAAGGGGATCGTGACTTTGAAATTCGAAACAGAGCGGCGAAGCCGGTGTAGGCGAATTGAGTGGCGACACCACAGTTTAGACCGCGAGACTTGTAACGATCGCCTTTTGCCCTTGGTTTTTTGGAGACGGCGGTACATAGTTGTTCATTAAGTGCGTTTCATTAATTATTATGTCATCCAATGCGCACGTATTCAAACCTTCACAGCTGATATGACGACTAATGTGAATAGTAAGCATGTGGATACATATTGTAAAGAATAACTTGAGAAGTTCAGACCAAGGGCAAAAGGCGATCGTGGCGCGACTCTCTAGGCTTGTGTTCACTGTGTTGCCTCTCGCGCCTCGGTTGAAAGTCACGATGGCCTTGTCAAAAATCTAGATAAAACCCGAAAACAGCACAACTAAAAAGACGAGAATACCAAGTCTAACCTAGGAGTGGACATGGCACACAGGAACGTCCGGGCGTAGGAGGAGCATTCAACTTCCACCAAAGTAGAGAATTGGTGAATCTCAAGACCGGCGTCCTCCTGGTTCCAGTGACCTAGACTATTCGGCATGGCAGTCTGACTGTAGTCAATTCCCGACTGGCACATCTGCACAGTGATGTTTTCACAACCCGTTCCAATGTCGTCTGACAACGAACAAGCCGACATAGATGATGATTAATTTTATTCAAGGGGAAGACGATAAATTATACCAGTTTCACACATAGTTCGCCTACCTGTTTTCGCAACGGCTGGGGATATGCACTCTCCTGAAAGCTCACGATAATTTCTCCTCAGCATTATGGAGGTGACAAAAACAATACCTCATAATCAATCCGTGTTGGCAGACGGCCCGCAGGAATTTGTCCCGGTTACCCATCCAGGCTGCCGCAAAATCGAAAAACGGGGTGGGGTGCGGGGATTTTGTTTGACGGGAAGCCATATTACGATTCTTGGTTTTGGTCTGAAGCATGCATTTTTCATCAACCACAAACAAAACATGTTCAGAGGGTGGATACATTAAACGTGAAATGTCGTTGAATTGTTTCAAATAGGCCTAGGTAGAATTGTGTATAGGCCTACGTATAGGCCTTTTTTGGTTCTTTTGTTGGGAGTGTATTAAGGTTTTTTGGGGAGGGGAGTGATTCAAAATCTTACTATGAAACGCCGGCACGTCTAAAAATATCTTAGGGCCTTCGCCGAAGTTGTTCAAGGCGGTGACTTCAAATGTGTAGTTCCCTGCACTCTTCAGGTCCGTGATGTTCAACGTGCTGTACGATCGGCTTCGGGAGATGGTCTGGAATATTTCCCTCCCAACTTGTCCCCATGATAAGGTCTCGTTGTAGCGGACGCGAAGCGTCTCCGTCATGGAGGCTTTCTCAGGGGGAGCGTAGAGGATGGAGACGCTAGTCGCGTTGTGCCTGGTGCTGTTGACGATTATTGGCCGGTCCCTCGGTGGGTACAGATCTATGGTAAGCGGGTCCAAAGGCAAACGAAAATCAGATGGAATTAGTTTATGGAAATTTAATCTGTCATTACCAGTCACAGTATGACATTGAAATTTAACCGATTATGGGCTTATTCTTATTGATAATAAATAAACCCGGGATAAACCAAGGTTTCCTTGTAAGTACTTGTAGCTCGCAAGCCTAATGAAATCCGTACGTGAAATAATGAAGGAAGTTCGGTTTTAGAGGTGGGAGGAAAACAACAGAAACTTCCCACGGGAAAACCCACGGTTTTGACACTGAACCCATGAAATACGAAGGAATATATCCCTCATTATAATGCATGATTTTTTTTAATAATGAAAACGCGGTGAGAGTAGCCAATGATGAAACCGAGCACCAATACTGGTGCAGTGTGCTTTATAAAAAGCGCATTATCATCACTACATGTACCTGTGTTATTAAAACTTACAGGACAGACATTCGTCTGTCTTTTCTGAAGGAAAGTTCTTGCAGTCAAACTCCGGCGTGCGTTCGATGCGAAGCTGGCGGGCGGTGATCCGGCAATCACGCCATACCGCCCGGCAGACTTCAGCGCAGGGCCGCAAGTAGAAATCGAAGTTGTGTACTCCATAGCGCACCAGATCCAGTCGAGGGAAGTGGGCCGCGCACAAGAACCGGCTCAAGATGTCAGAACAGCCAGAGTCTATCAGACCTGTTGGAAATGGAGATTCCACATACACTGGACGTCAAATGAATGGCACAGCTTGTTAACGTTTAAAAATGGGCCTGATCTATCGGAGAATGCAGGATCAACCCTGATGTCATAAATTGTCATTGCACACCTCCTCGATCGTTTGGTGCAACACTCGATGGAGAAGGTGTACAATGACATCAGGGGAGGTCCTGCATTCTTTCATAAGCTTTCGGCCGCAGCACACGTCTTCCGCCAACGTCTCCAACGCTGTATCGACATTCTGAAAGTGAATATTTTTTGTAAATCTCACCCTCTTGCACAAAGCTGATGAAACAAACTCGCTCCATAAAATTTGTCATGCCTTGTTAAATTACATGATCTGAAATTTTGGTTTTATTCCATCGGTGAACGACACAGTTATTTAGGATCAAAAGTTATAGGACATGTCTTTTTTTGACAAGTAGTATGACCGAAAATAAAACAAACGGTACCCTGCAAAGCCAGTTCAATGCTGTCGCTTAGGTCATGGCCGTAGATGCTTGACGGTGCATCCACGTAAGCCAAAATACCCTCATCTCGACACAGTTGAGGCACGTCATCTCGGGTAGTCTTCGCGTCTGGTAAACTTCCCAGACTTCGGCATGCCAGTATTTTCGGCACCCCTAATAAATAAAAAGTGGAATAGCCCGTTAATGCCGTCAGGTGACTTCCACAGAAGTAATCAGGTGACACATCACAACTCCCGCCTCAATTAAAGCTTGTCGATGGAGATGGATTCGACTATAGATTTTTTTCAAGAGGAATAATAATAATAATGATAATAATAATTAACATTTACATGTATATAGCGCTTAATACGCAGTGTTTCTAAGCGCTTTACAAAAAGTAAACATACGTATTAAGTATTTTTTTCCCGACTTTAAATAGTTAAATAATACACTCCAAAACGTATTGCTATTACGCGAAACATAACGTGCATGATAACAATATGTTGCAACATTGTACGTGTGTACATGTTTACAAATTGTGCATTTTTCCACTTCCGGTTTGCAATAGCAGGTGATAATTGCAAAGGTAGGCTCTCTGTAGCTGATGTGCTTGTATGAAGGATAATCAGTAATTCGGATATGTAGGGGGCTCTTTCTGACGAAGACAATTCGTCACCGACACCACGAACTGATACCCTCTGCATCACATAACAGTAATGTACAACATTTTTTTAAAATTCAAATTTTCTTTTTTTTGCCGCTATAAGCAGTTTGTATCATGAAGTTTAACATGACGAAGTTAAAATTGCTGAAATCATCTAAAATAAGCACATTTTACTAATGAACAAGAAATTGGTCAATTCTGGTGTGTTTTTTTACCACGAAGTGACACTGCACAGGGTGTCAGTTCGTGAAAACAAAAAATTACGTGTTTTCGGAGAGTGCTTGATGCAATAGCGTTAGGGAGTGTCAGTTCGTGCAATCGAAAATTGACGTGTTTTTGGAGAGTGCGCGCACGCATGCGCAGTGTGTGCGCGCACTCTCCCAAAACACGTCAATTTTTGTTTTCACAAACTGACACTCCCTAACACTATTGCATGCGCGCACTCTCCAAAAACACATAAATGTTCGTTATCACGAACTGACACCCGTCCAGTAATCATTTAATTGCTAATTAACTAAGCATATTTTCACAATATAACGTTTATAATTGAGTACTTAAAGCATTTTCACGTTAAGTGATACTAAGCAGATGACTATACAATGTTGTTGGAAAGGATGGCTCAGATGGCAGTCAGAAGATTCAAGAAGATCTGCAAACCCTGGAAACATGGTCTCAAACATGGCTACTTCGTTTCATTGCTGCGAAATGCAAGTGCATGCATATGGGCAAGGATAACCCGAGGGATGAATACACCTTAAATGGAGAAACCATTCAAGCAGTTGAGGAAGAGAAGGACCTTGGTGTGCACCTCACAAGTAATTGCAAACCCAGCTTGCAATGTACCAAAGCAGCAGCTACAGCGATGCAAAGTCTAAGAGTCATCAAGAGGACATTCAAGCACATTGACAAAGAAAGCTTATATTGTATAAAGCCTACATCAGACCACATCTTGAGTACAGCGTTCAGTCATGGAGCCCCTACCTAAAGAGAGACATCATGGTTCTAGAGAAAGTTCAGAGGAGGGCGACAAAGCTAATACCAGAATTGAGAAAAAAACCGTACAGCGAAAGGATGGAGCAGTTACACCTATTCCCACTTGAAGTGCGGAGAGTAAGGGGTGACCTTATTGAGACATATAAGATCCTGAATAGCTTCGACGATATTGATCCAGAAAAGTTCTTCTCCAAGTCAAGTACGAGTACCCGAGGTCACAGGTTGAAGTTGTTTAAGAAGAGAATGCATAAAGGTCTCCAATTGAGGAAACACTTCTTCTCCCAACGGGTAATAAGCAACTGGAACAACCTCCCAGCCTACGTCGTAAATGCCATGAATGTCAACCAGTTCAAGAATAGATTTGACAGTTACTTGAAAGAATCTGGATATGGGGTCTTAAAAGGCTTAAGCCTATAATTGATATTCCCATCAAATCTTAAGTGTAAGTGTAAAACCTCTAAGATAGATGGATTATTTTATTGAGTAAATTTGTGTCAAACCTTTAAAAGCGTTTTTCTCCGATTTGTAGGCCTATATCTGCAACGCGGACCACCGGGTGTCAGTTCGTGGTGTCAGTGACGAATTATGAAGACAAACATGTCCGTCTGGCATGGGCGTCAAACAGTGGGGGACGGGAGTCCCCCCCCCCCCTTTTTAAAGTGAGGAATATCAGTTTGTCCCCCAACACTGTTTTTCCACTCAGAAAACCTGCAAACGATGCTACGACTTCACCCATCTAGCAGGTGCGCGCGAAGCGTGGCATCCCGCTAGTATCATTAATTCAAACGTACGCCCCATGATCGGCGGTCCATTTTGTTTGTACTGGCTTTTGTGACAGGGTTCAAATGGAGTTTGCATCTTATGTGATGGACGGTTGGACAATTCATGGATCCTGGAATCTGTGCAGGATTTTTTATCAGTAAATCTATGATGAATATAGACATGTCCCCCCCCCCCCGGTTCCGGCCGAGCCTGCCGTTATTCATCCATGGTTGGGCAATATGAGTTCCAGGATCGCGCTACACTTACGGTGCTCGCCTACGGTGCTCGACTGCCATGCAGTGACACATGCACATACCATGGAGGAATAAAAAGCATTTCCTTGTTAGAATTGAACTTCCACAACATAACCGATAACTTACCAATCATGCAGAATACAAGAAGAATCACGGACAACCGCCCCATCTTGATGAAACCACGACCACTGCGATGCGTAAAATAACTTGTTTCCGTGCTTATGGTCTGATCTGACCACCACAGCCAGGGAAGATATTTTTAAAGCAAACTACGTGAATGTCACTGAATTCTGCTAGAGCAATAGCTCACTTGGACATGAAGAATGCCGTCGTCGTCCTGCCGAGTCGAGTTCTTGAAAGATCAGGTATGAGCAGGGCAGGAGGTATAAAAGTGATGGGGCGGTAATCCATAGGGGCCAATAAATAATCAGGGTTGGACTGCCTGGCACGAGCATCGATGTTGTTTATAAACCTGGAATTTAACAAGTTTATCAAGAACCTCGATCCTCGTGACAGGCAGTCCTACCCTGACTATTATTTATTGGTCCCCATCGATTGCGGCCCCTGGACTCATGTCTGTTACTGGCTTAAAGCTAAGGTCATCGTGTATAAATAAACAATGACATTCCAGCACCTTGTTGTTGATGCCGGTGTCATATGAAAATCCGACTCCTGTGAAAATCGGACTCCTTTTCCCCATTGGTTTATCCCTCGCACGTGACAGGTCACTCTCCATTGTGATCCTAAAAATATCATATTATCGTACTTACGCATGCGCAATACTATCAGAGAGTCCATATTTCATGGAGTTGGATATTTCGTGAAGCCGCGGCTTTTCAGATCCAACCCCAAATTTGGTGGACGGGTACCCCGAAACACGCAGTTACTTTTTGGTCTCCACTCGTCGTGCGGAGAGGAGCCCTGCTGATTTCCTTCGCCCTCGTGCGAGACGAAAGCAAGTTTAAAAGTTTTTTAGTAGGTCCTCAAAAAACAACACTTGGGCCAGAAAGTAATGCGTGTGCCGATTAAAGGGGATTTTCTATAAAAAAAAAGCGACAATCCTGGACAAATTCAGAGACAATGACATCCGAATATTTAGTGGACCTTTTCAATGGACCGCTTTCGCTTTTTGGCCGACAGGCATATTTATGCGTATGCGTGCATAATTATGAGTTTATTAGCAACAAGGTCCGAGCTTCTCCCTAGAGATAAGACTCGCACTTTTCTCATAAGTTGATATTTGAATTAGCCACTCCCCCATGCCCTACATTGCAACCCAAGGCACAACTCATTTAATTGGGGCACAATGGAGGATTATTCCTCCATAGGGGCACAAAGGGACATCAAAGAAAAGAAATCTATTAAAAATGCATTACTTGGCCATCAACCGTAGATACACATTATACAGCATGTGCACACAAATCAAAATTAAAAAAATGAAGCCGGATGCATTCAGTGTAGCAGTAGTAAAAAAATTGAACGCATAGCGTATATCTATTTTGAGTCCAGAGGATATGTGGCAAGGCGGGGGGGGGGGGGGGGAGAGGGACACCAAGTTTATGGTTTCTTCCATGTAACTTGTCCGCTTGTCCTCGATCGTATACCCTCGGCGTTTAATTAACTGAACGAAAGGATAATCCGTATTTTAATCAGTTGAGTTCAAAATGGTTGTTCTACATGAACGAACCCTGCACATAGCCATAGCCATTATCGATAAACGTGTAGCAACTTTCTTCGTCGATACAAGCTGTCATCAATGATATTATACACGAAGTTACTTACTGCTCTACCAAAGTAGGGGAAGCCAGCGACGGATCCAAAGAGCACAGTAAAACGATTGTTGGCCAGCCCTAACAATTATCTGGCTAACCATGGAGGAAGAAAATAGAGGGCTAACAGACCGCATGCTAACTCGATTTTGTTTTATCTGTATGTTTCTGTCATAGAGCTCGAGGAGGACGCTTCAAGTTTTCTTTAGTTTTTGTGGATGGAATAATTGCTTGATGTATTTTAAATATTGCAACATAAACGACATAAAACAGCAATTATCGCATAGTTTGCTTTTCATAAACCTTCATATTTATTTACGGTGACACCTACTTTTCAAAATACGTATAACATTGTCTTGATGAAAATGTAATCAGAAATAAGTCTCAACATCATACATAGATACAAGTATCAACATTTCTGTACAATTCAAACAAAACTACACATAATTTTTTGTTCACTCTTTTAGGACTTCAACATAAAATCATAAAAAACATATATAATTAATTGCTTGATATATGCATACAAAATTAACGTAGGCATGCAAAATTATCGGTACATCACGCAAAAGTCCACATTGTCGAAATGTTGGTTTTGTTTACCCAATTTTATTAAATATTTCCAATGTAAAAAGTATTTCAGCATTTCGGACTAAATCATTCGTACATCAAACCACTTATTTTGTCTGTTCGTTTGTTGTTTGTATATTTATTATTGTTTGTGTCTGAGAGTGAATATGAGTTTACTTACGAAGTTTCGAAATGCAGGCCTAATACATCTAAAAGAGAGCCAAGGGCGTGTTAACAAATTTATGCAAGAGATCGAAAATACAGGATAATAACAACTGTCAAGTTAAAAAGTTGTATTCGCTACGCAAACCGTTGGTGGCGCTCTGTACTGTCCTTTGCCAAATGCCCTCTACCGTCCAAAGTACGGGTTGACCGTATTGTAGTGACAGCCCCCTGGCACTGGATCGTAGTCGAGCGTCTGTGCCGTGAAAGCGCCCTCACCGGCCAGCAGGCATGAGACGTGGGTAGTCGGCAGGCAGCCAATGCACCTGTTTATATCAAAGCCGGAGTTGAAAGGAAAACTGTGATGAGTTTGAAATTTCGAACAGTTGGGTATCACCGAAATTCAAACTCGTTGAAATCTAGAGTCGAAAAAACTGTCTACTCTTTTAATATAGAGGATGGCAAATTGCTAGTATATACCACGTTCGAGTTCCTATTCCTAAGGAAGACCACTTTGACAGAAGTTAAATATACAGGGAGGCACATCAATCTGGACAGAAAAACGAGCATGACAAAAAAAGGAGGTCGAGAACCTTATACGGCGATCGTGCATTGACAATGTTCGGCTTTAATAATTGATAAAGATTTTCGGGACAGATTAGCCTCATAAGCCACATAACACAGCGTCCTATTCCAGGGGAAATGTCGGTGTTTCCTTGTACGGTGGAAGTTAATATATCATCAACTGACGTCCCGTAAATTTCAGCCTGGGCAGAGCATCTGTAATCTCAATGTCCAATGATTAGACGACTTTGCAATGACTGATCACCACGATCGTGGTGATCAGTCATTGCAAAGTCGTCTAATCATTGGACATTGACATTTGAGCTCCTCGTGCACGAGGAGCTCAAATGTTCATCATCTTTACAAACAATCACGAAAATCAGGATCGTATTGGCTCAGTACCGACTCTTTTAATTAACCATTGCTAGTAAAGTGTATCTCTAATTAGTAAGCTCTACAGCCTCTATTGTACCTGCAGTAGTCATCCCTGCCGTCTTCGTTCACGTCCATCATGTACCACGTGTCCATGTGACCGGCATCGAACCAGGGCCCTGTGCTGTTGTAGTTGAGGTCAGTGGGGGCGCCCTTCATCCCCGCTAGCGAGCAGGACAAAAAGTAACCGCCGGTTGAGTTGGTGACCACTCTGTTAAAGGAAATCGTTCAGTGGTGAATGACACTGAGTACCAGTGTTTTAGTCGAGTCCGTCACTAAGTCCATCGTGGGGATATAAACCGCCCCCCCCCCTCGACTTTTTCCATGATAGCCTTGACAATTTTTTTTGCGACCCGAGCTGTTATGACTTTCTAGCCTCGAGCCTTGCACATCTTTTGATACCAAAAATATAAATATCGGACCACTGGTTGCCTCGCAGCGAAAAATTTGAAAACTGAATTTTCCCATATACATCGAGCACACAGAGCAGAATTACCATTCGTACATATGAATAATTAATTAGCCATAATTCCCAAACCCTTTGACCTATAATCATGAAATTTCCTGGGTATGTTCGTGATGAGTTGTTCTATGCATGTACCGAGTTTCAAAATTTTTCGTCCCTCGATGGCTGAGATCTTAGGGGATTTCCCCTACCCCTGCTGAGTGATGGTCAAAATAACCCGTCCCTTTTAGGGTTAACGACAAACAACTTCAGGAGTGTCTTGTCACAATTCACTGGAATAGAAGCCAGTGAACTAACTTAATTAAGGGCTTGAGGACAACTGGATTTGTGATGGACTTATAAGGAACTTGTGAGAACTTGTGATGGACTCAAGTACATGTATAGAACGCTACAATATTGTAGGGAAATGGTTGTTCCGTTGGCCTTTGGATATCTCCAGGTTTTGAGTCAGTATTCTCTGATTGGCACCACAACAGCAGAGTACATGTACTGTACTAATTAGTTTAACTTTAACTTAACTTACCTTAACTTTATTTCAAATTCCAAACAAGAAAATGAACAAAATATATACAGAGAGCATGGATAACATTGTAAATAACGAAGTGGAAAAGAAAAAATAATTAGAAAGACAATAAAGTTTGGAAATGGAGGGGGTCCATAAGAAGCACAGTTTGTCGAGAATGGGCCCCCTAAATTATGTTGATTATAGATTGGGTATTTTAAAGGATTTAGAAGGGACGCAAGCTACACCCAACACAAAAGGATAAACATAGACAGAACTAAATGTAACATATTCAGATAAACAATAGACTGACAATAGAGAAATATGAAATATTAGTTCAGAAATCATGGTGCTTTGTCACGTGCGTCTTCAGTTTCCCGTTAGGAGCAACTTACAAGATGGAGGTCATACTGAGCAAACGCCAATATAACCAAGATCACATACATGTAGATCGATTGCGGGCTAGGGGGTTCTGGTAGCCTGCCCGGCGCAAACTCGTTCGAAGGATCTACTTTCAACCTCGAGACATTCATAGAGCAGCTACTGTCAAGGTATACTGCTCAATGCCATGATGGGGACAAGGTTGTGCCCAACCTACCTGCAGTAGTCGTTGGCGGCGCCCTGTCTCTGGACATCCACCCAGCCGCGAAACAGCGAAGGAACACCAAGGTCGTGAGTGTCATAACGGCGTGGCTTGACGGCAAGAGTGGCGTTGGTCATGGTACCCGTCGTCTGATTCGGCTGAGGTGGACTAAAATCGGTCTTGTTCATTGGCATTGGCTGAAAATCTACAAAATTCAAAACAAGAAGCACTTACAAACATGCCCATCATAGAGTTAAAGATCGACGTTGCAGAATGATTGGCTCATGTTAAAGGGATTCACGTGTATTTACTTTTTCACATCCAAGATTTGAACCCTACCTCCCAGGTAACAAGTATCTCCATCATTATGGCTCGGCATATCTTCACACGCCAGTTGCTCAGGCCACGGGAAGCCAAATTCACGCAGCACCTCTGCGCAGCCATTCCTAGCCTCCTCACACAGTTCACGGCAAGGCAGTACCGGGGCCGAGTTACACCTATGTACATCGATGTATTAAAAACAGAATGATAGGTGTGAATCTCGTTTTCACAGTCTACTGTCAACTTTGAATACAAGGTCCCTGGATGCAAAACTTGTTCCCAATTTCTATATTTAAATGTAGACCCTGGGTATCTGCTTCTTGTGTTCCAATTCAACCCCACAATAGCTGGGGACTTGATTTCTGGGGGGAGGCACTCAACGAGTTTTAAAGAATGCAATAGCTCATTTTGTTTTGCCTCAGCCCCATACCAACATAAATACGCCATAGTGCTTCTCTACTTTAAGGCTTACCTGGGCAGGTACAAGGAACAGACGAAGCTCCAGAAGTGAGGCGAGCACCCGTAGTGAACGACTTGTAAAAATGTCATAAGCTGCAGCTCGGCATCACGCACAGTCTGGTGACCGAGACTATTGGGCATCAAGGTCTGGTTGTATCCCATGACAGATGGGCACATGGACACAGTGATGCGTTCACATTGATCATCGGTCCCGACTTCAAGCACAGGCGCACCTGTAAGACAATCAAGACAAGCAGGCCTACTCTCTCAATTCAAAAGAGTGGATATTCACTCCCCCAGTCTGAAACTAGGAACTAGACGTTTTGGGGTGAAATTCCTTCAATCATAAAGATCGAGTTTTCACTCGAGCTTCGACTGAAGTGGTTCTGTTTTTTAGACTATTTCAATCAAAAACGAGACGAGCAAGCCTAGTGAAGCTGGTCCCAGAGTGCGCAAATATTCTATTTAATAATCGATTCAGAATGTTATGTTTCTCGGACTTCCATGAATCCTAAAAGCGCTTGGTTTTGGTGTTATCTGAAGGGGATGGATTCCGCCCTTTCAAGTAGTGATTTGCTCTCCCAATATAACAATACATCGCATCCAAGCACAGTGATGGCACTGACGATGTCTTCACTCCAATCCTCCACGATTCTCCAAAGGCGATGAAGGGGTCTGGAACAGCACAAAGTAGGCCTGAAGAGTCTTCATGTCAAGTTATATACTTGATCATTCACTATACTTAGGCCTATGCATGTAATAAATTAATACACACAATATATAGAGATCTATACATACCGCCCAGGTAGCAGTCATTTCCTTCATGGTAGCTGGGCAAACTCTCACACCTCAGACTTCCCGGCCAAGAAAAGCCATATTTGATCACCATCTCCTCGCAACCATTCCTCGCCTGCACGCAGAGATCTCTACAGGGCAGCTGCAGTTTGCTGCTGGAACCGTTGGTACATCTGCAAAAGGTGGAAATCAAGACCTTAATTATTGTAAGGCCGCAAACAATTCAAAAGTGTAAAAGTATAAAGTAATGTTCAACGTCTCACTCCAATGTGCCTGACTCTTGTACAGGGCGAGTAAAAAAAAAGCGAGACCCAAATGTCGGGACTATCTAGGATATGAAAGCCCAAATCATAAGCTTTCTTTTAGTACAAGAACCATTCGAATCAATCTTTTAAGTTACGGAATTTTAAACACAACCTCCTTTTTAAAGTTCTGTCCACGGATCACACAAAAAAAAGGTGTGCGTTCTTTCGGCAAAACGAAAACAGTTCACACACATCCCTACGTTTTCGTTTTGCTGAAAGAACACTTAAATACCTCCTTGTGATCATTGGACAGAACTTGAAAACGGTGGTTGTGTTTAAAATCCGTAACTTGAAAAGTAAATGAGTGATTCGAATGATTCTTGTACTAAAAGAAAGCTAATTGGGCTTTCGTATCCTAGATTTTTAAAGGGCTACATGCAGAACTTCACTAAAACAATGGTCCCGACATTTGGGTTTCGCTTTTTTTTACTCACCCTGTATTGGAAGCAAAACAGAGTGGGGAAGCCCATGGCATAGGTGAACAGGGCGGAGACGAGACACTTCAGATGTTTTCGGAGACGGCGGTGATTCAAAAAGTGTGTTTCATTAATCACTATAACATCGAGATAATTCTTGCCTGCCGGCATGGAAAAATTTAACTGTGCACATTGGGCCAGTGGTCACAGTGGCATAACAGCTATGGTTGTTTGAATGCCCGCTCAAAAACCACAAGGGAAAAACAAAGTCATTTCCAGAATGGAATTGACAAAACGACGGTGGGGCGTTCTCTTAATGTTGGTTTGACAGGTTAACGTAATGTGTATATTCAAATAATAATATACACCAAGGGGTAGGAAAATTATACACTGCAAAAACTGCCGTTTTACACTGTTGATATCTATCATTATAGAACCATCTGGTGTTAAATTTTACTGGTGTTGTCCTATATAGATACCGAATGGTGTTAAATTAACACTACAGGTTTTGCAGTGTACAGAATAACTTAGGAAGTTAAGACTAAAGACAAAAGGTGATTGTGACGCAACTCCTCCACTCCAGTTGCCTCACGGCTCCTCCGTCCATTAAATGTCCAAAGTCACATTATGATGGTCATGTCAAAAATCTGGGAGGAGCTCGGAAAAATTACAGGAACAAAAACTAATAGCTTATAATACTCAAATACCACGACTTACATAGGGGTGAACATGGCACACAGGAACGCCTGGGTGTAGGGGGAGCATTCCATTGACATCAAATCTTCGTGAATCGCAAGAGCGGCATCCTCCTGGTTCCAGTGGCCTAGAATATTCGGCATGGCGGTCTGACTGTAGTCAATTCCCGACTGGCACATCGGCACAGTGATGTTTTCGCAAGCCGTTCCATTAATGTCGGATACATCTGAGAACGAACAGGCCAATATAATTGTATTAAAAGAAAAGGCAGTATAATAGACCAGTTTTCCCACATGGTTTGTCCATTTATTTTCGCAACGGCTGGGATTGCAATTTTCTGATAGCTGACGATAATCATAAATCGCCTGTTTTTGACCACACATTGCCTTCATGCATGCACTCCATGCCGGAGTGTGGCCAGAAGATGTCCCGGTCACCAAACCCCTGCCGCTAAATCGAAACGGGCTGGGGGTGATAGTGAAGTTGTTTAAGTATTATGCACTTGGTGATACTAAAAGCATGAAACTTCGTATGTTGATTCTTCATGCCATGAAGACAATTGTCAGATGTGGGGGACGTTTCATGTTTTACCTCTGGTGACCCTTGAAAAGTCAATGACCATATAAATACGTACTCTATTCGTGGTGTTCTTGAAAACACACATTGTTTTGTGACCCCAAGTGTTCATACAATGATAATATTGGGGCTATGCTGCTCCATTGTGAGGGAATTCGTTGGACGGGAAGCAAAAATGATACTTGGTATTGGTTTTAAGCCTGCATTTATTAACATGAAATGCCATTGAGTTGTTTCAAGTAGGCCTAGGTAGAATTTGTATATATTGGATGATATCTAGTCCTAAAAGTAGTTTTCTTGTTGTTCCTCTATAGTTTGGTGTAAATCAGGGTTGGGTGGAGAGTTGGTTAAGCGATATTTAAAGTCTTACTATGAAACGCCGGTACGTCTAAAAACGTCTTAGGGCCTTCGCCATAGTTGTTCATGGCGGTGACTTCAAACTTGTAGCCCCCTCCGCTCTTCAGGTCAGTGATATTCAATGTGTGGTACGACTGGTCTCGGGAGATGAAGTGGAATAGTTCTCTTCCAATTTGTACCCGTGGTGAGGTCTCGTTGTAGCGGACGCGAAACGTCTCCGTCGCTGAGGCATTCCCAGGGGGAGCATAGAGGATGGAGACGCTGGACGCGTTGTGCCGGGTGACGTTGACGATTATTGGTCGGTCTCTCGGTGGGTACAGATCTATGGTAAGCGGGTCCAAAGGCAAACGAAAATCAGATGGGATTATGATAAAAAAAAAATACGATGCTTTCAGTTCAGAGGAAATTAATCTTGAAAGTTGAACATTGAAAATTCACAACTTTTGTCGCTTTCTGATTTATTTAAGAATAACATGCTTATTCTTGCTGACATAATTGCTGACAATTTAGTAATGAAACCAAGGATGCTTTATAGGCAGTTTAGGCACAGAAGCTTGCAAGCCTGAACCGTTTAGTTTAAATGAAAAAGACAATACGGACTGGTTTTATTTAGAATTAGGAGCCTAAATCCCACAAAGAAACCCACGGAGAAAAACCAAGAATCTCACAGAGACCCACGGAATCAAGAAGGGACGGAACACAGGCCACAGGTGGTTTCCCCGGATATTATTATGATGAATGCGATTCACGATTGTTTTTTTCAATGCCATCAGCTGGAAGTGTGAGGTATATCCCTATAAGAACTACACAATCAAATGGTCCAAAAAGTTCTTCCTTATTCTTGCTAACAAATTGACGGTGTGAAACCAGCCTGAAATAAATGTGCATTAACCCCAAAAGGGCCGGGTTATTTTTTACCATCTCTCAGCCGGGAGGGGGGGGGGGGGGGTGGCGGATTCCGCCCACTCCCCTCCCAAGATCTCGGCCATCGAGTGACGACAAATTTTGAAACTCGGTACATGCATAAAGCAACTCATCATGAACTTACCGAAGAAATTTCATGACTATAGATCAAAGGGTTTTGGAATTATAGCTAATTAATTATTCATATGTACGAATGGTAATTCTGCTCTTTGTGTACATAGAGCAGAATTACCATTCGTACATATGAATGGGAAAATTCAGTTTTCACGGCGCGTAGTCCGATTTTTATATTTTTGGTATCAAAAATACCAAGCTTTTTTTTCAAGGCTATTGCGGAAAAAGTCGGGGGGGGGGGGAATCCGCCCCCGGCCATTTTAGGATTAAAACATCATGTTTCAGAGCGCGAGTCTATGGTTTTGACACTGGGCCTTTGATATAAGGATAGCCTGTTCCTTCTAAAACTTCGCCAAAGTTGAAGTTCAAGACCTGCCAATTACCAGGCAATGTTGAGGCCTTGAGCACCAATACTGGTGGATTAAAATCATCATCGTCGTCAATTAAACTTACGGGACAGACATGTGTATGAAGGAAAGTTCCTGCAGACAAACTCCGGCTTGCGTTCGATGCCAAGCTGGCGGGCGGTGAGCCGGCAATCACGCCATACCTCCTGGCAGACTTCAGCGCAGGGCCGCAGGAAGTAGTCCGCGCCGTACATGCCATGGAGGACAGGATCCAGTTGAGGAAAGTGGGCCGTGCACAGAAACCGACCCAAGATGTCAGAACAGCCAGAGTCTATCAGACCTGTTGAAAATGGTGATTCGACACTGAACGTCGAATTAATGTCATACTTATCCAGCCATCAAAAAGATAACCATGTAGGCAATTTTTGGTTTAACTGATAAGATGAAGGCCGGGTCTTTTACTTGGGGATCACAACACGACGCGGTAACCTTTTTGCTTTTATATTCTCTTCAATGCTGCTGCACGCTCCGGTTCATGAATGAACTTTTTATGTCGATGACATTATCGATTATTGAATGTGGCCGGACAGCAATAAAACAGCAAATTTAATATTTCCATCCACAGAAAGCTGCACGATTTGTCCAAACGATAAAGGCAGTCCTTTACAAATTATCTGAGGAAAAAAGTCACCAGCCATTTTTGTTTTCAATAAAAAAGCATTCTTACAAAAGAAAAAAAATTATTTCGATCTTATTTAATTATGTAAAGGCAAGGCGTAGAAGTATAAATGTAGAAGGATGATTACGATTCCCTCCCCTCCCTTAAAATTTTACACGCAAGCCTAAACTAGATGATGAACGATGAGTGCTGCCCCAAACCACATCTGCACCCAAGCAAAAAAAAATACATGTAGGGAATAAGACTGACACTTGTTTATGTACGGACAGAATGTGGCATTATTGTATCCATACATGTGAATCCTATAATTTCAGCTAAATTAATAAATGAAAAAACCCTGAAATCTTGACTGCTCCTTCTACTTAGGCTAGTGTTTCGGATTTTGCCTCATTCACACCGCGTAATAATCTTTAAAACAAAAAAAATAGCCTGTTTTGACAATCAATTTTTATAAAATTCCTATTTCGTATCTGTCATGTTACAGGCTGCCTCCGATCGACTCCATGTATACTTCCACTTGCATTAGATGGCAAGGGGGAGAATTCGATCACAATAAGGAAATTCTGCACTAAATAACTGTGTGATTGAGATGTTAACTGTTTTAGCCTATACCTGCTTTGTTTGCAGGATATGACCAACCCTAGTAAGACCGAGGGTAAGACCTAAGTTTTGTGCTTAATTCCTAAATTAACAGGTGGTCATGCCCCCCGCCCCGGTCGAATATACCCATCTTACCCCTAGGTTAGGTATGAAGGATAATAACTGAAATGGTACCTCGCAATTGCTCGATGCTGTCGCCGCTTAGGTCCACTGACGACGCATACCAGTAACGCACAATACCCTCGTCGCGACAAAGTTGAGGCACGTCATCTCGGGTAGTCTTCACGTCACGTAAACTTCGGCATGACAACACTTTAGGCACCCCTAAATTAAAAAAAAAAGAGGAATAGCCCGGTTATGCCGGCACGTGACCACCATGGGAGTAATCAGGTGACGTATTTCGCTCGTCGACCCCCGGCCCCCTCCCCGCCCTAGTGCGTCAGGGCGGGGTACGAGCGATAGAATAGAGTCTGAAAGCTCAATTCACACTTGGTGGGACAAGACAGTACGTCTCGACTCTTTGAATACAGGGTGAGTCAAAAAAGCAGAACCCAAACCCCCAAAAATATATTATATATTTTAAAAAAAAATATATGTAGCACCAAAATAATAATGACTGGAAAGCCAATTTCATAAGCTACTTTTAGATGAAAAAAATACCGAAATTGCTCAATCCGTTCAAAGAATATCACCATTTAAACGCAATGACCCTAAAACCTGTCTCGACCAAAAAATAGCCCCATAAATGTGGCCAATTTACTGGACCACCTACGTAAACATATAGGCCACACTTCCACATGTACAAAAACGTGTCGAACTTCGTCAAATTTTGATTTTCACATTTAGGCTTAGTTTGTGGGGGTTTTTTTGCTTTAGAAGCATACTCACCCTCTTTATAGGCTAATCAGAAAGTGCTGCCTTTTTCAGATGTCTATTTTTCGTGAAATTTCCAGATTCATTTGCACACGTTTGCGTATCAAAATTTCAACATGAAATTTCACAAAAATTAGACATCTGATAAAGGCAGCACTTTCTGATTAGCCTATAAAGAGGGTGAGTATGCTTCTAAAGCAAAAAAACCCTACAAACTAAGCCTAAATGTGAAAATCAAAAAAACTCAGTCGATTGCTATGCAGTGCCACACGCAGGGAATTTCATGCATGCAGTAACTAAAAATTAACTTCGAAGTTTTTCGGTCTGTTAAAATAAAAACCTTCCACAATAACGGATAATTACTTACCTATCATGCAGAATGCAAGAAGAAACATCAACAACCATCCCATCTTGATGAAACCACGACCACTACAATGCGTAAAATTCTACCAAACTGTTTCCGTGCTCTAGCTCTATATGGTCTGATCTGACAACCATGCACAGCTAGCGAGTGAAGTTTGTTTTCATTTTCATTTCGGTAGCATAACAACCAGCCGGGATGTCACTGAATTGTACCGGGGCCGTCGACGTCACGCGTCCTTCTTGTAAGTTCGGGCATGAACAGGGCAGGAGGTTATTAGAGCTCAGTGGGGCCCCGATCCATGGGGCCAATTGGAATTTGATTCTTTACAATTACGCTGTCTGGCCCGAGGATCGATGTTGTTGTTGTTGTTTGCTGAACTCATGTCTGTTGTTCTGACTTAAAGTTAAGGTCATCGTGTAAAAATAAACAATGACATTATAGCACTTAATAGTTGTTGTTCGGCGGTTCTTGTGCTGGGCAGGTATATAGTTCTCCATTGAAATATTTTCCTCAATTAGGCCTAGTCTGGTCTCATGTCCCCATTGCCATTCGGCCCGCCAAGTATAATGGGACAGGTAGCTAGCAGTGAACCTGTATACATCATGGAGGAAGGAATAGGAGGCATTCCTCCTGATATATGCAAGTTATGTGATTATTTAATGTCTTTGTTTTCTCTTCTAAAGGCACTCCGCTACAAACCTTGGCTTATTAGGATTGTGCCTCCAATATTGTATTTTGCTTTCTGATGTTATTGTTTCACTTCAGTATGGAAATAAATGTAGCATTGGCTTATTAGGATTGTGCCTCCAATATTGTATTTTGCTTTCTGTTATGTTATTGTTTCACTTTCAGTATGGAAATAAATGTAAAATGGAATGGAATGGAATGGAAAATAAAATAATAATGACTAAAATTCATTAAAGGGCAAATATTATAGACTCAAATAAATCAAGTATATCACAATGATACATTTTATTTCTACACACAATTGACCAAGTTGAGGGATTTGGCCGTTCAAACGTCGCCCGATCTGCAAACATGTCCCCGACGTATTGAGAAGAACTCCCCAATAACGGAATGAATGAGTCCTCATTTGCATAGCGGTGCGCGATTCGACCTCACCGCCAAAAAGCACTGCATATGTATTGCGCTGCACGCATACTGTATATGAATAACGGTGCGAGAACATAATCGTCAAGTCGTTAGATTTGTCGCAACCCGACCGATTACGTACAAGTCTTATAACAGCCGCGCCGATGGAGTTCGCCTTAAGTTCACCGACAAAATACGAGTACATGACCGAGACGCATTATCTTCGAGAAAAGTAACAGCAAATTCTCAATTCATACGTGGATATACAGTCCATGACTTTAGCTAAAGAATCAACATTTCTGTACGATTCAAACATTGAAACAAATCTACTTAAAATTTAACCTACACTTATACTGGTTACATGTTATGAGGCCACAAAATCAACTCATTGCAGCAAACATTGTTTGGTAAGCAAACAAATGTGTCCTAAAATTGTCGGCACTTGGGAGGCACGTCACGTAAAGGTGTACAATGACGAACAAAATAAGCTCAAAATGATCTCGGAAGCTGCGGCCCAACTGTATTAACCTGTTGCAGCCTATAAATCGTGTACATGATGTACAAGTCTATTCCAATAATGCTTTACGTCTCACGTGGTTGTGAGTTGTGACTTGAAATGAAGGATTTGTAATTGTTGAATGTCACTTGATGTATGGAGCGTTTTATCATTGGTACATTGTACATAATTGTGGAACATCAAATTTGTGTGCAGCATAGTGCCAGTCCCAGTCGTGTTTTAGTACAAACATCTAGTTTTGACTCTAGTGCACGTGTTGTTTATGTTGTGAGGACCTTGTACTGACAAGGTGATTCATGGCCAAAAACGGCATTAAATTTTTCGACGTCTGTTACCAAAGGCAACCAACCAACCAACGGAGAGGTCATGACTACTTGTAGAGCTGCTCAGCCGCAGCTAAAAAAACGAAGGTCGTGTATATAAATGCTAGATAATAATGATGACGACCGTCAAGTTGAAAAGTTGCATTCACCAGACAAACACGTGGTGGTGTTCTGTACTGCCTTGCCCAAACGCCCTCTACCGTCCAAAGTACGGGTTGACAGTATTGTAGTGACAGCCTCCTGGCACTGGATCGTAGTCGAGCGTTTGTGCCGTGAAAGCGCCCTCACCGGCCAGCAGGCATGAGACGTGGGTAGTCGGCAGGCAGCCAACACACCTTTTGATATCAAAACCGGAATTCAAAAAATAAAATTGTGCGTTTGAGTATTTTGAACAGTTGTGTATAATAGAGATTCAAACTCGTTGGAATATGGAATTGAAAACAAATTACTGTAGGCCTACTCTTTTAATATAGAGGGCAGGGATTGAGGTGAACAATGATGACCTAGGTTTTTTTTTTGATATGCCCTTTTCTTCGTGTGGCAAATTCTGTTTGTGTTCCTAAGGAAGGCTACTCTGGCATAAGTTAATGTACAGAGAAGCACATAAATCCAGACAGAAAAAATGAGCATGACAAAAAAGGAGGTCGGGAACCGTCTACGGCCGATCGTGTATTGACAATATTCGTCTTTAACTGATAAAGACTTTCGGCACAGCGACAAATTAGCCTCATAAGCCACAGTGTCCTATTCCTGGGGGCGAATGTCAATATTTCTTACGTATCGGAAGTCAACATATCATCAACTTCTATTAACGTCCATGTTAATTTCACCATGCGTAGAGTATCTACAATCTCAATATCCAACGATTGGACGACTTTGCTATGGCTGATCACCATGAGGAACAATCATTTTATCAAACTATCACGTAAATCAGGATCTAATCGTCTCAGAACCGACTCTTTAAATAACCATTGCGAGTAAAAGTCGTAAAGTGGTTATAATTAGTTTGGAACTCCGCCAACTTGTGTCCCTAGGCAAGCTGTACAGTCTCAATCCTACCTGCAGTAGTCATCCCTGCCGTCTTCGTTCACGTCCATCATGTACCACGTGTCCATGTGACCGGCATCGAACCAGGGCCCTGTGCTGTTGTAGTTGAGGTCAGTGGGGGCGCCCTTCATCCCGGCTAGAGAGCAGGACAAAAAGTAACCGCCGGTTGAGTTGGTTACCACCCTGTGAAAGGAAATCATTCAGTGGGGAATGACACTGATTAACAATGATGTAGCTGAGACCGTTACAAGTCCACCACAAATAGGCCGGTAAAATAAGTCCAGTCACAAGTAATCGCGGAACAAAACTTTGGGAGTGCTTTGGTCACAATTCACTTGAATGCCAATGAACTAACTTAAGGGCTTGAATACATGTAATGGATTTGCGATGGACTTTATAAAGGATTTGTGAGGACTTGTGAGGACTTCCGATGGACTCCTGATGGACGTTTTGAGTCAGTATTCTCTGACAATGATCGGTATCACAAGAGCAGAGTACACCTTACTGATAAGTTCAGAAATCAGGACGATTTCAGTGAGTCGTATATCCCTTTAGGAGCAACTTCACGAAAGTCGCACATGGCTGTGCAAACTCCAAAACGACCAAGATCAGATACATGTATAGTTTGTGGGCTAGAGGGTTTTGATAGCCTGCCCAGCCCAACCTCGTATATATGGTCTATACGTTCAACCTCGAGACAATTATAGAGCAGCTAGTGTCAGGGCAATGCTCATCGGCATGGGGATGAGGTTGTGGCCGGTCCTACCTGCAGTAGTCGTTGGCGGCGCCCTGTCCCTGGACATCCACCCAGCCGCGAAACAGCGAAGGAACACCAAGGTTGTGAGTGTCATAACGGCGTGGCTTGACGGCAAGAGTGGCGTTTGTCATGGTACCCGTCGTCTGATTCGGCTGAGGTGGACTAAAATCGGTCTTGTTCATTGGCATTGGCTGAAAATCTACATAATTCAAAACAAGAAGCACTTTAACATGCCCATCATAGAGTTAAAGATCGACGTTGCAGAATGATTGGCTCATGTTAAAGGGATTCACGTGTATTTACTTTTTCACATCCAAGATTTGAACCCTACCTCCAAGGTAACACGTAGCTCCATCATTATGGCTCGGCAGATCTTCACACGTCAGTTGCTCCGGCCACTGGAAGCCAAACTCAAGCAGCACCTCTGTACAGCCATTCCTAGCCTTCTCACACAGTTCACGGCAAGGCAGTACCGGGGCTGAGTTACACCTATATATGTATTGGTGTAAAACGAAATGACAGGTGTCAGTCTCGTTTTCTCAGTCTACTTTCAATTTTGAATACAATAAGTAGGTCCCCGGATGCAACCTTGTTCACTGTGTCGTATGTTAAAGGAAGACCCTGGCAGGGTACCTGCTTCTTGTATTCCAATTCCACCCCATAATAGCAGAGGACTCGATTTCTTGAGGGAGACACTTACTGGGTTTTAAACAATGCAATAGCTCATTTTGTTTTGCCTCAGCCCCCTCCCCAACATATTTACGCCACTGGCGGAATCTTCAGTTCTTCCCTACTCGTAGTACGTAGGTTTACCTGGGCAGGTACAAGGAACAGACGAAGCTGCTGAAGTGAGGCGAGCACCCGAACTCAACAACCGGGGAAAGTGTCATAAGCTGCAGCTCGGCATCACGCACAGTCTGGTGACCGAGACTATTGGGCATCAAGGTCTGGTTGTATCCCATGGCAGATGGGCACATGGACACAGTGATGCGTTCACATTGATCATCGGCCGAGACCTCAAGCACAGGCGCACCTGTAAGACAAACAAGACAAGCAAGCCTAGTGAAACTGGTCCCAGAGTGCGCCAGATTCCATTTTTTTAAAATTGATTCAGAATAGCTATTCACTGGAAGTCTTTCCATGCATCTAGTGAACACAATGGACCGGATTTAGGCCATAGCCAGATAGTAATGTCCGGCTCTCTTCACCAGCCGATAACCAGGATATAGTGGCACAAGTGAGAGTGAGTCAGTTAGTCAGTCAGTGAGGTATCAGGAAGACTACAGATTGGCCCAACAGGACCAGCAACGTCTGGAAGTGACGTTTCTAGGACATGACGTCCATTAAAATCCTAAAAGGGTCAGGTTTTGTGTCACCTTAAGGGGATGGATTCCGCCTTTTCTATTACGCAGACAAGTAGTGATTTGATCTCCCAATATAACAATAAATCGCATAGAAGCAAAGTGAAGGCTCTGACGATGTCTTCAACAAGCCTCCACGATTCTTCAAAAGCGACGAAGGGGACTGGAAAGGCACAAAGTAGGTCTGAAGAGTCTTGAAGAAGGCCTGAAGAAGTTCAGTATTTGTTCATGCACTAGCTTATGTATGTAATAAGTTCAAACACACAATACCAATGTATAGACCTATACTTACCGCCCAAGTAGCAGTCATTCCCTTCATCGTAGCTAGGCAAACTCTCACACCTCAGATCCGCCGGCCACGAAAAACCATAGTAGACCAGAATCTCCTCACAACCGTTCCTCGCCTGCACGCAGAGATCTCTACAGGGCAGTAGTGTACTGCTGGGACCACTCGTACATCTACACAAGACGGATTATTGTCGAAAATAAGATATGAATTATTTTAAGGTCGAAAGTGTAAAAGTACAAAGTGACGTTCGATGCCTCACTCCAATACGACTGATTCTTGTTTTGCTAGCAAAACAAAGCGGGGATCCGAACAGGGCGGAGACAAGACAGTTCAGACCGAGTGACTTTGTTCGGAGACGGCGGTATTGAATTATTCATAAAGTGTGTTTCGTGAATAATTTATCATCGAAATAAGTTGCCTACCGGCAATGAAAACTTTACCGTGAACATAGTGGTCACACAGTGGCATAGCAGCGGTGGTGGTTTGAATGCCTGCGCGTGGTCGAATCACAAGGTAAGAACAGGGTGATAGACAACAATGACATTGACAAAACGACGGTTGGACGCTCTCATCTCAATGCTGGTTTCACATGTTATCGTTAATGTAAGTGTAAAAACAAATTATCATTTCACACATTGGAAAATTATAAATTTCTTATAGGCCTATCTGGCCTCCCCTCCATTTTCCTCAAGGCTTCGTCCGTCGGTTGATTGTCCAAAGTCACATTATGGTGGTCATGTCAATTAACAATCTAGCTTAAAGCTCAGAAAAACACAGAAACAACTGTAGCTAAAATGCATGAATACCAAGTCTTACATAGGAATGTACATGGCGCACACGAGCGTCTGGGTGTAGGGGGAGCAATCCTCTTCCACCAAAAGCGAGTATGAGTCAACCGCTTGACCGGCGTCCTCCTGGTCCCAGTGACCTAGACTGTTCGGCATGGCGGTCTGACTGTAGTCAATTCCCGACTGGCACATCGGCACGGTGATGTTTTCACAACCCGTTCCAATGTCGTCTGAGAACGAAAAAGCCGACATATATGATGAGTTTATTCAAGGATAACACGGTGCATGTTTCACTCATAGCTGGCCATGTGTTGTTGTTGTTGTTGTTGTTTTAACTGCTGGGGATGCACTTCGTGATACTTAATGCATGAAAATTAATGATTTGATGTAGCGACAATTCATACGTACCTACATCTGGTATGACCTTTGTAAACTTTTTAAAGTTATTTTATAAGATTTACACATTAACACCAACTTTATCACAACCTAAATCTAAATAGGTGTTTACGATGTGAAAATAGGACATTTCATATGTAACCTCCGCTGACCTTCAAGGGGTCATGACCTTTGTCAACCTTATCTATAGATATTTTCATTAGATTTACTCTTGCAATTAATGCCACGTAATTTTTCAAGACCCAAGTCTAAAATATTTCCTGATGTGGGATATCATATCTGACCTCTGGTACCAGTAGAGAGGTAGATTAACATTGTATTCCTTATTTGTTGCTATTTATCATATAAAATTCGTTAAAACACAAATGTTCGTGACCCGAGCCTGAATAGTGCAAAAGAAATGTAATACACCTTAAGTACGGTCAAGACTTCAGATCCCACAAACAATTTTGGGGTGGCCTCTGACCTCATTTTTTTTTTGATATCATTTTTTTTGTATTGGCAGACGCATGATAATGCGACTGGAATAGAAGGCTGAAGCTCCCGTGTGTTGTGTAATGCATGTTTAATAACCCAGTAACGATTATCGCTAGGAGAGATAGGGGGTTTGCCCCAGTGTTTCTGGCAGTGGCTGCAATATGCACCGCATCACCTTGTATACCCTTTATAAAGGTGCTACATAACGGGTCTCCCCTTTCTCATAAACTTCATTTACCTATCTTTAAAAAAATAAATAATTACCAACGCCTTGAGCACCCGATTGTTGGTAGACACGTGCGCTATAATAAGACTCCTGTATTATTATTGTTAAGACCTATGACGTAGACTTGGATCACAGGAAACTAGTGTTTTCATGAACAATAGGTGTAAATAGAATACGTAGAGGTCAATGACATCTCAAAGGTTACCAGAGGTCAGTGTGAAATGTTCGTACATCTAAAATTTGTTTTCATGACATGAAGAACCAACGTGTGTAGTTTCATGCTTTTATCACAAAGTGCACAATTGTTCGAAATATTGGGGCTATGCTGCTCCATTGTGAGGGACTTTGTTGGACGGGACGCTGAAATGATACGTGGTATTGGTACCGGTTTTAAGCCTGCATATTATTTTTTACCAAAACAACTTATTGTTCAAAGGGTGGATACATTTATCGACGTGAAATGCCGTTGAATTGTTTCAAATGGGCCTAGGTAGAACTTGTACACATTGCATGATTTCAAGTCTATAAAAGTTTACTTTTCTTGTTTTTCTTGTACTTTTTGGGGGGTGGGGTGTATTGTGTTTTTATTCTGGGGGGGGGGGGAGTAGAGAGTGGGTTGAGCAAGATTCAAAATTTTACTATGAAACGCCGGTACGCTTAAAACCGTCTTAGGGCCTTCGCCGAAGCTGTTGAAGGCGGTGACTTCAAAAGTGTAGTCCCCTGCCCTCTTCAGGTCGGTGATGTTTAACATGAGGGACGATCGGCTTCGGGAAATTTTGTAGAATAGTTCTCTTCCAAGTTGTCCCCATGATAAGGTCTCGTTGTAGCGAACGCGAAACGCCTTCGTCAGGGAGGCTTTCTCGGGGAGAGCGTAGAGGATGGAGACACTGGACGCGTTGTGCCGGGTGACGTTGACGATTGTTGGCCGGTCCCTCGGTGGGTACAGATCTGCGTTGAGCGGATCAAAAGGCGAACGAAGATTAGATGGGATTATGATTAAACATACAATGCTTTCAGTTTAGGAGAATTTAATATGTCCTTACAAACCACACTAACATTGAAAATTCACTACTTCTGTCCTTTTGTGGCTTATTAAGAATTGTGTGCTTATTATGGATTGCTAATAATTTGGTAATGAAACCAATGATGCATTATTATGATAGCTCGCAAACCAGAACCCTTTTTATAAAAAGACAGTAAAGACAGGTTTCATTTAGAGTTAGGAACCTAAATCCCACAAATAAGGCCATGGGGGAAAACCTAGAATCTCACAGAATCCCACGGAATAAAGAAGGGAGCGAAAACCCAATCCCATGCATGTGAACATGGGCGGGAATCAAACCCGGGCCATACAGGTTGAGCATTTCCCTGAAAGTATAAAAGGTCCTTCCTTACTCTAAGAAATAGACGGTATTTTTTATTCAAACCAGCCAGAAATAAATGTACATGTAACACTCTAAATTCCAAAGAGTGAAAATTCACTCCATTCGAGTGAAGATTCACTCCCACAGTCGGAAACTTTTTTACTCGAGCTCCAACTGAAGTGGTTCTTTTTTCAGACTTTTTTTCAATCTAAAATGAGAGTGATTTCACTCTAAAACGTCTAGTCCCTAATTTCACTCTTTGGAATTTAGAGAGAATCATTTTAAGTTGCAGAGTACT